GTGGCCCATGTATTAAAATCACTTACTCAAATCATCTTTAGAAAAGGCACTTGGACTGGCAAAAATTTTTTTTATATATATATATATATAATTTACATTGATAGTTCTTGCGTGACGTCACTAGCGATTCTTTTCAGTTAACGCATTAAAATAAATCAAGAGTTACTGAGTTAATTCTTTCGAAAGAGTTCACTAACCATAACTAGTAGGTAAGAGTTAACACTAACCATATTGGAGTTAACTAGCCTAACCCATAACTAGTATAAAAATACCCAATTTAAGAAAATACCAGAATCTATCACAAAAACAAATTATCTTTTGGTTTCACCACTTGTCGTGAAGTTTATGAATTCTTCTTCATCAATTGAGAGTCCTTCGGGAGTCTTATGAAATACATCCCTAACCCACTCTTAACTTGCTATCAGTTTGTCGTGAGCAAGAAAATAATAGTTATTTTTAATTATTTGCCAGCATGGCTAAATGATTTTCAAAGGTTACAAAAACAAATTTGAAATGTTCTTCTTTAGCCTTGTAAGTTTTACTACAATCATCCACATTTGCAAACATTATTAGGCTTTTTTGCTTTAAATTTCTGCTCCACAATCCAATTTTCTACAAAAGGCATTAACTTTATTACTCGAATCCAACATATGTGTATTTACTCCTTGGAGTAGAAGATTCTAGTTATTTAATTTCTTGAATGCGTCTGCCAAGTAGCTCAATTTCATTACAAATAAATCATCGCGAAAATTCTCGGCTTCCGATCTGTTTTCTTCTTCTAAGAAACTGGCAATTTCTTTCCTTAATTCATAAACACGTTTCAAAAATTTCCCACGTGATAACCATCTTGCCTCGTAATAAAATAGTAACGCTGAATGTACTGAACCCATGTGGGAAAAGATTCTCGATTTCAGGGGTCTCATTTCCATATAATTTACTACGGTTACAACCGTAGTTAACGCAATATTCAGATCAGGACTCATTTCTTTCGAAGCCAAAGCTTCTCTGTAGTTCATGCAATGCGTCCAGACGCACTGAGGCGATTTTTGTTTTACAAGTGCTTGTATACTTTGGAATCTTCCTGACATTGAACGAACACCATCGGTGCATATTCCAATGCAATTTTTTCATTCTATATTTGCCTCGTATATAAAATTATTTAAAATAGCAAATAATGAGAGTGCTATTGTTTTGATTTCTATTGGTTTGCAGAAAAGTAGTTATTCTACTACTGACATATCACGAAATCAAACATAGGCAAATAAACTTTATGACTATCGGTTGCTTCATCGAGCTGTATTGAAAATAATTTGTCACGCAACTTAGAAAAAACACTGTACATTTTCAGTTATATCACCAATTCGACGAGCAATAGTATCATTTGAAAGAGGTATGAACTGCAATTGTTTTGAAAAATTATCATCTAACGTAGTTTCCACTATCTCAATTGCTGCTGGCAAAATAAGTTCTTCTGCACCAATAGTGTGGAGTATTTTACGTCTGGCTATTCTATATAAAACTTTGTAAGATGCAATTAAAGTTTTTTTTTATGCACAGACATAGCTTCTGTAGAAAATGATTTTTGCTTTTTATATGATTTTAATTTTAATTCGAAGAGTTCTCCCGGTTTGTTGACGTACTCACTATGAAGCTTTTCCAAATGTCGTTTAAGTTTATTAGGTTTCATGCTGTCTTCGGCCAACATTTTTGAGCAAATGATACACAGGGGCCTTTCTTCTTCATTTACTTCAGAACTGGTAAACCCAAAATTTAAGTATTCTTGAAAATATTTTCGTTATTTTATTTTTGGAACCACGCTCGTCTGTGTACTTGTTGATGTTTGACCATCGTCTAATTCTCACTTACTTCTGCTTAAAAATTTATCCATGAGTCTACATAAATCTGCTGCCGTGAATATTTAATACGGTGAATTGCAATTAACTAGAAACAATAATTAATAGCAATTAACTATACCATACACATTCACGATACATTCGATAGTGATAGAAGGATCAACTTGAATGAGACTAGCTGGAATTTAAACTTGCGTTATCGAACATTTTCCTTCTTCCTATCAGAAAACATATGCTCTGCGTATGTTCGAGACGCCATCGGTGGTGCGGATTCCTTTCCACAAACATTACTTTTTTTTTCATTGTTCAGTCATGCTTCTGTTTTATTTCTTTTATTATTCAAAAAAATGTATTCTCTGTTTCTAAATTTAGCTCACCCCTTCTAGGTTAACTTTCATTAACGAATTTTTCTACTTTAATATTATTTTAACGTTACCTTCCTGTTTGTCTTTCCTTTCAAACATAATATTTAAATTTTCCTCGCTTTCATTGGCTTCATCTGTTCAAAGCAACCTTGGCAAAATGCAAGACGTGATTTTTTCCCAACGTTGACTCGCTTTTACTTTTGTTTTGGCAGTTAGTTAAAAATATTTTATAAACAGAAGCAAAAATACCAATATACATTATTGTAGTACGTATTGTAAGAGCGGGGGGAGAGATGAGCATTATGATTGAAAACTGTGCCGCCTAATACTGAAAGGTTGAGAAACGCTGCCTTAAAAGATAAGGGAGACAATTCGAAGAATGGATGCTCTTGGGGTGGTCTATGTACATGGAGGATAGGGTATTGAGATCTGAATACAAAAGCCATTCACTGTAGTGAAAAGAAATGAAATAAGTACATAATCAGCAGTGAGACTTCTCTTGTCAGAAATGACCAGGAAAAAATTGGCAAAATATGATAAAATAAGATTTTTTTGCATTATTTGAAAACCAATAATAAATGGAGAAAATGGAGGTCGAAATTTGAAGAGAAAAATCGTTTTACAGGAGTTTATTGCTTCAGAGAATATTGCAATATTGAGAGGTAAATAACATTAATTCATATGCAAGTTCATCGGGACCACGAAACATTAATGTAATAGTTGGAGTTATTGTTGTATCGGATATCGTAGTTGCGAGAGTACATTTTATATGATTTTTGTTTATACGAGACAATTACATATAATATTTTATATACATTCACAGAGCGTGTTCTTATAGAATTTTACTTCTAGTAGTAGTTTAAAAATAAATAAATAACTAAAACAATAAAGCAATTATTATAGCTTTGAAAGAAAAAAAATCTTGATTATTTCGGCTTTCAGCAGTTTCCTAAAATATAATTTGAAAGTATCTTTTTTTTTTTAAATTATAGCACAAAATATAAATAAATATCCTTTCAAAACCAATATCAATCAAGTAAAGAACATTTTTAAAAGGTAATGAAGGACAGGCTTAGTTCCTTGGGAAAAAGCAGTTTTTTAATAAATTGTACGTTTCCTCCTTGGAGGAGAAAGGTTTTCCAAAAAAAATAAATAAACAAATCTGAATGCATAATCACATCGAAGCACACAATTGAAACTTAATTTCTACAATACGGTATTCAGTCAGGCCATAAAACAACAAATCACAAGCCAAACTACAATCTGGTGAGCCAGCCTTTCAACAATAATAATAGCTCATAAAAATTTTAATACCCACTCACCAGATCATTCAGGAATCTACTTATTAATACTAATAACGCCCAAATCTCATGGATTAAAGCTCATAATTACAACAACGATGGAAACGAGCAAAACAGATAACTTAGCTAAAGAGGCAATTAATAAGGGTTCAACATCAACATTCAAACTACAAATTAAAAAGGCCTGGCATCATCACAAATCGAGAATATTAATCAGAGAAATCTCATTCAAACCTTTAGAATGGAATAGGCAGTTAATTCTCTTTTTTTTTAGAGAGCATGCCCCCTCTCTTTAAAGCGTATCTAAAACGCTTCTGCCTATCTACTGACAACGCTTGTGCCAGTGGAGAGAAACAGTGTGGCACTATGCAATAGAATCTCCACTTACCACTTTAAACAACCAAAGGTAGAATTCCTCATAGTCTGGAAAATATATCCTCATAGCCTAATAGAAAAATCTTTTCTTTCCAATCTTCGTTTTTTTATCTTTTTTTTTTTAAATTTGCATTTGTTTTCTTCTTCTTTTTTTTTTGGTGCTATTATCTATTTTTTTTCCTCTTCTTTCTACCTTTCTTGTCTTCAACCTTAACCGATAAATGCCCCTTTGGGAGAATAGGAGTGAGGTTAAATATTGGTGTGTGTGTGTGCTCTTGTTCAGACGACATTTTGGAGCTTTTCAATGAATGTTTTGCTATAACCTTGGTCAAGGCTATACAAAGCCAAGGCTATAACAAAGCAAAAGTGTTCCAAAACCCATTAGAAAAAAAATTACAATTATTGAAAAAGATTATTTGAAAACTATATCTTTATTATAAAACTTGAAATTGAAAACTTGCTCGCAAACAGAATTGTGCGAAGCAACACATCAAGAAATTATGAAATCTAATCCTATTTTTAAATCAAAATCTCTGTTGAAAATTTTGTCCCGCAGTGGACAGATCGTAAAGACACGGTTCCCAGTAGAACACCGAAGTATCACTGACTGCTCTCAGTAAGCGGGTGGGTGACCACTTTGATCAGTCTGCGTAGGGACCGCGGGTGCGCGGTATCGGTTCTCTGCCGTAAAGTGCTGGAGTTCGCGCGCAGGTCGTTGGGCTACCATAGCAAAGGAACCATCCTCTCTGCAGAGGATCAAAATTACGATGGCACGTCTTAGGATCATCCTCAAGGATGTGTCCCAGACCGTCGCCAATAGCCCATTGTGCAGCTTTAGTGTGGCGCAAATGAAAAACGTACCTAGCTGTTTTACTGAACGGGAATAACGCTTTTGTTTCGTTAAACAGCTATTCACTGAAAAGCTCCAACATAAATGCAATGCATGAAGTATAACATTAATTCGATTCTAGCCTGATTCATGTAGGAGCTGACAGTGAAAATAAAAGGGGGCACCCCCTCACCCACCCCCAAAGCTAAGTGCGTAATAAACATAAACGCATTTGATATTAATTAAAAAACAATCAATAAATTAGTGTTATTTATAATTAATTTTTTCAAAAATGTTTATTAGTTTGATTCCAAAACATTAATATTATATACACATGACAGAAAGTTTGTTCATAGACATCAATGACTTTGATACGTTAAATGTCAAATTGTCGCGTTAAAAATACAATTCTGTAGCTTAAAGGTGTTTCATTTTATAAACACATTCATTAAACTATTTTTTATACATGAAACAAACACTTGAAATAACTTGGAAATAGAAAGAAAAAAATATGAAGAAAACAAAAAGAAATAATTTTTTTTGGTAACGTCTGCTGACGTCATCTAATCACTTGAGTTAAAAAAAACATTGAACTTCTTTAATGACAGACATTTGGAATGAGTATAGGAAGCATAAATTTTTTTTCTTCACAGATCGTTAAAAAAAAATGGCGTGTACTCTGACCTGGTGTTTTTGGAGCGCTCTTTGAATTATCACAGCCGAAAAAGTCCTTTGGTCGTAAATAAACTACTTTGAATGGAATAAAAAAAATTTGAAAATAAACTTAATTTATAAACTAAAAAAATTCATTCCAAAGCTACTGGTTTTAAATTGTAATTTTTTCTTCAAAATAAAACATTTATTCGAACAATAAATTTTGAAAACGAGAATCGGATCAGCGCAGTTTAATCAATACGGTCAAACAAAATCTAGTAAGAATGTTCTCTAACGTTCTAAAAATTGAGAAATGAATTTTATTATTCTTAAAAAAATTTAACTTTCCCTGATGTTATCCGGACAAAATTATTTAAAATAAGTTGATAACAGAAATATAATTAAATAATGCCTCTGAAATTTGGATCAAAAGTTGAGCTTCATATCACAAGAGACTGCATTGTGTTCACCCAATCTTTTAAAGTTTCCTCATATTTCTCAGACCAGTTGATGGCACTCTGTATCTCTTCCATACATCCACTCATTACAAAGTCATTAATCATAGGAATTCGCTTCAAAAATCCAACAAACTGAAACACAAGCATTCATTAGAGCATCTGGCTAAATTATTAGACGTTATCATATATATATATATGTTACGGCCAAAGCCGGAAGTCCGGCCATTTCGCACTTTGGCCATACCTCTCGGCCAAAATGCGATGTAATCGAAACGATCAGTGAATCTTCTACTTTGGCGGCCATTTCGCGAAGTGGCCACAATATTCCAGCCAAAACGCGATGTGCTCACTCAAGAATGCTCAGTTGGCGGCGCATCTGCAATTCCGGCGGGAATGTGCCACGTGGCGACATTTTTGTCTGCTGCTACAACTTTTTTAATATCTTTTGTATTTCTAATAACTTTTACTTTGCAGGGAAAAAATGTACTGATATGTTTTTTCACGTACCGGGTGGTAAGGTGGGACCACAATTATTTAATATTTGTTTTATTAAAAAGTTAATTTTCTAATATTACCCCTTTTGTTTTCTTTTTTAATTTAAAAATATAAATCTTCTAATTTAAAAATATAAAAAATAGACAAGTTTTTGAATTAAAATTTAAAAAATTTAATTTTTTACTTTGTCTCAAATGGCCACATCCCCCCGCAGCTTGTAATTTTTAAAGAATGAAGTTATGGTTATACGGAGCCAGTAATACCTGCCAATAATTTTTTCTTCCAACTTTGACTGATCCTCCCATGCCACTTCGCGATCTGGCCGGCCAATTCTCGAAATCAAGAAAAGATCGGACATTGGCCAACTAATTTACAGCGTTCTTAGCCATTTCGCGATTTGGCCGGCCAATTCGCGAAGTGGCCGAATTCGGGCTTTGGCCGTAACATATATATATATATATATATTAGATTATGATGTTTTTATTCACTGTTTACTGTTTTGTGTTCTGTAGATATTTATATCAATAGAATTTTTAAGTGCGTCAAATAAAAATTGTTCATGTAACGTAAATTCCATGATGAATAAACTATGTTACCGTACCGTATACAAAAATACAGGCATTCTGATTGGCTTAATTGAGCCATCGTAATTGTGTAAATTTAGCTGAATTCCGCCCTAATATCAACAAGGATAAGAATTTTTCACAGCTAGATGACAAAGTTAGCAATCAGAAAGCTGCATTCAGCATGGTAGACATAGAATTGTCAGAAAATCAATAAAATTGACAGAACGATATCTTTTCTGACCAGTGGAGGGGGGGGGGCTTTAATAGCTATTTTAGCTTCTTGTCAATTTTCTTGTTATCTCTCTATAACGAAAAATTTAAATACCTCCATAAAGTTCTTCACTACTAAAGTAGTGAAGCAAAGGGGGGCCCCAACGAAGTTTTTGCCCCGGGCCCTAATTAGGCTAAGTCGGGCCCTGTGTGTATGTTTAATAATTGCGTCGTCTTATTTTAATGTATCAGAGCATTACTGGAAGTACTTTTGTAAATAGAAATATTCTCCTAAGAGAATGGCTGGTTTTCCTTGAATACTGTTGTAGCATTAAATGAAAAAAGGAATAAAATTATTTTACTTACTTCGCCTAAATAACTCAATGTTTTGAAGTTATCACAAAATACCGATATTCCAACAGTAGGGCTGTTGCTGGCTTCTAACCTGAGGAAGATTTTTAATTTAGGTTCTTCTCTTTAGAATAGATAGAACTTAAAAATAGTTCCGAGAATCAATTTATTTAATAATCTGGTTGCATGCATAAAATTATTTGTGTAAAATGCCGAGAAAAAGTAGCAAAACAGTATGTGAATAAAATGGGAAGAGGTACTTATAAAATTTTCATTAAGAATTTCTCATCGAGCTTTCAATTAAAATAATCAATTTCAAGAAATTTTATATATTTATTTCATTCTTCATATGAAACATTTCAAAACACAGTCACCCCGGTATAGTGAACCTTCGAGGGATCGAAATTTCGGTTCACTATAGCCGGGAGTTTATTATATCCGTACTGCACGGCTCGAAAAAACACCCGTCCGCCCGTCCTCGGCGGTCAAAAATTCCCTGCGGACAACAAATATCTCGAATCCGACGTCCGCGCGGACTGCCATTTTTCCATTAATATTCGTGATACATTTTCAATTTTTGTTATCTTACAAGAGTCTAGCGCAGAGGTTCCCAAACTTTTTTTTCTCGTGGACCACTTTCAAAGTTTTACTATTTTCGGTAGACCCCCTGCTGCTACATTTCTACTGTATTCCCAAAACTCCTAAGAAATATCGCCCTAAATTGGGGGTGCTAAGAAGGGGGGAAAAGTAGCACATTTTCTTGTGTCCTATTTATTAAAATAATACTTGTGGTTATACAAAATTATAAACATTTATTATTACAAAAAATCAACAATGAACACAGAAATGTAAATCAACAATAAAAAATAGTCATACTTTTAATGAGACTGATGCACTTNCTAATTCATTGTGCAATTTATATAAATGTTTGTAATAAATAAGAGAAAATTATATTTGTATTTATTTAGAAGCTACGGGTTAGTTTCAAAGGAGGACGGGTACATTGTTGGACAAGCCGTCCTCGGGGACGGGTAAAATTTCTGACTTTCTTCGAGCCCTGCCGTACTGCAAACAATGTTGACTAACATTTCCGAACTGTTCCTTTATTACACATTATTTAAATAAATGTCCCACAAAAAGAATTACAAAAATGATTAAAAAATAATAGGTAGTAACAAAAAAAAGTGTTAACTTTTATTTTTCACGACTCTTCGTCTTGCGTGCAAAAAATTTACTGGTGGGATGGGAAACTGAGATAGAAGAAGCAAACACGAAAAAAATACTTATCCACTCAATAGATGGTTTTAAAAATCGGTATATGTATTTTATGTAGAAATTTCAAAATTACCAAAAAAAGAAAAAATCAGTCAAAGACATAAAAAAGTTCGGGGGAGAACATTTCGGGGGTGCACGGGAGAGAACATTTTTTTTTATTTAAATTCATACAATAAAATAAAATCATGCATTATTTAATCTTTGTACTAAATTTGATGCTTTATTTTTTAAAATCATTGACTTAACACTTTATTTTTTAAACCCAATAACAACGCTTTATTTTTTTAAAAAACCGCGAAGCTTTAAACTAATTTTTTTTTTTTTACAAATTTAGTAAAGTTTCAAAAAGGATAAAAGATTTATAACATATCATTACCCAATATAAAAGAAAATGTCTTGAGCATTGTCGTCTTTCCTAATAAACCACCGAAAGAAATAATTCTTACTTAGACAGAAAAGCGAGCTGATAGAATTTCAGTCATGATTTGTAACTTAAAACTAGAATGAGGCAATAATTTTTTTTTTATCACCGTTATTAGAACTTGTTATTATGAAGTAAACCAAATTTAGAAAAAAAACGATTGTGAAGTAGAGAGGATACCTGTTTAGGATGATTAGCCAATGACTCTTTGCATAGTTCCAAAGAATAGGTAGGGCGATTGGATTATCCCCCAATCCTTGAAAGAGAGCTCGAATCAAACTGACATCGAGATTGGGATGCCACATCATAACATCGAGAGTCCTATAAAATAAAAAAAAATATGTTAGTGTGGTGGACATAGCTAAAATTGGAACGCAAAGTGGGAAGGCCAGTTTTATAAGTAAAAAAGTGTTTTTTAACACTAAACATACTATAACCGATCAAATGACCGTTTAAGAACTTTTGCGTCGAAAATGCGCTTATCATCTTATCCCTTTTGCACATTTGATTTCATGACTTTTTCTAACAATTGTATACAGTTAATAATCTATTATTATTTTTTTTTTAATATTTTGTTTGTTTCAAATGATACGTGCCGTGTACCTATTTCTACGACAACCGATCATTTGACCTGGAAGACAATTTATTGCTTTATAAGGTTATCGAATCAGAAATGACGATGTAATGCATGTTCAACCTATTGCATTCGATGAGTTGCACATATCTGCAAAGACTGGTGCGTAGCGAGTTCAATCAGAATAACTGCTAATTCAAATTTCAAGAAAGTACCTATAATTTTAGATTAGCATTTTTGTGTCAGAAAAAGTGACAAAAACTAAATGTTTTGGTAAGTAACTTATATTTTATTTTGATAGCTTTACTTCATTTCTAACTAACTGTTTTCACACAGTTTTTACTCAGAACAATGTCGGGACAGCACAAAATATTAAAAGAAATAATATTAATTATAAGAATTATATTTCTTACATATTCTCATAATTATGAGAATTATAGAAATACAATAATAATTCGAAGAAATATGTTTGCGGAAAATGCACAATGGAAACACCCTGTATATTTAAAAAATGCGTTGAGCAAAGGAATAAAAAATTCTTATTATTTGTGTTTGCAACACATAAAAATTGGCAATATACAATTTTGTCAAATTATAATAAAGTTTTTTTTTAGTTTATTTCCTTCCTAACATCCATATTTCATACATTTGATCAAGAAACATAAAATCCTGTTATTTGACCAGCTATGGTAAAAATAGGTATAGATTAAGTGTTGCTATGTTTAGTGTTAAAAAAAAAACAGAACTATTAAATTTTCGGAAGGGCGTTTTCTTTTCATGAAAAAAGAATATAGAAAGTTATTTTACTTGGAGATGAGGGAAGGATCGGTGAAGGCAACGAGTCCTTCTGCCAATAGAAGTTTCTCATCGTATGAAGTTTCATTATCAATGAACTCTTCGTATAGAAACTGCCAGAGAGTCTCATTACCGTAATGAGGTACAGCCACTTTAAAGATGAATGAGAGATCAGCCGATGTGCTGTCAATAAAAAATATAAGAATCGGTGCATAAAAATGTGAGCAAGAAAGTCAAAATGAGTTATGTTGGCTTCAGTGCGATTCATGATGGTCCAATATCATTTGATGAACACCATCATGCAGCATTTTCCATGATGCCTTCCTGATTTTCTATATGCCAACATCTTTCCATGATGGAAAATGCTACTTTAATACTATGATGGTTAATCATCGAGAGAAGTTGGATTCTTATGGACCAACAGTCCATGATCCGTAATGGTTCCAATTATACATTTCCATGATGGTTTTAATGGGAATTCTTGTTGGTTCACAGGAATATACAAATTTGTCTTTTTTTTTTTCAATGCTGGACCATCATAAATCGGTCCGAATTTCTACATTGGGGTGATGGTTACTTATGTTGGTGACTATCAAAAAACATAGTGGTTCATGATAGAATTATTGATGGTTGCTATCCAAACTAGGTTGGTCCATTCAATGGAAAACCATCAAAACTTTTGACTTGAGAATCAATGTTGAAAACGTTGGCACGATACGGGGATAATTTTGAAATCATATCTAATCAAGCATGCATTTTTTTCTAAATGAAAATAGACAACTTAAATATTTGGCATTTGTATTCATTCAATTTGTGGAAATGACTTTGCTTTAGAAATATCGTGAAACGTAGAAAAAATTATTGAAATTAAACATATTCAAAGTGAAAAATGTATTTTTCGTAATATATCGATAGGTTAGTAAACAAATGAATGCAATATTTTGAGTTTTAAAGATTGCAAACGTTATGCTAATCACTCTATTCATTTAGTTAGTTAGTTAGTTTAGTTTAGTTAGACTAATTATTCATTTAGTTAGAGTTTTACTAAATCCATTGCTGGATAAAAAGAAATTGAAATTAAGTGCAATTGCGTTTTTCTTTATAACTATTTATCACTATTTAAACACTGATTAACACCTAGAAGAGTTTTAAAAGTCAACCTCATTAAAATTTGAAATGAGTTTAAAGCTTTCCATAATTAAAAACAAGGAATAAAATAAACTTCCATTCCATTTTGTGAAGCCTTTCGCTTATAATTTCTTAGTTTTACTGTTGCCTAATGTTGGACCGCCACAGAGTGTCTGACCTATAGTTAGGACTATAATCCATTGTTCTGATTTCCTCCAATATCAACGTTTAGGAAAATAACCACAGATGACTAAATCCAACAGTTTATTTTAAAATTTGTCTAAAATGTTTGGAACATCTAAACGAAACACTAGGTGCAAGTATTTCTTCTTATAAGCTAAATAAGACATGCCCAAAGAGAGAGATATAAAAGCTTTTACTTTTGTTTAAGCATCCACAGCTGCAACTCTTGATGCATTGTGTGAAGACATTTTTGGTTGCCAGTTCTGCAGGCTAAGTCAACAATGGTTGGTACAAATTCCCTGAGAAAATAAACATTTTTACATAACTCTTTTTTTTCCAGGTAAACATTTAGTGATAAAAATACTACTACCTTATTTAGGTAAAGAGTTAGAGATAATATGTCAAGTACTTTTAATAATAATAATTAAATGTGTTAGGTAAACTGATTTATTTATGAGTCAAAAATGCTAATGAAGTTCTGAAATGAATTTGATCTATTGGATTAATGCTGCTATTTATTACGCTCTTTTGTGTTTTTTCCTCTTTAGGGACTACATAGATGATATTATTTTAAACAGCTTTTTCAATGTTCCAAAAATTGAATTTCACATTGAAAATAAATCCCATTCGTAAAAATTATAGATTTTTGTTTATGGTTAGAAGTCCTGGCCCGATAGCTAATTTGCAATCTAGCGGCCTTTAACGATTCCTTTTTGGTTGTTGCTGTCGTCTGCCATAAAGGCAAAGGGGCTGCCCCTTTTCTTGCTTTCCAGTGGGGCCAACTATGGCCAAAAATTCGACTTTTGCCACACACGTATGTCACACACTGCTTGTAGAGCGGACCCATTCATACACCTATTCATTCACCCACAAATCGTAATTTTGACCTGAACCAGAAAACGATCAATCTCCAATTCAGGACCATCAGAAGTATAATTTGTTATAGGAACATGGAGAACTTTGTGACCCGACAGATTTAACGTGCACCAGTCACCACTAACTACTTCTGTCCTCGGCTGGTGGAGTTCGAACTATCCCGACTCATTCCTTTTTGGTTGTATGCAATTATAATGCAAGCTTTTAAAATTTGTCTCCTAAACTAAAAAAGTCTTTTATTTAGGAAAGTTCAAACAGGTCATAGTGTTGGATGCAAGCTTTTAAGATTTGTTTCCTAAACTAAAAAAGTCCTTTATTTAGGAAAAGGTCAAACAGGTCATCGTGTTGGGAGGGAAAACGAATATTCTTGAAACCTCCCGTTTGTTTGAAACGCAAGTGTGATTTTTATTTACAATACACTGAGATTATTAATAATAAGGGAACTATTTGAGAGAATTTATGGCCTCAATCGGTTATTGTCAAGCTTCATAGGTAATTATTACTAATGAAATGACCGATTAATATGTGACCATTGGTCATTTACCAAAAGATGCAATTATTAAAGCTTGTTTTAGTAGTTTGATCGTGACAAAGTTAAAATGACATAAATTTATTAACATCTCTGATAAGAGATTAGGGGATAGAGCGTTCGCCTTTCAATGAGGCGAACCAGTGATGGCTTTTCGATACTAATTCCGCATCCAGCTTGTACCGACCACACTGCTGACGCAAGACATCCTATACTGTAGACGAATCATGGGTCCCCCTTGCCGTCGGATTAATCGTAGGAGGTTTTCGTGGTCTTCCTCTCCACGTAACGCAAATGCGGGTTAGTTCCATCAAAATGTCTTACACGAAGGTAAAATTCTCTAAATACTTGGCTCAGGAGTTCCCTTGTCTTCTGAGTTGGGTTCAAAATGACCAGACTAGTCGTAAACCGAAAATTGTCAGCAGTTCAATGACGGATATAAAACATATCTGATAAAACTAAACTGCTGTTTGTAGAAAATGCAACACCATGAAGGAATCATCAGANTTAGAGTCCCCTTGCCGTCGGATTAATCGTAGGAGGTTTTCGTGGTCTTCCTCTCCACGTAACGCAAATGTGGGTTAGTTCCATCAAAAAGTCTTACACGAAGGCAAAATTCTCTCAATACTTGGCCCAGGAGTTCTCTTGTCTTCTGAGTTGGGTTCAAAATGACCAGACTAGTCGTAAACCGAAAATTGTCAGCAGTTCAATGACGGATATAAAACATGTCTGATAAAACTATTATAAAGACAAATTATAATTATTAAATAAATATATATTTATTGATAGTTCGTCAGAAAATTGATCTTCTAGTGTTTAGCGTGACTGTGAATACAAATTGTAATAAAAACAAGCTTTACTAAAAATATTACTTTTCGATTAAAATTTATCTTTTAAAAATAGTTAAAGACAGTTGTTAGAATCTTTAAACATGGTAGCTCATAACAAAATAAAAAAATATAGGTGTGAAAAACTTCAAAGGTATAAGTGCAAATTACTTTCAGAATTAGTCCATTTAAATAAAATGTACAGATACATTTAATAAAAATTTATCACCACTCTTTTTTAAAAATTGCGTTTTATAAAAATTCTAAATCACTCTCTTTTTTGCAGATTTGTTGAAATAATTGAAACAAACTTAATGTGGGTCTCATAAATTTTGCAACTTCAAACCATTTCTTTCAAAATAATGTCAACATAAAACAAGTAATATAAAATAAAAATTTAAGTCAATTCCTACATAGGTCAATAAAGACCTTTTTATTAAATAATTGCAATTTTTTCCTCAAGTTTGAAACTAAAATTAATTAATCTAATTTAATGAATGAGTTAATATTTGAAGAAAAAAAAAACTGTATTAACATCAAGTTATCATCCACTACAAGGTTTAAAAAAACGTATTTGAACTTGAATGGATTTATAAAAAGTATTTTATGAACAATTGATTAAAATTTGAACAAGATATAGGAAGAGTGTGAACTAATGGTAGTCATTGGAAAAAAAGCACGTGGTAACAGACAACTGTAAAAGTATAACTTTAGTGACGTGGGCCACACGTGCTACCACGTCATGTTCTTGATTGAATTTATCTGACATTGCGAATTTCAAATAATTAAATACTTGAATATGAACTATTTTCTTTTGTTCAAATAGAGCTAAAAGTTAGAAATCTCTGATTTTATTTTTAAAATATGAGAAAACTGAATCCCTTGTAGTTAAATTTAAAACAATGAGGGGCCTCCCTGGCCGAGCAGTATTGTGGGGGATTTATTTATAGACTATGTCAACCTTCATCTGTCAAAAGGTATGCATCTATCATGATAAAATAAAGTTAACATGTCTTATATACTAGTGATTTGTTATTTAACATTTGTAGTGGTAGTTACGCCACATTACTCCCCTTCCAGAATTTTATCTGTGATAGAATTCGATGAACAATTACCACTAGTTGATTAATGCTGTTTATTTATTAACTTCAATTTTTGCTCATTATAATTTTTTTTAAATTTTTTTTTCTTCCAAGCATTTTGCTCCTTATTTTTTCTTTTTTTTTTATAGCTTTTCGCTATTTTTTCCCATCATTTTTTTTATAGCTTTTCGCTATTATTTTTTTTTCTAGCATTTCGCTCATTATTATTTATTAACCGGGAGACTTTATTTACTTCACCGGGTTTCTCTTTCTTTTTTTTTTCTGAGCAGTATATTTTTTTAGCAAATCAACTGTTTTTAATGTGGATTCATCCATCAATATTGACAATTTCTTATCACGTCCGGGTCACCAATGTGGGGGATTTATTTATAGACTATGTCAAGCTTCATCTATCAAAAGGTACCTCATGATAGAATCAAGTTAACATGTCTTATAGACTAGTGATTTGTTATTTAACATTTGTAGTGGTAGTTACGCCACAGTATCATCCGTTAAACACAGTGTGACGCGTGTAGGTGGCGGGTTCGAATCCCGTCGTAACCCTGGATGTATTCTTTGTGATGTCCTTCTCTAAATTGTTCTGTCTGTCCTTCCACTTGACAGAGGCTTATAAGCCTAAATTGAGGAAATAAGCCTGCAAATGTATGTAATTTCAATAAAACCATGACTAAATCTTTACCCATCAGAAAACTCCATTTCGTTTTATGCTCATCCCTATTTAATGAATGATTGAAGAAACTGTATTAACATCACGTGTTCTCCATTACAAGTTCAAAAAAAAAAAATCATTTGAATTTGAGTGGATAAATAAAAAGTTTTTTATTCATTTATTTTACTATAAAATTTTTAAATTCTGAACAAGATATGATGAGAGCGTGAATTGAAAAAAAGGGTCACGCTTACAGATCCGGGTATGTGTAAGAACAACTTCCAAGGCTTGTTTTTCTGTTTTGGAAATAACTGGAAAAAGAAAAGAAGACTATCAATTTTTATGAATTCCATTAAAAGCAGCGGGCAAAAATTCGATCAGTTATTCTTTTTACCTTTTGCTTCCTGTATTCCAGACATATTCCTCGTAAAGGTCATAAGTCAATCTTTGAACGTATTCCTATAAAATAAAAGTAGTTTGATTAAGAAATAAATAGAACGATTTCAGAAAGATCTCTAGTTTTGAGTACAGTGATATTGGTGTATAATAATGAGATTAGTCAAGTACAATAGCACATAAATATTAGGGGTAATTATGAGATCAACTTAAAAATCTCGAAATTCTTTTGAGTAAAATCATTAATGACGCATTTAAAAAAATTAATGTTTTTATAAATTTAAATCATTGATGTTTTCATAACATGAAATTCTAAACAAATCATATGCAGCATAATTTAAATGAATAATTATATACAAGTTTACTTTTATCTCTGCTGACATTTATTATTCTAGCAGAAAAAAATATTGACAAATGAAAGACATGCCAAGTATAAATTCTAGTTCGAATATTTTTAAATAAAATATGCAAGAATTTTAATGAATAAATGCAATCAGTGATTTCTTGAAACTTCTGGACCTTGGATTACCGGAAACTTCCGGATCGCTATTAGTGAGAAATCAGGAAATCCTTATCTTTTTCGGAGCACAATCATCCCTGATATAAATTAACAGCAGCAGGATAAATTTCAAAATAATCCAATTGAAATTAAAACTTATTGAATAAGAAATTAAAAAAAAATATTACGGCATATTTATTTGACTTTTAACCTTAAACAAAAAATTCTTAATCTTAATTATCACCTGATAATTCTTAATTATTAGGTGATCATTATACTTTTACAGGCTATACGGCTTTATTGTTTTTACTCGGATAAAACCGGTGTGCATTCCTTTGAGTTCCTGCTTCAATTGGTTAAGATTGTAATGAAATACGTTTAAAATAAATACAAATAGGAAGTATAAAAAAAATCTCCTGAATAAAATTCCATTACATGTATGTTTAACTATAAAAGTATGTGTCTATAAACTCGTACAAAACATGCCATTTTTGAAGTCGAGTAATTGAGTCGAGTAATTGGGTCGAATTATTGTAATTACTAATATAATACCTGATGCAATAAATATTCTATATTTATATAACATGTCGCCTAATTTATCCTATTGTCAAATTTATATTATATATCGTCAAGTGTAACCCATATTAACCCATTATATATAGTCAAATTTAACTCCAAATTGAACCCAAATTAACTGGACGTAAATTAGTGCAAACCGGTTTCAGTCGTACGAAAACAATACAGCTTTATAGTGTCATCTGATAATTAAGATTTTACATAGAATCTTAGAGGGCGTCTAATAATTTGGGCAGACAGTGTATACATTATACTTTGAGCATGGTGACTGTTTGCGATGTTCCCTGAAGCATCCTCAGGAAGTAGATGAAGTGATCCCTGAGTAGTGTCCAGGGTAGAGCTTCTCTTTCTCTCCTCAGGTACTTGGTGAGTTCCATGGGAACGTCGTAAGTCAATCGATCTGTCTCTGCCAGCAAGAATGCGTCATGCAGCACATTGTAGCGATCAGTCGTACTCAACTCCTGCACTCAAAAATATAAAAAGACTCTGCATATCTGGCAAGACATTTTACAATTTAAACTTTCAAAACATTTTTTTTAAAAATCAGTTTACCATATAAAGTCCTTTAACCAATTTAACTCCGATCACCAGCTTTATTGAAAAGCAAAAGAATATTTTGTAACCGTCGTTGAACACAAGACCCAATTTTGGGTTTATCGTTCAACTTCGTAGCCTTGGCATTTTAAACCCAATCCTGAAGAGAAGGGAAATCCTGGATCAAATATTGGGAGAAATTTGAATTCGTGGAAGACTTTTTTGATGGAACTAACCTGCATTTGCGTTACATGAAGAGGAAGAACATGATAACCTTCCACGGTTAGCCTCGCGGCAAAGGGACTCTAACCCATTATCCGTCTACCACTGATGATATTTCACGTTTGCACTGTGGTCGGTACAAGCCGTATTCCAGTCATCACCGGGATTCGAACCTCATTGGAAGGCAAACGCTCTATTCCCTGAGAAGCCATCGTTGCTCAACATAAGAATATGGAAACTTGGTTCTTTCTAAATAACAGCGATTAAAAAATATTTTGGGAAATTTTAAGGAGTTGAACACTTTTCTGTTTTAACATCGCCATTCATTTGCAGCTGAAATTTTCTTTTTAAATGTTAATTTTCGAAGAAATATTACGCGCACGAAATGTCAATCTGAATTGAAATTGCATAATTTCTGTCTCTATATTCAATTTATTACTGTATTTATTTTTGAAAATTTTTTAAAAATTAAATTCATTCACAAAGTCAAAGCGTTGTTTTGTTCACGAGCCCTTGATTTAGATAAATCTCTCTGAGTTCAATGTTTGTTTCAAATGATATAACATTGTTTCTCCGAAGAATCTGCAGTCCCAAGTCAAATTTTTTGATGGTTTTTTTATAGATGGATCAAAATAATCTTCATGGTGACCATCAATAATTCCATCATGAACCATTATGCTTTTTGTAATAATCAATACAAGTAACCATCACCCTAATGTAGGACTGATTTATGATGCTCCAACATAAGAATAGCAACTTGTTTTGATGGTTTGTTCATATTGAACCATCACGAATTTCCATCATAGTATCTTGGAAATCAAATGTCGGAACGATCGTGAACCACCATCACCCCAATGTAAGAATTTGGACTGCTTTATGATGGTCTAACCTAAATATTTGTTTTGGTGGTATATTCCTGAAAACTAACAAGAATTGCCATTAAACCATCATGGAATTGTATGGATGGAACCATCGTGGAGTGTTGGTCCAAGAAAATCAAACTTATCTTGATGGTTAACGATCATAGTATTTAAGAATCATTTTCCATCATAAAACGATGGAATTTTGCTGGCATATCAAAATTCATGAACGCGTGATGGAAAATGTTGGATGATGGTGACCTTCAAATGATGTTGGACCATCATGAATCACACTGAAACCAACAATTAAAATGACTTGATAGGAACCATCATGAGTTTTGACTTCGGGTCAAATTAAATAACGCTTACGAGATTTTCTATTTTTATTGTTATCATATCTACAATAATTTATTGTTAAGAGTCCCGTATTATTTATGAAAAGTGCGAAGAAACGATCGAATTTTTCATAATTTCAAGCAAACATCTCCCAGAGAGATGGCTTCCACTGATTACAGTTGTACACATCCGTTAGAATCCAATACCTCCTAGAAGTAGAAAGGCCTCAGCACGGATCAATTTAGTAGTCCGATGTGACGAAGTTAACTGCGCAGTAGACGAACAATAAGAAAGATGTCATTACGTTAGGGGTACTAAGCTGCGCAGTGGTTGAAAATACAAAATATAACATTACGTTTGGACTACTAAGAGATATTTATGGTAACCCGTGCTGAGACCTGTTCTTTCTAGGAGGTGTTGTAGAATCCCCTCCCTCTTCATGTAACGAAAAAAATCCACCTAGAAGGATAATTTCTCTCAATGCAGGAGATTCTTTGTCTTCAGGGTTAGGTTCAAAATTACAAGGAATTGAACATGGATTGTCTCAATCAAAGGTCAGCTGTTCAATGTCGGTTTTAAAATGAAATAAAGCTACATAGTATGAAATTGAAAATTATTCTATTGTCAAAATAATTGAAGATTTTGATGACGAGGCTGGTGATATTTTTTTATCTAACTGGAAATTATTAAATTGTTTTTAATCAAATATCATACCTAGATTCATTGTCCCAGAAAATAAGATAGAATTTAAACATAAATTAATGTTCAAAGCAATGCATCTGAGCAATATATTACATAAAATAAAACTTTAACAAATATGTGATACATTCAAAGAAAATATTATTTTAAATAAGAACATGTCAAAAAGATGTCTTTTCAAGACATAATTTAGGAGTTTTCTTTTCCATAGCATATTTTACATATTCAAAATAAAGAAGTTTCATGATTTTAAGCATAAAATTTGAGCGTGTAAAATATTATTTATAAAAATAAGTCAATATTTTTATTCTTTAACAAATCAAAGAGAATATATTTTATGGTGTGTGACATCAAAATCGTCGTTCATGATTGGTTAAATCTCATAGCGCGACTTCAATATTTTTATCCCTTGTCAAATATTTTAAAGCCAAAAATTAACTCTTCTAAGCTTAAACGTATAAATAGCGTTTATTTGATAGTTTTTTTAGAAAATAGTTGTAATATTTCCTAATTTGTAGAAAAGACATTTTTTGAGCAAGAATTTATTTATTATTCACACCACTAGTGGAAGAATTTATTTTAATTACATTAAGTTCTTTTTCTTCGAATAGACGCATTCATTGTCATTGAAGAATACTGTAGTGATTGACTTTAAAAACAAAATTTGAACATCAAATAATACATTTTAAAGAAAAATTATTTTGGACATCAAATCAAAATGCACGATTAATACTCAAATATTAAATGAAGTGGGAACAAAATACAGTAAAACCTCGCTCAATCAATATTTTGGAGATCAAATAAATATAGTATTGTTGTTGAGGGATATATTATTATATCGAGAGCCTACATACTTTGGGGACACAAAAAGATTTTTTTTTAAATTTTAACGTTATATATGCATTAACTATAAATCTATTTATATATTATATAAAAATTTAATTTGCAGAGTGGTAATTATGGTTATACAGGGTGATTCTAAAAAGATGGGTAATTTTAGGAAGTGATAGTACACACCCAATCAAATAATTTTTATCAAAGAATGCAGGGTCGAAAAAAAAACGCAAAGGTGCTGGCTCATTTAGAAAGTTGTTTGATGCAAACGTGAAAGCTCCATTCCTGTTGCGAGTTACTGCGGTGCGTTACTTGTCGCCAAGCTTTCGGCCGCAGCAGGGAAAGTTCGTGATATGCCTGGTGTGTTTCAGAATATTCGCCTATCTTTTCTTCGCCGTTGTACTGCGTGCATAGCCGCTGCCGGCCACTTATTGTAATCACATGCCATTAAATTTGCTTTTATAACTTAACTTCATCGTTCTTTGTGTGTTTTTGCCTCATATACGAACATAAACTTTGACGCTCTGTAGCGGTTTTCCGTTTTGTTTTCAACCATGCATTCTTTGATAAAAAATGTTTGCTTGGGAGTGTACTATCGCTTCCTAAAATTTTGTCCATCTTTTTAGAATCCCCCTGTATATGAAATCAGGTAGGAATGTTACATCTGTGACTTCTTAAGAGATAAGGAAGGCAATTCTAAGAATGCAAGGTCTTTAAGTGGTCTATGTACATGGAGGATAGGGTATTGAAATCTGAATACAAAAGCCATTCACTGCAGTGAAAAAAAATAAGATAAGTACATAATCAGCAGTGAGACTTCTCTTGTCAGAAAAGACCAGGAAAAAATTGGCAAAATATGATAAAATAAGAATTTTTACATTAATTGAAAACCAATAATAAATGGAGAAAATGGAGGTTGAAATTTGAAGAAAAAAATCGTTTTACAGGGGTTTATTGCTTCAGAGAATATCGCAAGATTGAGAGGTAACTAACATTAATTCATATGCAAGTTCATCGGGACCACGAATCATTATTGTAATAGAGGGAGTTATATTATTGCATCGGATATTGTAGTAGCGAGAGTTCACTGTACAAACACCTCTTCCGAATGAATTTAAAAAATATAATAATAATATCCTAACATTTTTTTTAATCCTTTAGAAACGATTTGTAGACCATTAAATGCAGACTTATATGTACTAGAAGTCTGCATTTAGGATTCAGTGGTTAATTCCTTCAGAATATAATGGACATAACTTAAACAATGTGCCATTTTTTACTATGAACTATATGGATATTTTAATCGTTCATTTTGAACTGTGTCCAGATGTTAAAAGAAATAGTGTTAAAAACCTCGTGGTTATCCATGAGTTTTTTCCCCAGTCGGGAGTAGTCTTTCGAATCATACTTCACAACGTAAAAACCGACAAAATCTGGATTAAATTTGACGACATCCTCATCTGAAGCATCGATATCAAAAGTAGCTGGAAGAAAAATAATAAAAAACACAAATGTAACTATCACATTTTTCCAAAGAACAAACAATCTTATCATGAATTTAACGACCACCATAAAAGGGAAGTGACAATAAATTAATAAACTTTATAGTTTTGAATTTTTTAATAATTGAGTAGTAATTTTAGAGGTAAAATTAGCATGCTATTGAATTGCATTATTTCTTCGTGCAGATCAAAACTAGCATAAAAGTTTTATTCATAATGTTTTTGCTTAAAAGGTTTATTTTATTTATTTATTTTAACAAATATATCTAATTTAAGAATATAGAAATAATTACTGTCAAAATTTTTATTTCTCAAAAACAATTATTTTTAAAACCTTTTTATATGCAATGGGATGAAATTGAAAATAAAATAATTTTTTTTTCTCATTCGAGTAAGGTTGAAAGAGTCTATTTAAAAGAAAGGATATGATGATGATGCTATCACAATATCCTCGGGTTTTAACCTTTTGGCCTTCGACTAAATTTCGAATATTATTTTTATGACGGTGCCTTGCGCCTAACTTTTTTTAACTGTGACCGTGGGCAAGATGGAGATCTCTGACTCTTTTTCGGAACATCGTCATTTCAATATTTGATTTTATTCTTAGGAAATAAAAGTCATTCTCTAATATTTATGCGTTACTAAATCTTGCATTTATGCAGTTTTATTAATTCTTGATACAGTCAGACCTCTATTTAACGAAGTCGCTAAATCCCGATAATTAAGTTCGTTAATGTGGAAAATTCGATAAATAGAAAATACCCTTTTGAAATACTTGAATACAAAACAGGCTTTAAATGCATAAAAACTAGACAATTGAAATAGCAATACAATAGAACAGAATAATAGAATAGCATACAACAGAATAGAATGGCAATTTATGTTGTAAACTAGTCTCTACTATTTATTTTTTAAATCTTAACCATAAAAGAAATCTGCACGGGAAGCGAGAATAGAGGAATACATTATCTAGTGTAATATTATCATGCTACATACATTTTCAACTAAAAAAAGCTACAGTTATGTATAAAAGTATTGCTGCATTTATTATAAAAGTAACATTTTAAACATACATTATCACATTGCTTAAGCTTAATTGCTACTGATAAAATCAGTTAATTTTAACTGATTAAATTAATTAACTGATAAAATTAAGTTTTTCGTTTGAAATTCAAACAAAAGAGAAAGGGATTTTTACTGCTTTCTCTATAAGTTAAGTGACTTCCAATTCAAGATCATTTCCCCCATAAAATGTGTTTTGAAATGTTCTGAAATATTTTGGAAAATAGAGAAAGTGAATCTCAAAGAAAAGTTCGTTCAATAGAAAATTCATTTCACTATTTGGAAGTTATTTTACGAAACAATTTCCAAAATGTTCTTGGTTCCTGGAGAGAAAAAATCACAAAATGGAGGAAATTCGCAAAATGGAATTCGTCCGACTGTATTTATTTTAAGATAACGACAGAGAAGATGTTTCCTTTGATGTGCCTCTTCATAAAATAGGGTGACATGTTGAAATATTCGCTTTCTTTGATTTGAATTCCCAAATGGGTGGAGCATACACAATCCTGACCAACGAACCCCAAATACCAACACACAGGATAATTCTTATGAAGAAAAAAAACTTACCGTTTCTATCAATGAGCCAGAGTGTTTCTTCTTTTCCTGTGTTGAGATTTTTATAAACAAGAGGAATCTTCCATTTCATTCTATTGAAAAGAAAAAGCACATTTATTTTCATTCAACAAAAAAGTTAAATGAGCTTGATTATACTTTTGAAAGCAAATTATCCCCCCCCCCGCGCAACCATTTTGTTTGTTTTTGGCACCGAATTCTCATTTATTTTATTACCGTCCTTGAACAACAGACCCAATTTTCGCGATTACGACAACTAAAAAAATATATATAAGGATGAAAAAAGTGGAATATTGAACAAAATTAAAGCAACCTTAAGTGAAATGTTTTTCTCATCTCGTCTCATCTTGTTCACCTCATCGCTTTCTCATCTCGTCATCTCGTGATGACGAGATGAACGTTCATCTCGTTTTCTCATCTCATCATCGTAATTATTTTTCGGTTCAATTTATCTAATTTTTAAATTGAAATTACCATATTTAAAACGAAAAATAAAGTTATTCAATTGATAAACAAAAATATTCATTGATTAAAATTTCGAAGAAATGATAAATTATAATTCTGATGATCATCTGATAATTTTTTTTCTCCATCAGCAGTATTTATAGCTTTAGTATTATAAATATCAAAAATTTATACTTTATACGCAGAAAAATAATACATGAAAATATTCTAAAAAAGTCATTTCGCACTAAATAATTACTTTGATTATCCAATAAGGTTTTGATTTAAAAAAAAAAACTGTATGAATTGCGCTCAACTCTATTCCCTTCTCTCAAATATTACAGAAACAAATTGTACCATTGTTATAAAAATGTTGCTGTTTTTTTTAAAATTAAAGCAGCTTTTAATACTGATAATAATAAAACTTTATGGAATTTTTTTAATGAAACTTTTGTATTAAAAATATGTCTTCGTTATTTTAATAAGCTGATGTTAATTTTTTGTGTTAGATTTAGAACTACCTTTTTTGTATGAATTATTGTTGGTGTATAAGGGATATTTTATATGGTTTATTTCAAATAAAAGAGAATAAATGTGTAACGGATTTTGTGTTTCAGCCCTGTTCTACTTAATATGGTTATCATAGAAGATAAGAATAAAATAGTAAATTAAAACGAAGGTAGAAAATTAAAACGAAAAATTCTCAACCCAAACATGTTATTTCCCTGCTTTTAGAATTTAATTTTTTTTTCTTAAGTACATAAAGAAATATATATCTTTATTCTTTTTTTTCTTAAGTATATAAGACAACAAGCACTTAAGCAAACATATCCCATTTTTTTGTCAATGAAAGCAAAGGACTTGAAATTAGTTTCATTTCAATAAAATAAAGATCGTAAAAAGAATCGTTAGAAAGTCTCTCGTAAAAGTAGAAAAAATTATCAAAGCAACGAAATAAAATATTTTTTTTCGAAGAATCTTATTTTTTTTATTGACTGAAAAAGTGATTTTTATTTAAACTAAAATGCTTCAAATGATAACGTATTTTCAATTAATCTCAACTAAATAATATTTATAGCCTTTGTAAATTAAATACGACTTCTTTATTTAATTAAATGTGAATTTTTTTATAAAATTAGAAGTTACATTTCAACCTTGAATGAAAACAAAATTGTTTAAAAGCATAAACAATTTGAAGTACCAATTTTAAAAATATAAAAGTCATAATAATTTTAAGAATATAAAATGAGTAATAATAATTCTAAGAATATATAATAAAGAATAATAAAAAGTCCCTACACGCACAGTAAACATTATAAACATTAACTATGTGCCATAGAAATAATTTTGATATGCGAACATAAAAGGTAAAATTTCGAAGAAAACAATTCTAACAGTACATAAATACGCAATTTTAAATATACTAAACTATTTAATGCAAACATTTGCTTACATCCTTAGATATCAATTTATTTTACGTTTCCTTGTTATCCAAAGAAAAACTTCATTAAGAACGGGAATAATTGATGACACCGATTATGTTTAAAAAAATAATTTTTATTTTTTATTTATTTTGATGTCTTAAGAGAAAAAAAAGTGAAAAAAAACAGAAGTATTTGTCTCGGAGGAAAAAGTTACAGCTACAAAATTTTATAAAAAAAGTAGTTTCCTTATCTGAAACTACCAATTCTATTTTACTTTATCATAGCGAATGTCAAAGTTTCAGAAAGGGTGTCGCACATTATCCTCCCTGTCAATTAAATTTCAAAGGAAAATAAAGTCTTCTATTTCGGAAATAGCTTTAAAGTTGAAAAAAGAGCTGAATACTAAACTTTATTTTCTTTTGGAAAATAACATCAAAGTTGAACTTTTTCATTTTTTATTCTTTAAAGTGCCAATTCTACTTGACTTTATTTTAGCAAAGATGGGGGGAAGCACATTCCCACCCCCCTCACTTCAATTTTGGACAAAAATGAAGTTTCCTACTTGGAAAATAGCTTCAAAGAATAATTTTTCTTATTTTTAATTAGTAATGTTATTTTACTATTATTTTACTATTTAATTAGTAGCGGAGAGTGGGGTCAATTGTAACAGGGTACGATTGTAACAAAGCAAAAATTTCGAGTGTTGGGTTCTAGATTTGGTTCCTANATGTTAAAGTAGATATGCAATTACAAAAAAGAAAACTTTTCTGCAATTCTGTCTTCATGCATTTTCCTTCTTATTAAAAAAGAAACTAAATTTTGAAAAAATGCGAAGTGGTCGCTTCATATGGGGCCCCCTTTGACTGTTGAGGCCCCCGGGCCATTTTTTTACTGTCCCGCGTAGTTATGACCATGCCACCTGCATAAACTCTTAAGTTTAAAGGCGCCTAGTTAATCCGGTTGGGAGCGTGTTAGTTAGTGTTAGTGTGAACTAGGCTTAATTCTAAGATATTACCAAATGAAAATTTTTCTTTGGTTGATGCTCATCTGAACATATGGATCAAGTTTGAGACTTTTATTCTGACGGACAATATGAGTGATTATTCCTAATCACTTGCATCAAAATGGAATTGTTTCAGTTTTTCTTTATAATCTGATAACGAACATTTCTACATTCATTGCAACGTGTTCTCAGCCAGTTAGGCTAAATACCATAGGCTAAATAACAAAAAGAAGTTACTTTGTTTTGTGTTTCGTTGCATCTTATAAATAACATATAATCCAAATTTGATGGCTTCCATCTGATCATAAACGAATTATTTAGGATTGTGCGGACTGACATTTGCTAATTATCTTGATCATTATAATCTGATTAAGATCAATTCTTTTTATTCTTTTTCAATTGTTTGTCACATAAAGAATGCAGGGTTCAAATTTTAACTTTCTGACTTCAGAGGAGAATTAACCATTTCCTTTACCAATTTTTTTGGAGAAAAAAAATCAAAATACTAACATTTTTTTTATTACTAAATGCAAGGAACTAAAACAAAACATAATGCACAGTTATAAGATGAAAATTTGATTTTTTTATGCGTTAAAAACTTTAAATTTACCACCAGTTTACTATCCCGAGTTATCTTAGGTAAATGAAAGAAGTTAAATATTAGTCTTTGTATGATAGTTTTTTAAAGCAAGGGACTACACAAAGTGATACTTTCGAAGCGCCAATGAAGTGATACGCCATTTTTTTTTACTCTTTTGCTTCTATGTAAATTCAGCAACCATAACAAAGCACGTGTGCAGTCCCACATTCAAACAGCAAAACTCCCAAACAAAACATGGCAAACTTCAAATCCCAGCAGATTATTATTATTATTATTTTTGCTTCCGGTCGAGTAAGAACATGATAAAGCAAACCGTAAATAAAAATTCTGCTGCGCCCTAGTTTTCTCGGAATAATAAATATTTGCATTATACATACCCGAGTTTTCTCGGGATAATGAGGGATGCGGTTAAGTGGGAGATAAGTCAATGAGTGAACGTGGACTTTTGCCTTTCATGTAATAATAATATGTCAATTGAAAAACAGACTTACGATTTCACAAAAAGAATTACTTCAGTAATGAAAATATCACTTCATATTTTATAAAAAGAATTTATTTGTCCTAATTTCGTTTTTACTTAACATTCTAACTCATTTTTCTTCCTTGTTCGAAACACAAATAAACTACAAGCGGGTATTCATTTCCAAGAGATAGATATAATCAATCGCTTATTTCTTTAGCAATGTAAAGATGAAGTTCAAAAGAAACTTACCCATATCTTGAAAACTTTGGTTTCTCAGCTATCTCCTCAGCCGAAGTGTCTGATATTTTTCGAAGAAACCAACGCTGCTCAGCATAAAGCTTGGATCCCTGCCTCTTCAGTTGCACATAGGGAAAACCCATCTGTCGAGTCCAGGTATCCATCATTTCTGCTATACTCACATCATTTCTCTGCTGCAATTTATTAACAATCCTTGCATATTTTATAAGAAAATAAAGATGCCAACACTCATAGCTTTAGTTACTAGAAAGTTTGCCAACACTCATAGCCTTAATTTAGAAAGCTTTAGTTAGCTTAAGTTAGAAAGCTTACCAAAACTCATAGCTTTAGTTTAGAAGGCTTTAGTTAACTTTAGTTACTAGTAAGTTTGCCAACACTCATATCTTTAGTTAAGAAAACTATAGTTACTAGAAAGTTCACCTGCACTCATAACTTTAGTTTAGAAAGCTTTAGTTACTAGAAAGTTTACCAATACTCAAAGCTTTAGAAAATGGGGGAAATTAACTATCGTAAATTAGTTAGTGGTTATAGAGATTTTGATTAGACTTAATTTCTGTGTTTGTAATTTTGTTATGGTTACGATATTTTTATCTCTTTAATTGGTGCATGGTGGTACGTCATCTTAGTTTATAGTTGTTCCTAGTACTGTAATTGTCATAAGCACTTACTTTAGAAGATGTGTTCATCAACTCCTCCCAAAGATCATTCGTGTCAGCATTCTTGAAGGCATATTTCTTCAAAAAACTCTAAAAGAAAAACAAAGCATCCTATAAGTAAGTCACTTCATTCCTGCAACTTTGATTCAGAGGTATATGTAAAAAGAAAAAATTTAAATCTTTCGGATGTATCCACAAAGAAGTATCAAAGTGAATGGTAGAACATATAGGGGAAAAGAAGTGCATTTTACCCTATCAAAGTTGTTCCTTATCCTCCAATTGTCTGACGGAGTCAGACACCCTATCAAAGGGAATGTTAGAACATGTAGAGGAAAAAGCGCATTTTACCCTATCAAAGGAAGTGTTAGAACATGCAGGGGAAAAGAAGTGCTATTACTCCGATCAAAGTGAAGTATCAAAGAGAATACTAGAACATGTAAGGAAAAAAAGTAAATTTTACCCTATCAAAGGGAGTGCTAGAACATGTAGGGGAAAAGAAACGCAGTTTTCGCTATCAAAGTAAAGTATCCATGTGAATGCTAGAACATGTGGGGGGGGGGAGCTTTTTACCCTAATATAAATAGCACCTCGCTGTTGTAACTGCTAATTAGATGATAATTTTTTCGTTTTCCTTTATTCATTTTCAATTTAATTTATGAAACTATTTTTAGTTATTTATTTTAATTTTGAATTGTTTCAGGGACTTGTAGCGTAATGAAGACATTGTTTCGTAGCACCTGAAATAAATTACTTTGTGATTTTTTAACTTCTTTTTATTCATTTTTCTTATTAAATTTAGCGCTTTGTTAAGGATAACAAAGATACATTAAATAGTTGACTATTTAAAACAAAGTTACCTATCAAAGTTAAAGTTTACTTTAGAAAAAAGAAACATAAAAAAAAGCAATGATAAAACTGCCTCAATTTTAGAATTGATGATGGATATTTACCGTCAATCCCTTCCTAAAGTCATCTTTTAATGTGTGTTGGAGCATTTTCATCACCGCACCTCCCTAAAACAAAAGAAATATCGATATGAGACCAAAAACGGTAAAACATACTCACCTAAAAAACACATTTCTCAAGGAAGCAAAAAATTACATAACATATCAAAGTCTAGTTCATACAAATTAAAAGTGTACTTATCAATCTCTTGTCCCATTGTGACGCATGAACAATACATGTCCTATTGAAGACTTGACCAGTAGAAATTTCTCAGAAAAACGGGTTAAATAACAATTTATTTAATTGTTATTTTACCATATTCCAACAAAACAGTCAAACAACCATAAATAAGAAAGTATTCAAACTCTAAACTGTGTGAAAAACTGTTTATTAATTGCTTTCACCTAACGCAGCTTTTTTATTACACAACACGATACCAACAAAACGTCGTCTGACGTTATCGAGTCAGGCAAATTATATGGTTGCACACTTTCCAGCAGTTTAACGATATCAATTATATCGTCCCCGATACTGGAAACGCAACGTCGGTAGAGCTCATGTGTTTCCCGTCAAATTGTACCGACATTTGTTGCACTTGCTCGTATCGTATTTTGCTTCAACTAAATTGCAAAATGCCCTCAGTTAAATTTGATGTTCTCTAGAACTTGTAGAAGCTAAAGAATATTTTTGGAATCCGATTTATATACAATTAAAATGGAAAGAATAAAATGATGGGCATAGATGAATAAATTTTTGGAGTACGATATAAAGACAAAAGAACACATAGAAGCAGATAAATATACTCTACATGAAATTAAATTTAATGAAGCTTATAAAAACCATTATTGATACATAATTTATGATTAAGGGGATGCAAATTCAGCCTTGAATTTATGGTACTACTTCCACAGCTGACTGAAGCGAAATAGACTGAAACAAAGCTGAAAATGTTAAATATATTTATAAAAAAAGATAATTCTTTAATGTGCTAAACGTTGTATTAAAATTAAAATAATTATACATTGTCGAGATTTGTAGTGTATCTACCACTACAAAAATACATTTCCAATTCACTAGTATATAAGTCGTGTTAACTCGATTCTATTTTGAGGTACCTTTTCATAATTGAAGGTTGACATTGTCGTTAATTACTATTCCCACATTGGTGCCCCGGACGTGATGTGAACACGCCTACTTTGATGTATAATCCACATTGAACAGTTGACTTCCTGCTTGTTGCTACTCAGTCTCGATCACACACAACGTACAAGGTATACACTCGACAGCTAAAGGCAACACAAGCGCGACCACGGCCGTGAACTTAATACAGCTCTCACGATCACCACTCAAAAACGTACGGTGATCTTAATACAGCTCACTCGGCTACTCACAAAACAGCAATAAATCAACTAGGGGTATCCGTTCATCGCATTCCACCACAGATATAATAATGGTGGGGGAGTACTAAAGTGTATCTACAGCTACAAAAATACAATTCCAATTCACTTGTATATAAGACGTGCTAACTCGATTCTATGTTGGGGTATCTTTTCATAGACGAAGGCTGACATTGTCGATAACTACTCTTCTCACAAGATGTTTTATATTTTCTTCACGAATCGTTTATAATATCAGATGAGGCGACGGTTGTTTGGAAATGTCGTCGTCCAAAATACACCAGAATGTATCTACGGTGAATAGTGAAAATGGTAGTCTGGGGAGAATGCCTCATAGATATTCTAGCAGGATAATGGACAATATCCATTACAAATTAATTATGAACATTAATACTAGACTGAGCAAAGCAGAAGTATTAATTTTAACGGAATTGTCTCAAAAATTTTCATTTCAATTCTAGTTTGGTGTTTGTTAAATTTAGCATTTTAAAGTTAGTTCACCCCCATGACACAAACTAATAATTTACATCATCAAGAAATTCTGCTTACAGAAACACTTTTGCTTGACTACTGTATTTTGGGGATCAGAAATTTTATTTAAAAGTTTATTCAGTGAATGTGAGGATTTCGTCTGATTTCGTAACTGAAAATATCGTCTGCACTAACTAATTAGCATATTTAAGCTCACACCCTCAAACTATTAAGTCCTAGTAAAAAACCCGATCAAAATTTATTGAGGGTGTTTTATTTTTTGACGCATTATACATCGAAGGAAAAATGAGAGTCCGTAATTGTTCAGTTTTTATCTTTTCACTGAAAAAGCGAACTAGTTTTCTTCCATTACATACCTTATTATTACTTTAAATTTTTAGAGTAAACAAATTTTTTTTCTAACTTAGGTTTCTTCCAGGGCTCGAAAAACCGCCCGTACTCGGCTGTCAAAAATTCCCCGCAGACAACAAATTTCTCGAATCCAGCGTCCGCGCGGACGGCCATTTTCCCGTTAATGTTCGTGATACATTTTCAATTCTTGTTATCTTACAAGAGTCTAGCGCCTCACTTCTAAAATGATCCTCTAATCTCGAAATACAGCAACATGCTGCGCATGGTGGAATTGATGTTTTCTCTGTCTGGGAGTACTGCAGCGGTTGAAAGGGGCTTTTCAGCAAGGAACTTACAAAAAGACACATTACTTACTGGTCTTAAGCAAAAAGCATTAAACGCATTCATGAACATCTACCTAAATGGAAAACCTCTTTCAGATTTCTGTGTAGAAACCTCTGTAAATCATTGGCTTGATTGTAGAACTGGCAAACGTCATATTTGTTTCATTTAAAAAACGCTGTACCCTCGGATAAATTGACATTCCAGATAACTTGACCTTTGTCATTTAAATTATTTCATAAAAGAAATAAATTATTTCATAAAAGAAATACTAGGTTACTATTAGTAACCTAGTATTTCTTTTATTACTGTATAATGTAATCCTAGTATTTGTAATCCTTGTAACTACTAATTCATTGTGCAATTTATATAAATGTTTGTAATAAATAAGAGAAAATTATATTTGTATTTATTTAGAAGCTACGGGTTAGTTTCAAAGGAGGACGGGTAAAATTTTTGAGTTTTTTCGAGCCCTGGTTTCTTCATTTAACTAAGCTCCAATACCGACATATTTCTGGGACATCGTTCTGCGTATGAAATAATATACATGACTGAAAGCGAGATTTCTCCAATAAATAATAAAAAGTATACTTGCTAATACACTATCTGGGAAAAAGTATCCGGACACCTGGGTTGTTATGGTGGTGGGAGTATAAACTTGTGGGGATGTCCACGTGGCTTGGTCTGTGTCCGTTAGTTCCTGTGGTTGAAAACATGAACTCTAAGATGCGTATGTGGTCATTTTGCACAATGTGCACTCCCAACTCTATAACAATATTTCGGAGTAGGCCCATTTCATTTCCAACTGCTTCACTCACACATCGAGGATTTCTCAAGCGTGGTTTGACGAAATAGGCGTTCAAAAACCGCCTTCTCTGAGCCCCGATCTCATAGAACACACCTTTAGGACGAATTAAAGTGCAGATTAGGTAGCCAGCCAAATCCTCACTGCAAGTACTCACTGTGATGGAAGTCTTATCAAAAACTGGAGGTAAAGTTTGTGTGTGCAGAATGTCATAGATGCAAAAGAGGGACCAATCAATCATATTAATAAGTGCATCAGGATTCAAGTCCATACCACTGCGGGTGTCTGGATGCTTTTGGCCGTATAGTGTATTAGAATGAAGTCCGCTCAGACGGAAAACCCTGTTTACCCATGGAATTTGTTCAGTTAATATTTTTGTTTCAATGAATTATATTCGAGGGAAGTTGAGAATACTTTTGAAGCTTTTAAATATGCCCTAGTTTTTCAAATTCACGAACAACTCAATGAAACAAAAATACTGATTAGATATTCAATAAATAAGAAAAATTCTATATATATTTTCTAAGGTGAAGAAAGTAGAGAATCCTTAAGCAGATGTAAACTAATAGAAAAAAAAAAGTGTTGAAATACCTTCTCATATGAAATGGCATCGAAAATTTCCGATATCTCTTTGGGTGTTGTGACATTTCGAAGTATCGGATTAGAATCAATATTTGAATCCGTGCACATCATTTTTGACACCTTTCGAACATCCACCTTTGAAAAGAAAAACTTATTCTTAATTTTTCTCCAGACAATTCAAATGTCGCCATTCATTTCCTTTTGATAAAATCTTAGATATAAACACTGAAAAAAAAATAGCCATCGAAGCTGACAGGGAAATAATGTATTATTATTAAGCGCGAAAATGAACGAAATGAAAACGAATGAAATGAGTCAGTTGTAATGATTTCTGTTTCATATCCTAAATTTAAGATAATTTACACTGTTTAAGATATGAAGAGAATTTCCAAACAGGGTCGATTTTCTCTGGAACTATTGGACCGATTTTAATGAACTTTGATGTGTAAATACATTGATACAATACAAAACAAATAACCATTCAACAATTGTAATACACACGCAAGATCGTGCGCAACACTCTTTGGAATCGGAAGGTATGAAGGTCTCATTTTTTTAATGAACGGCTATCAATATTTAACTTCATAACCCCGTAGTATTGAACCCTACCCAGAAGACAAGAGAACTCCTGAACCATTGGGGAAAATTAGTCTTAGAGTTGACTTTTCGATAGAACTAACCAGTATTTGCGAAACACGGAGAGGGGAATCACTGAACCTTCCAACGATTAGAGGCTACTATGGAAGGAGTATTCTAAAGGTTAAACAACTGAGGTTATTGTTTGTCAGCAGAACCCGCTATCGCTGAAATTCGAACCTGAGTCAAAATACGCTGATTGAGATAGATAAAATATGCTCCCACATAGCAAATTAAGGTTTATTTTCATCCAGCAAAAACCTTTTAATGTAAACCTAAAAACGTTTGTTAAAATTTGTTTACAGTTAAGATGGTTAAGAGCTTTGAACCGACAGAATCAATCACACCTGACCTGCATCCAAAACAACAAACCTATACAGCAAATTAAGGCTTATTTTAACTCAATAAAAACCTTTGAATGTAAGCCTAAAAAGGTTTGTAATACGGTTTACGTGCGAACCTTCTAACCTTAAAACGAGATCTGAGACACTCTGCTTTATTCTACGCACATTACCCACATCCAATACTTTGGAAAATTACCTTCCGTATAAAAACCTTAAATCGAGGTTGACTTAGGGTTTTCAAGAGTGAAAAAATCCTTTCATGAAGCTAGTCCTTCGATGAACATAATCTTAAATCTAGGTAATTATAAGGTTTATTTTCAAGGAGTCTTGAAAGCTCAGCTAAATTCCACCTTGTCATGCAATTTTAATGGACAATGCAATTCGATCCTATCGCTCGTGTGACGTCACATAAACCTTAATGATGGACCTAAGTGACCATTATACCTAAATAGCAATACTTTAAAAAAATAATTTTTAATCCTTTTAGGAGGAAAGGTTTGAAAGTGCAATATTTTTGCTTTATTGAAAAAAAGGTTTTTAGTAAAAACATTTTCGCGACAATGAAAAGAAAATACCGACACAAGGTTGACTTTAAGATTACACGCTTTCTGGGTTATAAAAAGAGATAAACTGTTACTCACTTCTGTAATGGCGGGATAGTATTTTCCCAGCGGTACATACATGATAAGGGTGGCCACTCCTTCGTTTAACCACACATCATTCCACCATTTCATTGTCACCAGGTTGCCGAACCACTACACATAACATAAGAACTTATTATTATCCCTAAGCAGAAAGATATACTCTTTCAATATTAAAAAGGTAAGGAAAAAGTCAACAATTGTTCCAAGCGCTCGAAAACAGGGACCCAATCTAAAGACGTGAATGGCGTTACGCCTTCTGTATCAAATCTCTTATGTTTTCATTATTACGTCTAGTGAGTCTTGGGAATGGATGCTTAATTTTGAGGGCTTGAAACAATTGTTTCAAGTGCTCAAAAACAGGTACAAATTCTCAAGACGTTAATTGCGGTAGACCGTCTGTTTCAAATTTCTTAGGTTTTCATCATTACGTCTGGTGAGTCTTGAGAATAGGTGCTTACTTTTGAGAGCTTAAAACATGACATTTTTCCTCAACATTAATAATTTTTCACACAACTGAAGTTTTAGTAGCGTCAAGAATTATGATCTTTCGTATTTTAAGTGTACGGTGTGCGATCGTATTTTAATACTCTTTTGCCCTTGGAATGAAAATCATTTAAAAAACAAAATTCTGGGTTTTTTTTTCGGTTGCTTCACAGAATTTATTTAAAAAAAAATGCAAGCAGCAAAATATTTTTTTAAAAAAAAGAGTGAAAAGAAATAATTTAATACCCTGAATAACTTTTGATCAAACAATTTGGGCTTTGTGTATTACAATCGAGAGAGATTGGTATCTTTCGTGTCTATTTATATATACCTCAGTGGAAACGAAATTTCTTTCACACAATCAAGATTCGTTTATAGTTTTATGCAAACATTTTAACCACATCCCTCACTATCCCGAGTAAACTCGGGCATAGCAGAATTCGTTTTGTTTTATCACGTTTTTACTCGGCCGGAAGATAAAATGATAATAATAAGCTGCTGTGTTTGGAAGCTTGCCAGGTTTTGTTTGCGAGTTTTGCCGTTGGATTGTGTGACTGCACACGTGTTTTGTGCTATTGTATATACCATAAATTACTGAATTTACATAGAAAAAAAGGGTAAAAAAATGGCGTATCACTTCCCTGGAGTAATATTTAAATTTTTTCCTTTTGATAACTCGGAATAGTAAACTGATGTTAAATTAAATGTTTTTTATAAGTAATAAAATTAAAATTTGAAATTAAAAATTAAGTATTATGTTTTGTTTTAGTTTCTTGTATTTATTAAATAAAATAAAATATATGTCAATTTTTTTGATTTTTTCTTCAAAGAAATCGGTAAGGAAAAAGAGGTTGATAATTATTTATTTTTATTTAAATAATGATTAAAATTCTAAAAAAATTTCTATAATCTTAATGATACAATTTTAAAAGACTACCACCTTTAAAGTTCGAGCATTTGTCGCATAGTTAGAAAGAAATTAAAGTTTTAACAGAAAAAAAAGAAGACGAAAAACGATGAACTTGCTTGAAAAACCGGTCTACTTCAAAAGATTTTTTATTTTTATTTTACAACCGTCGTTGAACAGCCGACTACTAATGTTCAATTCCGTAGCCTTGTAACTTTGAACCCAATCCAGAAGACAAGGGAGAAATTTTGTCCTCGTGGAAAACTTTTAGATGGAATTAACCAGCATTTGCGCTACATGAAGAGGGAAACCAGGAAGCCTACCACGGATAGCCTGACGACAAGGGGACTCTAACTCATAATTCGTCTACCATTGAGGATATTTTACGTCTACACTGTGGTCTTTGCAAGCACGATGCGGAATTCGTAACGACCATCCATCGGTGGGATACGAACCCGGCTCACCTCTTTTTAAAGCGAACGCTCTATCCTCTGATCCATCACGGATCACACTATATACATGCTGACGTTGATGTGACGTTTTGTGAGTTTGAACTTGACGCAATTACCTGGTGTACTAATTCGTGGGCAATCACTCTGTCCCTTTCTACAATCATCTGATGAGATGTCAAGTTCCCATCTTCCAGAAATCGTTTGGCGTTGTAAGTGATGATTCCCCAGTGTTCCATCCCAGGTACTGTATAACTTGGAATAGCCACTGAATCTGTAACAAGAAAGATACCCATGTAACACATCGGTATTCAACACAGCCTCCCTTAAAAGTGATTTATTATCATTTGGTCACTCTTAAATACAGAACGAAACAACGTCAAACAAATGCTTTATTGTTTAACCTGGCTACTTTGCGTTCTCTTTTCAGACTTTCGAATATGTAATGGCAAATAAGATTAAGATGTGGAGAATACGGTGGCTGAGGTAGCTCAATTCTATCATTTTTTATCGTAACCATCGACTTATGGTCTTGAGGAAAAGGGGTCATTTCTTTCTGGTTTAATGTTTTCAAAAATGCTCGATATATTGATAGTTTTCTCAAAGCATATGGTAAAATACGCATTTAACAGAGGGTCGATTGTTACGTTTGACCCCTTTGGGGTTCTTATTCAGATGACTGCCGTTCAACGATAGGCTAAGTCTTTGCCTTTATCGATACAGAAAGCCTTGATTATTTCACATCAACAGCTTCAAAAACTACTTTAAATAGTCACGACGCTTTTGGATGTTTTAACATAAAACTCTCGTGAACAAAGAAAGCGTGATACAATTTGGTGAATTTGGTCCAAATGTTCGTGTAAGTACAGTTGACATTGCTTTCATTTTATCGTTATCTAATAAAATTTTGAAGGAATGTATGTGACAAACCTCTGTGTGAGAAAACCAACATAGGTCAATAGATGTCGCTTTCTCCGTAATAATAAACTGTTAGAGATATATTTTGATATGAAGAGTTAGTTCAAAACTTAATATAGTTCAGAAATATAGTTCAAAAATGAGTGACCAAATTTATTTTTAAGTATTACAGTATCAGCCTTATTGATTTAGTCATAATTTAGAAATATCCGTCAGAAACAAGGGAATGTTTAAGCTTATAAGATAAAAAGTAATATAAGAAAAAAATTTAAATCATTTCTTACTTAGATTAATAAAAAAAAATTTATTTTAGTTACGTTTTATTAAATAATTAAACATTTTTCACCCATATGAAACTAAAATTAATTTATTTAATTTAATTAATGAGTTTGAAAAAACTGTATTAACATCATCAGTTTTAAAAAAATGTAATTGAACTCGAGTGGCTGAATAAAAAGTATTTTACTACCGACTGAAAATTTGAATAAGATATTAAGAGAGTGTGAACTTATTGAAAAAAGCTATAAAAAATAAATAACACACCAATTTTTTTTTTAAACTGAGAAAATAGGAAAATGAACCAGAAAACAATTGCATACAACGTTCGTAAAATTTTTTCATTTTCTTCTCACAATTTGATTTAAAAATTCGGTAATGTTTTTTAAAACTTTATGAAATTTTATAATTTTTATGACTGTTGCAAGGATAGGAAATATTCCTGAAGCAATTCATGATTACTATTTCATTAAATGAGCAACTTTTGATTGGTAATTTGTTTTTATATGACAATTTTTAAAAATTCGAAAAGTTGACAAAAATTTGATGCTTTTTTTAAAAAAAATAATATAAATTTTAAGGCTTTTACGGGGAATGAAGAAAATAACACGTGATATACAACTTTTGAGAGCTTTAAATTATCGAATACGCTTTTTTTTTTATTCCACCATAATATAGTTTGTCTTAAAGTATGAACTCCCCTAGTCATTCGTCTGGCGGTGACTATGGTAACGAGGTATAAATATTTCAAGTAGGGGTGTGGACATTGAGTCGGTCGGGAATATATTTCTAGGCTCTAGTCCTACAGTGAAGAGAAGCCATCCTTCCTAAAATGCGCTATTATTGGGGGAGTTCTTACCGTAGACAAACTATACTTTGGTATTCTACTGGTATTACTGTTGAGCGTTTAAGCATGAAAATGAAAAGGTGTTTGGTTTTTAAGATGAAATGAATTACCAAGCTTGGGAAGGTGGTAGGGTACATCGAAGAAATCTTCCAGTATCTCTAAGAACTTGACAGTTAACTTAAGACTACGGTCAGCTTCCTGTATTCTGTCGGGGGGTGCATAGGCCCTCACCTACAATAAAATTCTTACTAATATAGGTAGCGATATACACTGGTGTAAGCAATTAAGAGAATTTACAGACTGGGTCGATTATCTCTGGAACGATTGAACCGATTTTAAAGAAATTTGGTGTGTACATACAATGATACAATACAAAACAAATAACTATTCAGCAATTGCAAGACACACACATGGTCATGCGTGACATGGTCAGCGACTGCAGAATAATCAACAAAAATGGGTTGATATGAGGTATGGTCCCCTCTTTGATGTACTTGAAATAAGGCAGTTTATAATTTTTTGTGGCGATTGTCCTGGGGCAATTTCATACCTTCTGACTCTAACGAGTGTTGCGCATGATCATACGTGTGTATTACAATTGTTGAATGTTGTTTTGTATTGTATCATTGTATGTACACATCAAATTTCTTTAAAATCGGTTCAATAGTTCCAGAGATAATCGACCGAGTCTACGAATTCTCTTAATTTCTTACAACAGTGTATTATGACAAAATATTTCAAAAAAATTGTATGTTGAGTTAAAAATGGCTAATTTGCACACAAAATAAATAATCTTTTCTATTGTTTAAATGAGTAATGTTATAAACAAGAAATGTAAAAAAAAATTTAAAGTCAATTCCTACTAAAGTCAATTTTGATTTTAGTAACTTTTTATTAAACAATTGTAGTTTTTTTCTCGAATATAAAACTAAAATTAATGAATTAAATTTAATGAATGAATTTATATTTGAAAAAACTGTATCAACATCAAAATTTGAACAAGATAATAGAGAGAGTGTGAACTAGTATTAGGAATTGGAAGAAAAAAAGTTTAAATATAAGACATTTTCATTTATTACAGAACATTATTGTCTTATAGTTCATCCCTTATTTTATCCTTTATTGTCTTGTAATTTATAATTTCATTACCTTTTTTTTACTTCTTTAGACTCCTTCTTACAGTCATCATTTCCTTCTTCACCATTTTTTTTCTCCCCTCCGTTATAAAATTACAAGCAAATATCCGTTTTGATCATAGGCCTGCTAACAAAATCTCTTAAAATTGATTTTGATAACCCACATTCCCAGTCAGTGAGAGCATCGAATAAACCAGGCGCGCTTTAAAGTTCAAACACGATGTCCGTTATCACAAATATGAGATTGCTGCACATTGTTGGAATCTTGGACGTACATTGTATTTCGCCAAATTGCTTCCTGAGTCACATCTTGTTGCTCTGGAATCTTACTGTATTCACATGAATGCTCTTGATAACAAAATTGGTTCCACACCTCCATAGCACGTGAAAATGCATTTCACCCCTTTCAAACACCATGGTTTTTCCTATTTTGTTTCTTCATCTTTTTTTCTCTATATTTTTTTAATCTTGTTTCTCACCTTTATTTTTCCATTTTTCTTTGGTAACTTTTCGTTTTATTTGAAAATCATTTCTTTTCATTAACATCTCTTAGGTGTGCGCGCGCTTGATTTTAAGTGCTTGAAACACGCCGATTAGCATATATTTGAAGCGAGTCAAGTTTTTAATCAAATAATAACTTCAGTTTCTTGGGATTATTTCTTTAATACCTGTTTCTATGAATGCTTCGTTGGCAGTCTCCTTATTAAATTCTTTTATAATTTTTTTCGTAGTAACATTTTTAAGCTTAAAAGAAACGTTTTAAATCGCACCTTTAAATATTTAATTTATTTATCCATATTATCTCAGTGATTACTTCAATATTTCTCCCGGTTATTTTTAAGCGAATAACTATATAAGATACCTCTTTTCTCCACTATTGGCATTTCGAACATAGCTTATTATTGCCCGTTGGCAAAATAAGTCTTGGTTCGGATTTGATGGCTTCCACACACTTTTCAACTGGTAAGGGTAATAGGTAATAGTGCACAGTGCGCATGCGTCGTCATTTGTGCGTTGCTATGGCGATAGCAGCTGTTTTTCTTTTTATTTTCACTAGCAGGCATCTTTAATGTATTTACATAATAATAATTTAAAGTATTTTTATATTTTTTTTATTAACGTATAATGACTGGCTTGACGGTTATTTCAATATAAATATGAATGCTGAATAAGAAAAAGTATTTGGCGAAACACTTACATAAGCAGGCTATGAAAATCTATCTGACAACAAGCATCCATTGAGACAGTTTTTGCAACCCATGATTTGAAATGGTGTGGAGTTTAATGGAGTCAATACGGAAAGAAAAAGCATTTGACTCATGGGTAACCAGTGATCGTAATTAGGTGATCACAACTTTTTTTAAATACATTTTTTGTTTTATAAACACAGCTCTTTTGCTCTTGTGAATTAGTAACATGTAAGCTTTTTTTAATTGAAAGCATTTTGCAGAAAGTTATATTACAAATACTCCCTTTTTAGCACTGTTATTACTCGAGAATTTTACTTGTTGTCTTTCCAAATTTTCGAAACAATAATTGAATTTATTAAAACACGTTTTAAAAGAGCAATTACCTTAAAAAAAATACAACAATACAGTTTTCATAATTTATAAAACAAATAAATTTTCCCAATTAGTAACCACACAGCTTTCACAATATTGTAACACTTCGCAGAAGAATTGTTTGTGTCGACAGATAGATGATTTTTCATTGGTGAGTCATTTTACACAAAATGGAACATGATTCGAAATTTCTAATCGACTCGTAACGCACTACCTGGTCAAAAGAATCCGGGCACCCATTCGAATGGAGCGTCCTGATAATTTGTGGTTGGACCCCTTTTTGGCATCGATGACAGCCTGCACCAGCAGGAATTGGCTTCCATCATAGCTGAAGTTGAGTGCTTGTAGTGAGGAGGATCGATTTGGGTGGCTGCGTAATCTGCTTTCCAATTTCTCCCAAAGGTGTTCTATAGGGGATCGGGAATCTGAGAAGCCCCTTCCGGTTTTTAAACACCCATTTCGTCAAACGACGTCTGTGCAAGCCTCGATCTGTGAATGGAACAGTTGTCCTGCTGAAAGGGAAATGGGACGAAATATTGCCATAGAGTTGGGAGTACTGCATTTTCCACATACGAACGTTGGTCAAATTATTAGACGCCCTAGAAGATTCCTTGTAAAATCTTAATTATACCTGTTACTATACAGCTTTGTTTTTACGCGGCTAAAACCAGTTTCCACTTGTTTACGTTCGTGTATCAATTGGTTAAATTAGACTATATATAATATAAGTTCGACTATTGGATACATTAGAGGATATATTATATAAATATATAATATTTATTATATCAGGTATTATATTATAATAAAGAGACTAAATTAATCGACGCACTGTAGTGTTTTAATAATGACATGTTTTGCACGATTTTGTAGGCAATACATGTATATTTAAACAGACATGTAATGGGTTTGTATGCAGGAGATATTTTATATACTTTCTATTTTCAACCCTATTGCATTACAATGTTAACGAATTGATACACTAACGTAAACAAGTGCAAACCTGTTTCAGTCGCGTAAAAAACAATAAAGCTGTATAGTATCACCTGATCATTAAAATTTTACATCGAATCTTGGTCATATCTCAGAGTTCATGCTTCCAACCACAAGAACTAACGAGCGCAGGCCAAAGCACGAGAAACACCCCCACACCATTACGCTTCCACCATCGGGTGTCCGGATACTCTGGGATCCAGATAGTGTATTATGATCCAACGCAAAAGGGAAAGAAAGTTGAATACTTACGGGTTTTCCCTTGTATTCTGTTTCTAAGTAATCAAAGTCCGAAACAACGAAACAGACGAGGTATGTAGACATGTTCACAGATTCCTGAAACACGGTTTTCACAAGATTTTCACCCATTTCTTCTCTGCTCTGAAATAAATATCAAATCATTTTTTTTTCAGCCTTTTTGTTGACAAAAAATGACAACCCAAGTCAACATTTTGGATGGTTTTTCCATTGATGGACTAACATAATCTTGATGATAACCATCAATAATTCCATCATGAACTACTATATTTTTGATGGTAACCAACATAAGTAATCATCACCCCAATGTAGAAATTCGGAGTGATTTATGATGGTCCAACATTTGCAACTTGTTTTGATGGTTTCTTCATGTTGAACCATCAGAAACTTCTATCGTAGTTTCTTAGAAATCAAATGTCGGAAGGATCATGAACAACCATCATCCCAATGTAGGAATTTATGACGGTCCACCATAAAAAAAAACAATGTTTTGATGATATATTCCTGAGGACCAACAAGTATTCCTGTTAAACCATCATGGAAATGTGTTGTTGAAACTATCAGAGAATATCAGGGATTGTTGGTCCATGAAAATTAAACTTATCTTGATGGTTAACCATCATAGTATTAAAGTATCATTTTCCATCATGTAATGATGGAAGTTTGCTGGCATATCAAAATCATGATGCATAATGGAAAATGTTGGATGATGGCGACCATCAATTGATGTTGTACCATAATGGATTGCACTGAAATCAACATAAATCATCAAAATGCTTTGATGGAACCATCAAGAATTTCAACTTTGGGTGGTACATTTTTTATATGAAATTAGAAAAATGGGGAGATCATTTTGGAAGCATCTGATTTATTTCATAAATCATTGCTTTATTTTTCCTAAAAAGTGTAATTTTTTTAAGATAAAATATGTAATTTTTAAAATTTTATGTGAGAACATTCTGTTAACATGTTAAATGTAACGAAATGAAAGTGATGAAATGTAAATTTTGTTAAACTTAAGAATACACATTGTGTGACGTAATAAGAAAAAACAGATAATTTTACTTGTAAAGGAACATTGTAACATTTGAAACTAGGAACTGTGTTTTCCTGGCGCTATCAAATCTCTCTCTCTTTTGTCAATTTCGCCGAACGAGTAAATAAAGATCTTGAGAGAGATAAATAAATTTTCCTACAAAAATAGACGAACTGTCTTTACAAAGCAAACAAAAGTTTGAAAATTACAAAAAATCGAAAATTTGAAGAAAAAAAATCGAGTTAAGTTCATAAATAAGACAGGAAAGCACTTTATTTATGTCTGCACAATGAGGTATTGGTAACGTTCTGGGAAACATCCCTGAAGATGATCCTAAGACATGTCATCGCCATTTCGTTCCTCTGTAGAGGGGATGGCTCCCCTCCTTTGGTAACCCGAGAACTTGGGCGCGAAGTCAAGCACTTTAAGGTATAACAGTTTAACGACGACCGATATTGCACTCCCTCGGTCTCTACGCAGCCTGATCAAAGTGGTTACCCACCCGCTTACTGACCGTAGCCAGGGATGCTTGACTTCGGTGTTCTACTAGGAACAGAGTCTTTACAATCAGTCGACTACCAGACTCATGAATAAGAATGGCCTTCAAATATCAACTATGAAGTTGCATTTCAGCAGACTGCTGAGCAACCTACATGCTATTTTTTTGAATGATGATAAAAACTTTTTGCACGAGTGATGTATCCCTTGTTCATTTTTCTAGATATTTTCAAGCTTCTAAGTGTTTAAACGAGATCCCAAAACAGTCACGTCGTTTGTGAATTGCAGTTTTAATCAACTTATTGCTTGCACATATCATGAACAATTTTAATGAAGGGATAATTCGTAGTTCCCCCTTCGAGTTTTCAGAACACAAAGTTATATTTTATATAAAATTATCTTTGGATTTTGTAATTAGTTTGAAAATTTTTGGAATCCCATTAAAACGTTCTCGACGTATGGCGAAATAGGCACAAAGTAAAATTAACTTTTAGGGGTCAAAACTTAATACCGCTTTTATGACCAAACTATTTGAACCCTATTTCAGGATTGCGGCAAACCCCCATAATTTGGGAGTCAATATACCGAGAAAGTACATTTTTGTGTCTGATTTCGTAACTTAAAATATCGTCTGCACTAATTAATATGCATATTTAAGGTCGCCTTCTCGAAACATTTAGATTGAGTCCGGGAAAGTGAAGATCCGTCCATTAGATCTAAACTTACGAGGGTTGCTATTTATATTTCTGGCCTTGGCAACAGTAAGTGTTGCTAGTTGACCGCAGACGATTTTAAACGAAAGTTTGATATTTTTAAACATAAATTCAGCAGACGATTTACCATTATAGCTTCATTTGTGTTGTTGACAGTAAATTGAAAAGTTCTTCTCTTTCAAAAAATGGAATTGAATCGTGAACATTTTCGTGCCATTATTTTTCATAACTTTCGACGTGGATTGTCAAGACAAGAGTGCTTCGATGAACTTAATTCTTTATTCAGCGATAAAGCGCCATCCTACAGCACTGTAAAAAATTGGTATAACGAATTTAATCGTGGTCGATGTTCGATCCAGGACGAATCCCGTGCAGGTCGTCCAAAATCCGTTGTTGTGCCAGAAAAGATCGATGCTGTGCGTGAACTGATAAAGCAAGATCGTCATGTGACATACCGTGAGATAGAGGCGTCTTTGGACATTAGTATGACTAGCATCAATAAAATATTGCATGAACATTTGAGCGTAAAAAAAATTTGTTCGCGTTGGATCCCGCATAATCTGACAAACGCTCAAAAAAAGGCTCGTGTCGATTGGTGCAAGGAAATGTTGGAAAAATACGTTCAAGGTACATCAAAGGCTGTGTATAACATCTACACAGGTGACGAATCATGGATCTATGCATATGAGACGTAAACAAAACAGCAATCAACTGTATGGGTCTTCCAAGACGAGGCAAAACCAACAAAAGTTGTTCGAGGAGAAGCACATCGAAACAAATGATTGCCTGTTTCTTCGGTATTAACGGTCATGTGGCAACAGTGGCGTGAGAGCAACGCAGGATGGTCAATTCTGAATGGTACACAACCATTTGTTTGCCAGAAGTCATCGGAGAAATTCGAAAAAAAGCAGAAGAACAGGCGAATCATTCTTCATCATGACAATGCGAGCTCTCACACATCGACTCAAACAAAGGCATTTCTGACGGGTTGAAAGATCGAACTGATGGGTCATCCGCCGTACAGCCCTGATTTGGCACCCAATGACTTCTTCTTATTCCCACACATCAAAAATAAATTACGTGGACAACGATTTTCGACCCCCGAAGAAGCGGTTGATGCATTCAAAACGCATGTTTTGGAGTTACCTCAATCGGACTGGAAAAAGTGCTTTGAAAATTGGTTCAAACGCATGCAAAAATCCGAAATTAGTCATGGAGAATATTTTGAAAAACAATAAAACCAATTTCGATCCTACATGTTTGTTTCTTCATTATTAGGCCAGAAATATAAATAGCAACCCTCGTATTCAAGGAGTTCCGCTCTTCCCCTATCGCACTGTAAAATCTCACACAAGCAGAAAGTAAAAAAAAATAGATAGGGAAATTTCAAAAGTGGGGAGCGAGTACTTATAGACCATGTCAACATAGTACTCCCCCTCCAGAATCATAGCTGTGATAGAATTCGATGAACATATATCACTAGTTGATTCATTGCTGTTTTTGTGAGAAGCCGGGAGAGCTGTATTAAGATCATCGTACATTTTGATGATAGTGAGATCTGTATTAAGTTCACTGTCGTGGTTGCTCCTGTGTTGCCGTTAGAAGTCAAGTGCATGCAGGCCGAGGTTGTGTGTGATCGAGACTGAGTAGCAACAGTGCGAGGAGGTGGATAATGTCGCAGTCACAAGTAGGAACTCAATTGTTCAACTTGGACTATCCATCGAATTAGGCGTTTTCAGATCAGAAGGTTATGTGTCCAAATCACGTCCGGGTCACCAATGTGGGGAGCGAGTAGTTATCGACCCTGTCAGCCGTCATCTATGAAAAGGTAACCCCTCCGTAGAATCGAGTTAACATGACTTATATACCAGGGAATTGGAATTATATTTTTGTAGTGGTAGATATGCACTACGAAGTATTACAACCTTGAAAACAAACAATATGGTTCCTTAATTGCATACCTGTTGAGGCATGTTGGAGAGTGCTGTGTAGTTTTCGTCGTGAATGATGCTTATCTTGAAAGAAGCTTTGAAATCGGGCTCATCGAAGCATGGGAAGACTCGCCTGGCATAGGTGGCTTCAAACTGAGTTGCCAACAAAGTTCTAAAAAAAACATTTTTCCTTCAGTTAGAATATGCTAAGGGAAAACGTAAATTGAACTTTCCACACTGTCTGGTAAAAAGTATGTTATGGTGGTGGTAGCATAATGGTGTGGGGGTAGTTTCTCGTGGTTTGGAACACTTGGTCCTGTGGTTGGAAACATTAACTCTTAGATGTATGTGGACAATGCTGCACTCTATGTCAATATTTCGGCCCATTTCTCTATCCACTGCAGTTCGTGCAGACACGGTTTAATTTTGTTCAAAAACTGCCCTCGCATAACTTCAATCGCACCTATGAGACAAATTAGATTACGTAGTCAGCCAAATCCTCACTGTGATGGAAGCCAATTCCTATAAAAAAAAACTGGTGGGAAATCTTCGTGTGCAGGCTGTCATCGATGCAAAACGAGCACCAACATCATATTAATAAGGGCCTCTGGAAGCTCTAAGACAATTAAGCTCCTGGATCAAGTATTGGGAAAAATTTGACTTCGTGGAGGACTATCTGATGGGATTAACCCGCAATTGCGTAACAAGGAGAGGAAAATCACGAAAACACCCCACAGTTATCCTGACGGCAAGGGGACTCTGACCCATCATTCGTCTACCACTGAGGATATTTTATGTCAGCACTGAGGTCGGTGCTAGCCGGATGCGGAATTCGTATAGACCATCCATCGGCTGGATACGAAACCGGGTCACCTCATTGGAGGGCGAACGCTCTATACCCTGAGACTGCAAGTTCTTATAATTATTGTTATTTGAAAACCGTTGACTTTTCATTTCACTGGTGGAAATGTCTTCGTGTTCAGGCTGTCATCAATGCAAAAGAGGGACCAAACATCATATTAATATGTGGACGGCTGTTTGGACACTTTTGAACACATAGTGTATACTAAGTAGGGGAAAGTGGGATGAGACAAGACAGCCGACATTCGAAGTAACTAAACTGTCCGACCTAGAAACTGTCAGATTCAATCAAAATATTCATACTTGTCCTGAGAAATCGTATAAATACCATTTTTTTAATTTTATAAAAATATTTTTTCCAGAAGAAGTCAAATCACTCGATCTTACCCTGCAGACAAATATTCATATGTCTATGAAAAATTTAGATATACTAGAATTTCAGGAGAAAAGTGGCAGATATTTTTATTTTTAAAAGTGGCTATCTGCTTCTTCTGCAGCTTGCGTAGGCCAAAGGGGGATCAGAAAGAGGAGGGATTTCTATCTAATCTCCCCTCAATTCATGAGTGACTTTCTTGGGTTATAGTCACACATGAAGTGAAGGGGGATAAGAGCGGGTAGTAACCCGTTAAACATAGGTTTTCGAGACGTAAAAGAGCAGTGCTGCTAAATCCTTATCGTTTATTGAGGTATAAATCTTTAGTTGACGTACAATTAACTGGACTAATAACAATTAATTTTAACTTTATTAAACGAAAAAGAATAAAATGAACGAAGACCTAACCACAAAAAGAGTTTTCAATGCCAGTCCAGTTGGCATACGAAAAAGAGGCAGGCCGAATTTGAGATGGATAGATGGCCTAGAAAAAGACCTTTTGGTCTTAAAATCTGAAAACTGAAAAACACTAGCAGGAAAGAGGTTAGCCTGGAAAAAACTTCTTGAGAAGACTAAGGCAAACCCTGGACTGTTGAGCCATTGATAATGATTGAAAATAATTTTTATAACTGTATGGACGAATTAATAATTTTCAAAATACTAGAGAGGCAACTTATCTGTACAGGGGCCGTGCAAAAACCCGCAAATATCCTTCTTCTTGACCAGCAAAATAGCTAGGAAACAAAACTAATGTCGACAGTACGGTCTTTGCCCCACTCTCCCCAACTTCATTTTAGAGACCAACATTCGCTCCTTTTAAAAATAATATTCCAAAGTGGTTGGTATATTGAGAAATCAGTTATAGTCAAATATATTTTCACATTTTTTGGCAGCTGTTTCATACTAACGTTTCGTCATCGTGTTGTTGTTTGATTTATTCATTTGTACTGATAATTTTTGATTGAATTTATAAATCCAAGTATGAAATACAGAAACAAAAGTTTTATTCCTGCCTCAAACATGAAAATAAATTCTTCCGGAAGAATTCACAGCTCACATGCCTGTTATCAACTATCTGGCTTGACGAGAATTTTATTAATCTTAACAGACAAACAGCGGCATTTTTAATGAACTCTGGCAATTGTTTTATCCGAATTGAATATTAATCACGCAAAATAAAAATGGAGAAAAAAAATTAATGCATTTTTTTTTAACGAGAATTTATTTTAGAAACTTGGTTGTCAAAATAAAGGTTCTAAATAAAGGCTCTAAATAAAAAAAAAACTTCACTGTATTGCAATTTGGGTATTGATTTAGATTACGTTGGTACTTTATATACGTCGCACTAGAGCTTCACAACGGGCTATCGTGTATCATTTGGTTAAATTAAACAATATCATATTTATTATAACAGGTATTATATTAGTATATTACAGGGGTGGTCAACCTGCGGCTAGCGAGCCACATGCTGCTCTTTCAAGGATTATTTGTGGCTCTCGATAAATGTACCCGAGTTCGCTTTTCATTTTTGTGTTATTATATTTTTAAAAAAATTATTATCGTTCCTTGACGAATCGACATATATCATAGATCTTCCGCAATTGGTAGTATTCCTACATTTTTTTCAAGTGACTTCGTTGTTAAAGAAGAATTATTAGATTTAGTAGCACTTCAAGAATCAACCCTTGGTGTCGATATTAAAAATGCATTAGATTACGTAAAGAGAACTTTTGATGTGATCTTAATGAACTTGTAAGCACTGTTACTGATGGAGCTCCAGCAATTGCGGGTAAAAAAAATCGGTCTTATTGGGATTTTAAGAGATGACTCTCAAATTCCACAATTCATACCGATTCACTGCATAATTCACCGAGAACAAGGACGAAGAACTTCCGAATGACATTAATTTCTTTTGCATTGTTAGATGATTATTTTGCAACAACGTATGAAATGGTTTTGTAGATTTGTTTGATCCAATAACTGCATTTCTAAAAGAAAAGGAAATAACTTATTCAGAATTAGACGATGGCGAGTGGTTACAAGACTTAATGTTTATAACTGATGCCATGGAACATTTGCAAACACTGAATTTACAATTTCAGGGGAAAGATAAAATAATACCTGACCTCTCACAGTGTATATTTAGTTTTCAATTTAAATTACAACTTTTTTAAAAGGACATTTAAGATAAAACATTTTGTCAATTTCCTCGATTTAAAAAAATTTGTTCCAATATTAAAAAAGAAAAACTCAACGAATATATAAAATAGCTAGAAGGAATATTGACGAAATTCCAAAATAGATTTCAAGACTTGAAATATTTTAAATCGTCTCTAGATTTTTTTCTTAATCCATTTGAAATTAACATAATTCAAGGTGAGTGTTTTCCATTTCCAATATAATTATGACCCAAAAAGCGTCTGGAGAATTAGAATTAATAGAGATGTAAGAAAATCAAGCTCTACAATTAAAATATAAGTCGACGTCGATTACTGAATTTTGGAAATTTGTACCAGAATCGAAGTATCATGAATTAAAAAAATCTGATTGTCGAATTATTTCAATATTCGGAACAACGTACTTATATGAATCATTTTATTCCACTTTAAAATTCGTGAACACCGATCAGCATTAACTAACCAGCATCTCAAAGAATTACTGAGAAGTGCTGTCAACAATTATTCACCAAATTTTGAAGAATTATCAAGAGAAGTAAAATAAATGCGTTTAATTTTTAATATTTAAATTCAATACACATATTTTGTACTTTTATTTATATGTTTTCAATAAATGTAATTTCTGTAAAAAAAAAATTCATCCCTTTTTTGCCTACCTCTTAAATACGTATTTAATTGCGGCTCTAAAAAATTTAAAATTTTGAAAAATGGCTCGACTATTAATGAGCTTGGCCACCCCTGGTATACAGGGTGTTTCATATTGAATGGGACAAAAAGAATAGCGCAGTGTGACAGCCGTAATGGATTTATTCAGCCGAAACAAATTTATTCAGCAACTACAATTATACAAGTTTTATTTGGCAGCAGTGAAAAATCAGCGAATGACGAACTCGCTGCTAGAGGCGCTGTTAAACAAAATGTCATCCATGCAGCAGAAAGCGTACTGCGTTTTCGAATATGCCAAAACCTCCCCTGTAACTGTTGTGCAAAGACATTTTCGCACGAAATTGCATAACGAACCACCGCATCGGCATAACATAAGCAGCTGGGTTCCAGGATACCGGCTGCTTAAGCAAGAACAAAAGCCAAGGACGAAAAGAAACTCCAGCACAGGGGATATGCTATCACGAGTGTAGCAGGATTACCGTGCAGACATTTGTCGTGTCACTGGAGGGGAACATATTGAACACCTGTAGAAACTTGAATAAATGTAGTTTTTAAGTAAATTTGAATTTTCTAAATATATTAATTATAACGTTTACAATCATGTTTTCTTTTTGTCCCATTCAATATGAAACATCCTGTATTATAATAATTAGACCATACTATTAGACGCACTGTAGTGTTTTAATAATGACATGATTATACGCAATACTTTTATATATTAACATGCATGTAATGGGGTTTTATTCTGGAGATTTTTTATAGACTTCCTATTTGTATTTATTTTTAGCGTGTTGCATTACAATGTTAATCAGTTGATACGTCGAACGTAAATGAATGCAAACCGGTTTCAACCGCACGAAAACAATAAAGCTGTATAGTATCACCTGATAAGTTATAATATTACAAAGAATCTTGTAGTGCGTCTAATAATTTGGCCAGTTACTGCATCTATTCTGATCTTTTCAGAAAGGAAAATTGTAATAAATTACCGCTTTTCTCCAGTTATTCTGTGGGTGTAGTGGTAGACACCCATTCCATCGAGTGAAAAACTTCCCTTGAAGTTGAGGTGGAGGAGGTGGTTTCCCGGAAGAATGGTCTGGTTGAAACGAATCACCCAGAAATCGGTCTTCTTGTGTGGAAATGCCTCGTCCACTGCTGCAGATGGACATTCAGTATGTGTGATCTTCAGACCATTCTGATGGAGAAGGATGTAGTCCGTCTCTTGAGTGACCATCAACTCAATCCTTACTTCACCCTCCAGGGATCCCTTCGAGACATTGGGCTTCAACACTATGTCGTACCTACTCATCCAATTAAAAATTTTTTGATTATTTTCCATTGATGAACCAATATAATCTTGATGGTAACCATCAATTTTTCCATCATAAATCATTATATTTTTGATGGTAACCAACATTAGTAACCATCACTTCAATGTAGGAATTCGGACTGATTTATGAGGGTCCGACATAAGAATAGCAACTTGTTTTGACGGTTGATTTATGTTGAACCACCGAAAATTTCCATCATAGAATCTTAGAAATCAAATGTTGGAACTATCATGAACCACCATCATCCCAACATAGGAATTCGGACAGATTTTTGATGGATCAACATAAAAAAATATTATTTTGATGGTCTATTCTTGCTGAACCAACAATAATTATTATTAAACCTTTATTAAAATGCATTGTTGTACCATTATGGACTATCACGAATTTTCATCATAGTATCTCGGAAATCAAATGTTCGAATGATCATGAACAACCATCATTCCAATATAGGAATTCGGACTGATTTATGATTTTCCAATATAAAAAAAACTAAATTGTTTTGATTCCTAAGAACCAACAAGAATTTCCATTAAACCATCATGGAAATGTATGGTTAAAACCATCTTAGATTGCTGGTCAATGAGAATTAAATTTTTCTTGATGGATAACCATCATAGTATAAAAGTAGCATTTTCCATCATGGAATGATGGGAGTTTGTCGGCATGTCAAAAACCATGAAAGCATAATGGAAAATGTTAGTTGATGGCGACCATCAAGTTATTTTGGACCATCATAACATGTACTGAAACCACTGACCATAAAGAATTTCGACTCGGATATCTAGAAATAATCTTTCAAACTGCTGTTTCATACAACTAATACATTCATGCCCTACTTTAATATCTTTTTTTATTTGCTGGTTTCGGGGTCTTTTTATCACTTTTGCGGTCAAGTTCATGTTTTATATCCTGCTATTTCTACAGTTTATTTTATACATCCAGGTCTATTTTGACCGGATTCCTTTTTTGGGTCAAGTATGTGATGAAACCGACACCTGAAAATAATTTCAGGTAAGTGTAATGAATGAAGTATATTTTTAAATGAAACGTCGTGAATAAAACCAAACATTTTTCATTTAAATTTTAAAAATCTTTACGTTTGGTATGAGGTTAATGTTTTTAATACTTTTTTATAAGGTAAAGGGAGATGTGTGCATTGTGTGCAATTACATTTGAGAAGTAAGATAATATATTTCAGCTTATGTTTCATCCACGCTAAGGTAATTCCTACGATATTATGATTTAAGAACTACATTGTATAGTGCATTTAAGTTTAAGAAGTAAGATAATATGTTTCTGGTTAGAGCAATAGTAAGCTATTTCAAAAGATGTAATGGCTTAAAAAAGCTCCAAAATTTCTAGCAGTGCAACTGTGTTATGAAAAAAAAAGTGCGATCAGATTCAGTTTTAGTTGTTGTTGTTAATTTACGTCGCACTGGAGCTTCACAATGGGCTATTGGCGACGGTCTGGGAAACATCCCGGAGGATGATCCGAAGACATGCCATCACAATTTTGATCCTCTGCGGAGGGGATTCAGTTTTAGTTACATGTGTAGTTGCAAAACATAAATTTCTTTACTACGATTTTTATTTAATTGATTAAAGTATAATAGAAATATCTGGGTTCCGATAATGAATTCCTTTTTGAGAAATATTTTAGTATAAGATAGTTCTTCCGCGTTTCTTTAAACGAAAACTCGAAGAAGACATGTAAGCCTTTTCATAACGAGGATTTTCTTTCTACAGCATAATTCACTTTTTCTGTTGCTGGCTACATTGTTGATTTCTTTCTTGAAAATGATTTAATGGATAGTTGACCATGTAAAACTAAGCACAGAGGGCGCTAGGTGTTGGCGCTAAAAAATATCAAACGGTGGTATTTTAAACACATATAGCCAAATAGCCGGGACAACACTCAAAATATGGAAAACCTTTCACTTTATTTATGGGTTGATATAAATTTTTTAAAATTATGTTTAGGCTCACAGCCAGTTAGAATTTGTAAAAAATCATAATTTAATGATCTGAGCAGCAATAAAAACTATTTTTCTATCTTTCAAAGTTCTTAATTTATAAACATAACATCAATCAAATTCGAAAACATTTTCAAACACTTTATATGATCATGATAAAATAACTAGTTCCTGATAAATATTGCAGATGTAATTATGAAAAGCATGTATTTTTTGTAATTTAGAACGACAATCGACACGGCAAAGAAAAAAATCTCTTTTTAAAAGATAGAAAATTAAGCACTTTTTATAAATCCCGAATAAAAAAAAGCACTTTTTAAGAGCTTTTAAAAACGTAAATCAAAAATTAGCCCTTTAAAGCACTTCTTAAAAACGCTCCGTTCTCTGCATGGTAAAATTACTCGTAAATTCAATCACAAATCACCATAATAAAACTTCCTAGAATATTAAGCCTGTTCACACATCGCCTCCAAAGCATACCATAAGCGGAGGGATACACCGGAAGTTTTTTAAACTTGTTCCGGTTTCAGAAAGCTTGTTATTGTTTACATTTAGTCAACCATCCATTCCAGAAAGCATGTGACCTTACGGCAACCTTGAATCGGAACTTTCTTTTTAATGTCCCGCAAATGCTTGTACAGTAGAGAACCGATTATCCGGAACGATCGGGACTATCGCTATTCCGGATAACTGATTTTTCCGGTTTTCTGAATCGCTACAAAAAGCCGTTTTTTTAGTGTTAAACCCTGGANTTTGATGCATGATTTGATTGATTTATTGAAATTACATACATTTGCTGACTTGTGTGCTCAATATAGGCTTATAAGTCATTGTCAAGTAGAAAATACAGATAGAACAATTCAGAGAAAGACATCACAAAGAATACATCCAGGGTTACGGCGGGATTCGAACCCGCTACCTCCACGCTTAACACCTAAAATCTTATGAGGAAAAAAAAAATTTTTTTTTTGAAATGGCGGAAAAAGTTATCGAATTTCGTTCCGGTTTTTTGGTTTTCCGGTTTTCTGATTTCCGGATAACGGGTTCTGTACTGTACTAAAAACCTTTTTTTCATTAAAGCAAAAATATTGCAGTTTCAAACCTAAAATTTCTTTAAAACTTTTTTAAAAAGAAATTGTCACTTAGGTAAAATGGTCGCTTAGGTCCATAATGACGTTTTAGCTGACGTCACACTGGCAATAGGATCAAATTGCATATTGTCCATTAAAATTTCACGACAAGGTGGATTTTATCTGAGCTTTCAAGACTTTGAGAGAGGAAACCTTATAGTAATTACCTAGATTTAAGATTATTTTCACCTAGAGACTAGCTTTATCGAATGATCTTACCACGCTTGAAAACCCTATGTCAACCTTGATTTAAGGATATTGTATGGAAGGTAGTTTTCCCAGGTTTTGGATTAGAATAACGTGCGTAGAATAATGCAGATTGCCACACATCTCGTTTTAAGATTAGAAGGTTTACACGTAAACGGCATAACAAACCATTTTAGGTTCACATTAAAGCGTGTTTGCTGGATGAGAATAAACTTTATTTTGCTATCTGGGATAACACGAAACAAAAGAAGAAAAAAAAAGATTTTTTTTTTTACTTTGAAGGTTTTATGTGCCTCGGTAGTCTCATACTTGACCAGGGCATGTAAACGTTGTCTTGAAACCACTTGGCAACTGTGCTTCGGAAATTGATGTGCCACTTAATGCGCAGGCGTATAGCTTCTAATGTCCGAGACCGCAATCTTTCCATCTCTTTCAATGTCCTCCTCTTCCCGTAAAATTCACGCACCTGAAAAACATACACTCTCAAAATACAGTCGGACTATAAAATAACCCCAAAAAAAACCCTAAATGATGGTCCACGATATCCAAAATGCTTGAAAAATATTTTTTAGCGTATTGCCGTAGTTTTTGTTGGAAGTATTGATTGCAACGTAATTAGCTTTATTAAACTGATAACTAACTAAAGACAGTCAAACCCCGCTATAGTGAACATGGTTTATAGTGAATTCCCGGATATAGGGAACGAAATGTTTGCTCCCGTGCCTTGCTACACGCGTATAATGCTTATTCTTTGTGAATATATTGATCCGAAAAAAGTGAGGAAATTGGATATTATGAACCTTTTTCTGATTTCGACTGATTTATTTTCTTCTTTTTTTGTAATAATTTTGAAATTCCTACTTCAAAATCAATACGTACACCGATTTTTAAAACCGTTTTTAGCATGGAATGTAGCAATAAGCATTTTTTTCTTATTTGCTTCATCATTGAATAGCATTATTGAATTGGCTCAGCATTCAAAGAAGCCGCAATCTTCCAGTGTCTGGACAAATGCTTCAAGTTAAAGACATTGAATTTGCTAAGAGATTTGGTGAGACTACTTTTATATGCTCGAATGACTGGTTAAACACGTTTAAAAAGCGGCATAACATATATTCAAGAAAAATTATCGGAGAGCCGGGATATGTTAGCATGTCTGATGTTGCTGCTAAACGTTTCTAATTATTTTTTGTACGCAAGACGAGTAATAAAAAATAAAAGTTAACACATACTACGCATTATGTTTCACTCCTTTTTGTATGTCATTTTATTGGCCATTTATTTAAATAATGTGTAATAAAAGAGGGGAGTTTGGAACCATAAGTAAAAATTGTTTGCAGAACGATCCCTTGAAGGTTCACAATAACGGGGTTTGACTGTATATTGCAAACTCTCTACAACAAAGTTTCGTGGCACAAACGTTAAATAACATTAAAAAGACACTCCTTGCTACGGTTGTCTCCTATAGCTGAATCAAGGTGAGTAGCCAAATCTCTCAACAAAAAATAGGCACATTTAAAGCACTTTTAAGGCACTCAAAAAATATTTTAAAAGCACAATATACATTAACAAAATGCAAAATAATTTTCAAAGAATTCACATGATCATGATAAAATATCTAGTTTCTAAATAAGAACTCTTTTTATGATTATATTAGCCACCATAGAAATATAGAGATTTTTTGGTTCGATTTCAGAGGGTGGAAAATGAAATCCGAAATGAGGAATATCTTGCAAAATGCAGCAGAGTTGCCCATGAGAGTGCAAGAATCGGATTGTGGTTGAATGAAGTGTGAAAACGTTGAATAGAACTATGTGAAAACCACGCTTTTGCATAATATACAGCGACAATCGACATGGTAAAGAAAAAAAAATCTCATTTTCGAAAAGGGAAAATTAACGACTTTTTGAAAACACTTCATGAAAAAGCACCTTTAAAAACTTTTAAAAAACGAAAATAAGCACCTTTAAATACTTTTTAAAAACGCTACGTACTATGTAAATGATTAGATATTCATTTTTCAACTTTTGCTATTTTTGGAAATTTTTAAATATTTATCTTTTTGATTTTCACCATTTTTGAAGAAAATTAGCGTTTTTGAGCAAATCATTCTCACCCACATGGGCCTGTGTTTGCATCATTCTCTCCAGCGAAATAATTTGTTCTTAAACTCTCATTTATAATGCATTTTACTTCATTTTTAGTTAAAAGTTGCAATTATATAAATTTGATCTTATTGTCCAAAAATTTAGCAACAATTATTTAAATTTAAGTCTACTATAAGCGAACTATTAATTTCTCAGTTGTACACTACACTGTTAAAAATCTCGGTAAATGTTTAACCAATACTTGGTGCAAAGTTTCTAATTGCACCATAAATTGGATAAATGAAAGATAATTTTAATTAGGTTGCGCCATAAATTGGTAAATATGATCAAGAAATGCGTTTATGGAGCAATCGATTGCACCAAACTTTCTTACTATGGCAGACACGAGCTTTAACCATGACCGATAACTTATTTCGTAGCTGTTGACAAGATGGACGATTTTGTTGTTGAACCTTGCTATCAAGTCATGCAAGTTGTCTTTGAAATTGTCCATTTCTTTTGCAGGTAAGTACACTTTTCTTATTTATTTGCATTACAGTTCATTTCTTTCATATCAACTTTAAAAATTTTGTTGTCTGTTCTGAAAGTGTTAGCTTCAAATTTCTTCTAGGAAACTATATTCGTTGTATGAATAATTAAAGATTCTGAAATCTATATTAGCTCTTTTACAGTAAATAAGGACATACATCCATTTATATGTGCACAGAAAGTGTAATACCAGTGACAAATAAAAGGTAAATACGGCAATATTAAGCAGCACAGCTTTCCGCCAAATTTACTGCCTTTCTAGATTCGTATTTCAGTTTCATTCTACAGAACAAAAAAAATCATATGTACTTTCTGTTAGGATTAAAACTTTTTGTCAATATCTATGCTTTTGTTGTGATCTTGATGTTCTATTTTGCTCATTTTCGTTTGTAATGTCACGTAATTACACGAATCTTGGTCTATACATTCTAAAATGCTTCTGTTGTAAAATTTTCAATGCGAATTATTCATCTCAAATTAGCACTAGCCGTTGTCATGGAAACTAGGCATCTCTTTAAGTTCTTTGGGTGCACGAGGTAGGGGAAAAACAAAGTGGGTAATATTGGCGTTAAAGAAAACAAAGCGATATATTTTTTTTTATTCTCCAAGAATATCTTACTGAAATTTAAAAAAACACCGACAAGAACAAGATTTGTTTTAGAACATTTAGAAATAAGCTGATTTCTTATTATAATTTTTCTCAAATAGATTTTATTATTATTTTTTTTTTGCGAAGCAAATTTTAAGTGAAACAAAATATCCTATTTAATAATCCTAGTTAATAAATTAACTAGGATTATTAAATAGGATATTAAATAATATATTACTTTGATCCTCATAGATACTTTGCTTTAAACGCTTATTTTTCTATGATTTTTTTTTGTAGGTTTATGTTATGTTAGCCCACATTTGTGTTTTGTGAGGGAGGGAGAAGACAACATAAGCATGAAATCGAACGTTTTCATTGATCATCAAAAATGCCATATGTATTCTTTATAATATTTACAGTTTTTTTTTAAAGAATTTTTTTTCGAAAAGTTTCATTTTAATTATAAAAGTTTTCTTTATTCTGAAATATATCTGCATCTATGAAACAAAAGACCTTTAGTTAGAAAAAAAACAATCCTCACAAACTGTATATACATGTGGAGTTCTAATACCATCCACATGAACAATGCTTGTGTGTTTATCGGCAGCCAGATTCCACCCTCTTGGATTCAACACGAACTCTTTGATCTATCCAAGTAATGATCAATTTGCTCATTTATTATTTTAACAGTTAACAGTTCCAGCAGCAAATTTTTTACGGGAATGCTCTGCATTGAATTCAATTCACAATTTCTCATGTGGAGAAATTCTATTTGGGTGCTTTAGCCCATTTTAATAATAATAATATTTTAAAATATCAATATCTTTCTTTGCTTTCCGAGATCTTTGTGGGGGAAAGGAGGCTTAAGATAAAAATCCCTCCCCCCGTATAAATAGTTGGTCTCGAAAAAAAATTTTTAGGTTGTGAAATGTTTTGACATTTTTTTAAATGAGAACTACAATTTCTTAATTTTTTTTAATAATGTATTTTAAAAATAGTAATTAAAATGTGACTTGCTTTGATTGATCTTTCTATGTTTTAAAAAAGTAAGGGTTTAAATTTTGTTTCTTCGGTACATTTTATTAGCATAAATTACATTATTTTTAATCTTCTTCCCATAGTACAACGACACCAACTTCAACGCTTTCAGTCAAGAAAGAGACTTAGGAAAAATATTGTTATAATCAGTGCCGAACCTATTGATAAAAATATTTATTCTGCCGAAATTACCAGAATGTTATAAACAGTTTTTTCACACTTGAAAAGTACTAGTTTCAAGAACAGCTTACAAACAAGGAAAGTGTATAGTTTCAAGTTTTCAGAATGAAGAACCTGTGTTTGGAAAAACAATTATTATTTTGTAAATAGGTTCTAAAGTGTTATTTGTGTGTAATTTTTTAAAATCTTGTTGTGTTTTTTTACAATCAACTGAAAAATGTGATATAGTTAAAGTAATATCACCAGAAAATCTATAATTATGAGTATAATAATGAATATGTAATAAAAATATTGGTTTTTCTCAAATAGTTTACTAATTTGTAAAAAAAATTACAGTATTTTTTTCCAAACTGTAAGAAAATTTAATCTTTGCATCAAGTAGTAAATTATGTTTGCAAAAAAGTAATTCAGTTATCTTGTAGATTTTAATTCAGATGAGGCAGAATATATCAAGAAATTTAGTATCTTATTAAAATATTGAAGATTACTTTCAGATGATCCCAAATTTCAAAACTGTAAACATTGAGACATAACATAATTTTTTTATTTTAAATTACTGTAAATTAAAAATAAGATTGTACTGAATGCACTCTCTTAGTAAGAAAAACATACTAACTATAATATTTTTGAGTTAATATTTCGTATTTTTTTTAATGAATGCTGTGATATGTATAACAAATATAATATAGTTAAATTTTAAAATTTTACACAAAAATTATTACATTCTGTCTATGTATACAAACATTAAAGTGATTGTGAATGAATAAATTATGTTTGAATATTGATCTGGATCTGTTAATATTTCCAAGTTATGCAATTATTTTTACGCTTCTTAATTTACTTCAAATTTATTATTTTAATACGCCAATATAATTAATATTGGACTGTTTCCTCAATTAGAAATTGGGGGTTGACAAATCCAATATTTGTCTGCTCTTTTATATAAATTTTTATTTGTGAAAGTAATATTTTCCTTTTTGAATAATAAAATAATTTCAAATTACATATTAATAAGAATTTGCTTCAGTCTAAAATTAAAATTCTTTTTTATTTTCTCTTTAAAACATTAGTGGAACTAACTCTATAGCACCTGTTGGTGCTTTAACGAATGAAATGTAAAAAAGAATTTTAATTTTAAGTACATCAAATAAAGGAGAGAAAAAAAAATTATATGAAGGAAAATATTTTTAAAGAACAAAAAGGCGGAGAAAATTAGCATCATTATTAAATGTGTATGAAAAAAAAGAAAAGACAATTTCAATCAAATTCATATAAATCAAATTATAATTTAATTATTTAAATCTATAAGAATTAAAAAAAANGAGGAGTTCAGTGACATACACACGAACAGTCGAAATATATATATAAAGATATATATATATACTCTTTTTTTTTTACAAATATTTAATAATGATACTAACATTCTTTGCTTTTTAGCACTTGAAAAATACCTAATAATGGTGCAATCTTCCTTCGCTTTTAGTTCCCTTCAAAAACCTATATTTTTGGTGCAATACCTCTCGATATTTGGAACTAGTAAAAGCACCAATATCTAGTAAAACTGAGCACCATTTTATGTAGCCAGCAAATGAATACCTAAGTTTGGCGCAACGTAGCTCAAAATGTTTTACAGTTCAGTTTTTTACAGTGTATGATATAACCTTAGTTATATCGTTACTTCAATGATACAAATAAAAACGTTTACTTCAACCGAAGTGTTCGCTATAACGGGATTAGTATGTAACTAAATGACAATTTATTTGATTGGTACAACCAAAAAAAGAAACAGTCAAACCTTAAAAAAAAGAATATTCAAACTATTAATCATTTTAACATAATTTTAGAAAGAAAATTCTAACAATGTGTTAAACTATTTACTAAAGATTTTAATACTTTGTCCGTGAATCCTGCAACAGTAGTGAGTAGTCAAATACATGAAAATAGCGAGAGAAAATCATTGCAAAAAAGTTAATAAATAAGGAGAAATATTTTTAAAACATACTTTATCTAGATCTTTTTCTGATTGGTATTGACTGAATACATCGAAAGCCAATTTTTCTACTCTTGAAATTCCATATGACCTGCAGCAAATAAGAGAACAATAAGTACGAAATATTTAATATGAAAAATATAAATAAGTTAAATATTTAATTATTTTGTACTCATTGTGTCAGATAAATTCGATAAAGAACATTACGTAGCATTCATTCATTAAGTTTAATGAACTAATTTTAGTTTCATACGGAGAAAATTTTTCAATTATTAAATAAATAATAACTAAAATAAAAATTTTCTTTGTTGAACTAAGTAGGAATTGACTTTTTTATATTACTTGCTTTTGGGGCAATTCGATTGCAGAAAAACCATTCGATCAATTTTGATGTCGATTTGGAAATATGTAGAGAAATACGTTTTCTAAAATTTCAATTTTACGTTCTTAATGTACGTTTACATGCGTTGATTTCTGTTATCTTTTTTTTTTTTAACATACTGACCATTTTACAAAAAATGTGTCCGATTTTTCTTCTTTCTAACCTTAGCTACAGTCATACATTTCGGACTCATGTGTTTCAGTATGGTCATCTAGCTGGCCCAGTGCTCAACATGAACTGCCATTTTTACATACTAATTATTTCGGGCTATAGTTTGTTTCCATATAATATACTACAGATATAATTAAAAGTTATTTGGAATTTAAATTAAAACAAAAATAGAGTTAATTTGAAGTTTCGATATACTTACGAGAAATAAGTATATAAATTGATATAAATATGAGGAAGTTACAATTATTGTAACTTCTGATCCTTTGAAGAGAAATCTTAATTTTAAGCCTCAGAAAATAGGCAAACAAAATTTTGGATTTTTCATCTCTTTTTTTATTATTGTTAAATTTTATGTCTTCGTGAAACGTTGAGCTTAATAAAATTATTTTTACCAAGATGTTAGAATCGCATTAACCTGTTCAAAAGCGGCTCTTCCTTTAAGAACATGCAGGAGACCGTTAAGCCTAACTCTGGATAGAAATTAATATAAAAACATTATGGCAAATTAATACTCTGAAATTTACAATTTAATTCATGAAATACTGTAAAATGTTGGCCTTATTTAAAAAAAAAACGCAGAATTGACCTAAACTATGCATCTAATTAACATCCAAACTGCAAAAGAAAAGTTCTCCTCCTCATAAGAATTCTATTTTCGTATTTCGTTAAAGTATATCAATAAAATCCAGTGTCTTTTCGAAAGATCCAGACACGCGTAGTTATTTACATGTTTAAATTCCACGGGTCAAATAAATTAAAACTGAAAATGATTATTGAAGACTAATTCTCTGTGAGGACCACCATAGTGTCATTCAAATGAATCATCCAAATTATAATCATTCCCATGATTCTCTTATATGATATACATATCACAGTTATGGACGACTAACCTGACAAGATCAGTCCAGTTGTGAAATATGTAATTGGCAACGAGTGAATGACCTTTAGGATTTTTAGCCAGATTGATCAGCATGGACACTTGCCAACTCTTCCTGAAATATGATTCGTTCCTTGAAAACCTCACCAATCTGAAACAAGAAAAACAACAAAAATCATTCAAATAAAATGTTCAAAACTGCTAAATTCGAACTCTAAAAGTAACTACAGATAGCAGGTTACATTTATAGCATGAAGACTGATAGCATGTTTGGTTAGCCATCGATATTTGGGGCAGACTAATCTGCAATTTTCGATGAATTAGCTATGGTTGTTCGATACAACATTCGTTTTGCTCTTGTAATTTTATAACAGCCATTGAACCTGATTTTGGGTTTACGACTATCAATGCTCCCCTCCATAGCCTTGTAATTTTGAATAAAATCCAGAAGATGAGGAAACTCTGGGATTACGCCTTCGTGAAGGACTTTTTCATGGAATCAATCAGCATTTGCGTATGACGATGAGGAAAACTCTTCTACGGTTAGCCAAGGAAACTCTACCCCATAATCCAACTACCACTGAGGATATTTTACGTCAACACTGTGGTCGGTGCGAGCGGAGTGCGGAATTCGTATCGACTAGCCATCGCTTTGATTCGAACCTGATTTAACTCATTGAAACGCTCTATCCTCTGATCCACCACGACTCACTTGTTATACTTTAAAGTGTTTAGTTATTACGGAATTATTTTTAATAGTATTCAGCAGAAAGGATTGAGAATTCCCCCCCCCCACCAATGAGATAACCCAGTTCAGAATACCAGCTGAGGAGAGTAGAAACAATTCCCGACTGTGAAAAAAAATATCCAGACTGATCATGAATTAGAATCTCCTTCTGTTGGTTTTCCTCTCCACTTAACCTCAAATTAAGGTTAAAAAAAATCCTCCGTGAAATCTAGTGGATCCCAATGCTTGATTCAATAGTTCCTTTAACATCTGGTAACAAAATAACAAAGCTACAGACATTGGTAGCCCAAAAATGTTACGGCAGTTGAACGCTGGTAATATTAAATACATAATAATAGTGTTTAGGAATTCTACATAACTGTAGTTATTAGTATTTTACCCCTTAAAAATAAGAGCAACTAACTGTAAGAGTTTTACGATTCCAGAAAAAAACCTATAGAGGCTTAAGTTTGGCTACTGAATGTGGATGCAAACCTATCTGATTTGAGTAAAATAGACATGGCATTTCCCTCAAATAAATAAACTGGGAGAATGAATAGCACAGTTCTTTGTCGGCATGTAGATAGTTTCTATAAACAACGGGATTTACCTCTCTAAAATGGAAATATTCTTGACGGTAGGCAAGGAGTGGATGAAAATGGATTTTTCAAATGGATCGGTTTCTTCCAGATAACTATTCCACAGGAACAGGAATGATTCTTCATCGTTCAAATATCTCACCCCATACTCGTAAACTAATGAAGACAATTCAGGACTCAGTCTAAAAGGAGAAATATTTTGAATCATTTTATTTTGTTATTAGACGAAACTAAAAGATTCTATGCAAAATTATAATCATCAACTCTATTGTTTTTACTCGAATGAAACCGGTTTGCACTAGTTTACGCATCTGATTCAATGGGTTAACATTGTAATGCAATATGTTAAAAAAATACAAATAGGAAGTATATAAAAAAACTCCTGAATGTGATAACTGTGTAAACATGATTGCTAAAATGTAAATAGAGGTTTTGTTTTATAGTGCGTTCTTACCGCACTTTAAATTTAATCTGGGACTAATTTTTCAAGAATTTTTTGTTGTCTTCTGCCATTAAGGAAGAGGGAGTGCAATTGTTCTTGTTTTCCAGTCGTGCCATCTATGGGTGAGAATTCGACTTCAGCCACATCCATACGCCACATCCGTTTATTGGGCGGACACATTCATACATTCATTCATTCACAGATCGCAATTTTGACCTGTACCAGAGGACGATCGATGTACAATTCAGTGCCCCCAGAGGTATTGATTTGTTATGGGAACATAGTAGACTTTGTGACCCAACAGATTTAGCGTGCACCAGTCAGCATTTACTCTACGGGAAGTCTTCAGCCAGGTCCAGTGCTCACGAACTTGATATTTTACGTTTATGGAGTGTAAAAAAGATTTTCTTTTGTTCATAAAATGCATGAAATATATAAATATATCTTAATAGATATTTGAGAACAACTTGGACTTATTTCCATTCCTTTATTTCGTATTTAAAAAAATAAGGCAGCTAACTTATTTTGCAATTAAAAGTACATTTTACTGGAAACTAAAAAATGTCCTTACAATATACTTGAGAAAAAGAATGCAAAGGAAAGCCACAAGACTTAAAAAAAACATTTGTCTGTTTGTTAAGAAAATCAATGCACCTAATGTCAGAGAATGGAGATAATTTTATGATAGAATAACCCTGAAACAAAATTATATTTTCTAATTCACCTTTTTTTTTGTTGCTTAAATTCTAATATGTGTTCAATTTTCGTACATCATAGCCATGATTTGGATTGTATAGTTGTAAACTAGAAATAATAATCGATTTTATACAAATTTTCAATAATGTGCTAGTAGAAAATTTGGAGTTGAACAACATTTATTTCTTTGATATGACTTAAGAATGGCCTAAGTCAGAAAGAAGAAGAATGAAGAAAAAGAAATTTTCCCTTGAAAACCTGGGAGTTGAAGGAAAAACCTTTCCTTGAATTCCCTGACGAGACCGGAATTCAATCTGTCTCCTCATAGTAGGTAACATCTTTAATGGTTGGTTGAATGAACATTAACAATAATAAGCTTCTTAAAACCGGTGTATCCCTCCGCTTATGGTATGCTTGCGAGGGGATGTGTGAACAGGCTTAATATTCTTGGAAATTTTTTTATTGTGATTTGTGTTCAAACTAACGATTAATTTTACCATTCATAAGAGGTTTCCGTGATTTATACATTCTAACAGTTCATGAATCAGTTAGAATGTATAAATCACTAGAAAAAGATATATCACAATTTAAGAAAATAAATATCAATAAGTTTTGAAATATTTTGAGTGTTTTCCCTCATTTGGCTATATTTGTGTTGAGTAGCGTTGTTCGTTATTTTTAGGTAGCAAACTTGCTGAGTCTTCCGAATTCATTTGTTGTTTCTATCGTTGAAAATTAATTTGAAAGAAGGTGAAAGGAGAGTCACATCGACAATGTCAACCTTCATCTATGAATAGGTACCCCACTATAGAATCAAGTTAACATGTCTTATATACCAGTGAATTGGAATTGTATTTTTGTAGCGGTTGACATACCACAACACTCCCCCACCAGAATCATTGCATTCATAGAATTCAATGAATTGATACCACTAGTTGATTCATTGCTGTTTGGTGAGAAGCAGAGAGAGAGAGCTGTATTAAGATCACCGTACTTTTTGCTGATCGAGAGAGTTGTATTAAGTTACTCCTATGTATTATTACTGTAGCTGTATTATTACTGCTATGTTGCCATTAGTATTCGAGTATATGCAGCCCGACATTATGTGCGATTGAGACTGAGTAGAAACAGCTGGTAGATAACGTCGCTGCTTAAAGAAGACTTTAATCTTCTAAACTATAGTTTATGGATGGTAAGTACTCCCCCCAGACACAAAATTTGCTGCTATGGAAAGAAGAAAAGAGCATTTCAGGGAGAATAGCTTCGCTTCTGTCTAATGCTAACACAAGATATATATTCCTTTTCTCTCGCCTACCAGAGCCAAAACCTGACCTAAACAACGACCCCACACCCACACCCCAACTTCAAATAGTTATACTTTATTACCATAATCACCGCCATGGGTCAGGCGAATGGCTATGGGAGTTCTTATTTATACAAACTATACTATGTAGATTATAAACAAATGTTTTCCATTTTTTTCATTTATTTAATTAAAATGGCTAAATTTATTTTGTCCCTGCACATGTGTGGCGACATTGCGCTATTGATACTTATTTCGAATGCACCCTGACAAGACACTGAATCTTTACTGAAAAAAAAGTTCTTAATTTAGAAACCAGCTGTTGTAGTTTCCTTAGGCGTTTGTCTAAAGTAATAACTCCCCTTGTCATTCATTCGGAGGTGACTATGGTAACGAGGTATACCTATTTCAAGTAGGGGTGTGGGGTCATTATTTAGGACATTGGGTCGGCGAAGGAAAGGGAATATTTTTTTCAGCCTAGCCCTACAGTGAAGAGAAGCTACTCTCCCAAAAATGCGCTATTCTTGTTTTCATAGACATCAGACGGCCTCAGACTTTGTAGCAGGGGGAGTTGTTACCGTAGACAAACTGTGCGTCAAAGGTTTCCGATTTCACGTTTTTAACTTATTATCCGATTAACGTTTTTGACAATACCGAAATTCCCCAACATGTGAACAAGTGATTCACATTTTGAAGGAGCTAATGAAATTTTTACTAAGGATTCTCAAATAAAAAAAATAAACTTACTTTTCTCCCTTCATCCATCGTTTGAATGATGTGGCAGCACTTTCAAGGCAGTCATAGTTGTTGTTGTCGCATGCAGCTTTTAGCACTTCTTTTCTCAGCTCTCTATTTTAATGGAGAGAATATCCTTTAATTTATTTACACACACACACACACACACACACACACACANAAGATCCCATAAAAAATCAACTATATTCAGTATCATTATGCATAATGCTCTAACTCGATATCAACCACAGTCGATAGTAAAAAATTAACATAATTAACAATCTCCTCTGGTACTTATTCCTTTAATTGGTCGGTAAGAAACTTTTTTCTACCGTACCTACAGTAAGTATCTTAATATCAATATTAGTACATTTAGTACATATTAAAAAAGCACCAATTGTGAAAAGTAGTACTTATTACCAAAATTAGTTAAGTATCATTAGCATCAATAACTCTATGGTATTTTTTTTTACGATTTTCGTAAATGTATGAGTACCTTTTCTCCATTAATTAAGTTTTTAAAACAATTTTTTGATTTAAATTTGTACCTATTATCAAAGTTAATTATTTGTAAATCTCGAAAATTAGTAGTCACCAAGAGATTACAACTGTAGAGTAACGTTTCACAAATGACAGTCAAAATTTAATACAATTTTCCCATGTCTTATAATATAACTTCAGTTTTATTTTATTAGTTCTGATTGGTGGAGACAAGCTTTAAAACATAAGTATCCATATAAGAAACACGTGGTTTCAAATGCGAAAATATAAAATTCGAAGAATTCGGTGACGTCATCAACATGCTTAACAATATTATTGACTTGTGATAACTTAATATCGAACATCAAAAATAAATAATTCATTAAAACACTTTTGATTACACTTTTTGATTTGGAACATAAAATAATATATATCTATAGCTATCTATATAGATATATATATATATATATACACAAAATCATTTCATAATTGAATTGCCATTTTATAATAGAATAGTAATATGCTCTTAATCCAATTTTTCTCGTTAACATTTTTTCTCATAAATTATTTTGTAAATCCTAATATGCATGCTTTTTCAAAAAAAAAGAATAGAAATGTATACCTTTGCAAGTAATTTCCAGTTTCATTCCAACCAATTTTCTTGTAGAGATCTTTACTTAGACTCCTTACGTATTCCTGCAAAAAAAACACTTCTATTTAAAAAGATTTATTTTCATATACATAGAATGAAGAATGGATTGGGTTACACAAAAATCTCTCATTGATTCATAAAACACTGAGACAAAAACATTACTCTAACCCTTTCGTTCAAGAATTATCTGTTAAGTTAGTTACGAAACACTAAATATGTCAGCAAAATTAAATGCTTCCACAGCGAATTGTGCCCTCACAATTGATGTGCCATGACTCATGCGGGTTATTCCCACCAAATTGTCGTGACATCATTTGATAATGCTATTGTTAACTAAACTTAGATGTAGAACGATAATTTAAATATTATACTTAAAAATTTGCAAAATGAGTTAGCAGGATATGACTTTAAACAAGTAATATATATAAAAAAAAATTAAAGTCAATTCGTACTTAAGTTAACAAAGAAAAATTTTATTTTAGTTACTTTTTATTAATTAATTAAAAAAAAATTCTCCCGTATAAAACTGAAATTAATTCATTAAATTTAATCAATGAATTAATATTAAAAAAAAAACTATATTAACATCAAGTGTCATTCCACTACAAGTGAACTTGAGTGGATGAATTAAGAAAGTGGAAGAATTGAGTGGATGAATTTGAAAAAAACTATATTAACATCAAGTGTCATTCCNTTAAAAAAAAACTAAATTAACATCAAGTATCATCCACTACAAGTTCAAAAAAATGTATTTGAAGTTGAGAGGATGAATAAAAAGTATTTTATAAACGAATGGAAAGTTAAAGAAGTAATTGGGAGAGGGCGAACTAATAGTAAGAAATGAGGGGAAAAAAAGAAACCTTTATCATGTGCCACATTTCGCGATCATTGATGAAATACTGTCTGATGCTGGTCATTTTACTCAGGACAAGACGCCAGGCCTCGTGGTATTCTTCCTTCTTGAGGTAACGAGTGAGATTCAGTGGCACTGAATAGTCCAAGAGGCCAGCTTCAGCAAGGTTAAAGGCGTCAAAAAGTAGGTTGACTCTGTCCGTGGAGCTTATCACCTGAAAATATATTACTTCAAGTCATTCATATAAAATCAACATTTTTAGGAATAAAAATTTACTTAAAATTGGGTATTTTTACTTGGGCATTTTAACAGTTCTGACTGTTAACTGATAATCAATTTTTTTATATGTATATTCCAACGAATTCCTTGTACATTTACTTACACACCCTCGTAATATAAAGTTTAATTGTATTTTATCAACAAACTTAAAGCAAAAGAGCGGGAAAAAAAAATCTCAAAAAAACAGTGAAAATTGCTCAAAATCTTTTAAACCCAAATTGAAATTCGGTACAAAAAAGCTCTTTTAAAGAAATAATATTAGTTTAATTGTTAGGAAACTTTGTTAAAGAAATAGATAATAGTGTTCAAAAGTGAATACTATTTGGAAAGCGGTCGAAATTTATAGTGTTGATAAAATATTTTTGGTAATACACTATCCGGCTGAAGTATCCTGACACCCGGGTTGTTACGGTGGCGGAAGCATTATGGTGAGCGGGTGTTTCTGTCCTGGTTCCGTTAGTTCCTGTAGTTAGAACTCTGAGAACCCAACTCTATAGTAATATTTCGGTTCATTTCTCTTCCAGCCTTCACACAAACGAGGCTTGCATAATTTGACGAAATGGGTGTTCAAAAACTGTCTTCTCAGAACACCAATCCCTAAGAATATCTTTGAGAAGAATTAGAGCACATATTATGCAGTCAGCCAAATTCTCACTGCAAGCACAGCTGTTATGAAAGTCCTCATCAAAAACTGTTGGAAAGTCTCTGACTGTCATCGATGCAAGAGGGGGACCAACCTCATATTATTATGTGCCGCAGGATTTAAGTTCATACCACTGGGTGTTCGGATACTCTTGGCCATTTAGTGTATATGGACAGGGAATGATTGAACAAGTAGTCGAAATTTCGATTGACTGTAAAGGTAATTGAATAGGGCGATAGTTTCTGCTAGTATCAATTGAAATAATCATTATTTAATTTGTCATCGTTGCTCCAGTTGAGGTTTAAACGATCTAGTTTCTTTTTTTTGTAAAATGATATTTATCTGTGGTCAATTAATTTTGAATTTATTATTTTTTGAGTAATAAATTCTTACTGTAGTAATCAGGACATGATTGTAGTGATCCGAATATGACATTTCAGATTGAATGCAAGCACTCTAATAAATTAGAAAATGTACGGAAATTTGACAGGTTTTAAATTTCCTTTGGCAATAACTTTTTGATAAATTCTGCTTGTAGCAATCAGGTATGGTAAATAGGTAGGCATTTTATTTACGTCGTATTAGAGCTGCACAATGGGCTATTGACGACTGTCTGGGAAACATCCCTGAGGATGATGACATCGCAATTTTGATCCTCTGCAGATGGGATGCCTCCCCTGCTTTGGAAGTCCGATGATCTGCGCGTGAAGTCGAGCACTTCACGATAAAACAGTTTGACGAGGACCAATACCACCCACCCTCGGTCCCTGTTCAAGGTGGTCACCCACCCACTGACTGACCGCAGTCAGTGATGCTTGATTTCGTTGTTCAACAGTGTCGTTACGATCAGTCCACTGCTGGACTGTAGCAATCAGGAAATGATAGCAAATAGTCTTGTAATCCAGATCAAACATTCCATTAAAATTTTAGTTGATAGATTTAATCTGGTCAGAAAATTTTAGTTGATAATAAATCCTTTCTGACATTTATGTCGCTATAAATTCTGCTGGAAACGACCTTGAAATGACTGAATCTCGCATTGACATCAGTACGGTTTTAAGTGCTAATAGCAAGTCGGGAAGTAATCTAAATTTCGATTGCAAAACTTTTTAACTCGAAATTCGATAGCAGAGATAGCAAGAATCCGTCAAGTTAATATATAGTAAAAAAACTGTGTTTTTATAATGTTAAAAATGATACATTTATTTAAGCGATAAAAATAAGTCATTAAAAATAATTTTATAAAAAAAAACTTTTAGCGATCTATCTTCTGTAAGGTAATAAATAATTCACTCTTTTAATGAAATTTAACTCTTTTTAAATTTTATTAATAACTTATGTTTAACTTAGACAAAGCATAATAAAAAATAAATAAATAAAATATTAAAGTTAAAATAAAAATCAATGAGCAAGCTAAAAATTTCAAGATTGGAGGAAGTTTCACCACGTGTAGTAACCCTACAATTATCTTTTACAACCCCAAAACTGCTTCAGAAAATTTTGAAGCTATTGTCGAAACGTATGTTCGATATTCGGAACCTAATACTAAACAATTGACATGATTCACTAACAAAAATATGCACCTATTTGTCATTTTTAAAATTATAATGTCTTAATGGTGTTATATTTTTGCAACAAATTGTAATTTATTCTGGTCATTTGTAGCATTTCTTAAGATGGATGGGTATTTGCTATACAAAATTTTAAAACCAACTTAAAAAAAACACAATAAATAAATAAAAAAAATGCTTAAATTCATCACGATTTTAATTGGCACATTTAGATTAATGTAATTAATCTGTAATGTAATGAATAAGAATAACAGGGTATAAGAAATAACTATAAAAAAAAATAATGACTCTATCCAAGTTGACCATTAAAACATTAACCGTTAAACAGCCGACCCAATTTCATTGGTTTTCTAACGTTCAAATACGTAGCCTTGTCATTAAGAACCCAATCCAGAAAACGAGGAATCTCCTAGATCAGGTATTGGGGTGTAGGGAGAAATTTGCCTTCGTGGAGGACTTTTGGGGGGGGGGAAGTAATCTGCATTTGGTTCAAATGGAGAGGAAAACCATGGAAACCTCTCATGGTTAGTCTGACGTCAAGGGGACTCTAACCCATGATCCGTCTATCACTGAGGATATTTTGACGTTATCACTGTAGTCGGTGTAAGACGGATACTGAATTCAGACCAGCCATCGCTAGGATTCTAACCCGGTCACCCTATTGGAAGGCAAACGCTTTTTTTTTGACAAAATTAAAACTTGGCACTAGATACTTTGAACAATCTTAACGTTCATATTGGTTAATAGTACATGGTGAATAAGTGCGTAGTTGCAATACCTTTTTCTAACACTTCTCTATGATGTTCATATTCAAGATAAAAATAAAGAAAATTAAATTTGGGATTTAAAAACTAACATTTCTGAAAACTTCTATAGTTTTTATCCTGCTTTTCGTATCCAGGTATTTAACTATCAATTCATTCACAAAATAGTCAAACCCCGCTATAGTGAACATCATTTATAGTGAACTCCCGGATATAGTGATCAAAATGTTCACTGCCGTGTCTTGTTATACACGCATACTATTATTTTTTGTGCATTTATATAATGTGCAATAAAAGGAGCATTTCGGAGAAATTAATTAAAATTCTTTGCAGTACGGATAGTGAACTCCCGGTTATAGTCAACCGAAATTTCGGTCTCTTTAAGGTTCACTATAGCGGGGTTTGATTGCAATACTAAAAAACCATCTTCCTGAACAGGGGGGGGAGGGGTCGTTCCCTCATACCTACAGTGTGGTTGATTTCCATCATCTGGATGAAGTTCCTCCATTCAGCTTCCTCGTAATTCACAGAATAGTATCCAGTGAAGTTGACGTTCAACTTGAACCAATCGGATTGATCAACATGTACACTCACTAAAAACACACACAATATTGAATTTAAAATAAGTTTATCTTTCATAAAAAGGCTGGAGATTATTTTAAATAAAAATAAATAAAGAATAAGATTTTTTTTTGTAAATTTATATCAACAATTAATATTTTGCTTGCATATCATGAATGTGATTGCCATCAAAAATTAACTACTTGCTTGATTCCATAGATAATAGTGNAGCTGATGAAGAGATATCCTTTCATTTTTTTGTTTTCCGGCTTTTTAGTATATACATACATTTTATACACATTTTATATATATATATATATAAAAGCTTAAATATTGAGAAAACATGGAAAGCAATGAAGATGAGAAGAAAGAAAATTATAAAAATAAAATTATTATTAAAAAACATATTTGTTATGTATCATAAAAGAAAAACATTGAAATTCCAGAAAACAAAATAAGGAGAACAGATATAACCTTTTCATCAGCTCACACGGTTATATCCACAAATTAGAGTGCTTTCTAATATTGTGTTAAAATAGCCAAAGCAAAATAAATATATCATTACAATAGTGTGAGGAGCATTAAAAAAACTTATTCTCTTCGTTTTTCACTAATTTTTTTATCCTTTTTGTCTTCATTGATATATATATATATATATTGACCGGATGGTGCACTAACTCAGAAATAACAAAAACGGTTATTTATAAACACAGACGTCAGAGACCCGTTTTTTTCAGTAGATAAAATCCTTATAAAAATGGTTTGAAAAACAAAATTTAATTTTACGAAATAATAATATTTTAAGATAGAAAAAAAAAGGTATTCTCACCTTCATCTTTCGAATCCAGAAGTAAGAAGGTAACATTTTGACGAGTCGAAGTTATAAAAGAGATCGGAATTTTCCAGCTTTTAAAAGAACAAAAGAAAACTATTATTTTATAGTAGGAATTTAATTTTTATGAAACAATTATTTATTTTGCAATAATTTCTTTTTCTATTCATGAGAGCGGTCCTTTTGAACAGAAATTCAATTCAACTTTATTTCATTTAAGCTTTTCTCGAAATTGAAAATAATTTACTTTTACTTAATATCGATAACTAGAATTTCGGCTACCGGTCAATTTCAGAGAAGCAGAAAGATTATATTTTTCAAACTATTTTTTTATCTATTCATTATGTACTATTAAATGCCCAAAATAGGGAGTAAATGAAGATTTATTGTGTAATAAATGTTGAATAGAATTTTTGCGGTGACAGTCTATAAATAGTTATAGCAATAATGAAAGGGGAAAAAATTGCAAATGGATAGTATTACTAGTCCCAATTGCAAGGTGTCGTCAGAACCGTTTCCGAAAAGTCAATCTTTTTAATTATATATTCCGGTTTTAAATTTGAAAAATATTCTGGTTGATAATTTATTTAGAATGGAAGCCGTGATAGTTCAGGGGTTCGCTGTCCAATGAGGTGAACAGGGCTCATATCCTAGCGATGGCTGATAGATACGAATTCCGCATCCCACTAGCGTCGACCACAGTACTGAAGTCAAAATAATCTCAGTGGTAAACGGTTAATGTTTTAGAGTCACCTTGCAGTCAGGCTAACCGTGAGATCCTTTCTGGGTCTTCCGCTCCATGTAACGCAAATGTGGTTTAGTTCCATTGAAAAGTCCTCCCCAAAGAAAACTTCTCTCACTATTTAATCCAGGAGTTCCCTTGTCTTCTGGAATGGCTTCAAATTGACAGGACTGCAGAGTTAAACATTAGTAGTCGTCAACCCAAAAATCTTAGTAAGAGCCGTGATGGCTCAGGGGACAGAGCGTTCGCTTTCCTTTTCCTATGAGGTGAACAGGGCGCAAATCTCAGCGATGGCCGGTTGATACGAATTCCGCACCCAGCTCACACCGACCACAGTGCAGCTGACGTTAAATATCCTCAGTGGTAAACAGATCATGGGTTAGAGTCTCCTTTCCGTTAGGCTTACCGTGGGAAGATTTCGTGGTCTTCCTTACAATGTAATACAAATGCGGGTTAGTTACATCAAAAAGTCCTCCACGAAGTCTGAAAGGTTAGTCTGATGATTAGTCATTATCAAGACCATCAGTTACATCACCAGCCATTGACCAAAATCAATCTGCGGTAATCAATTTATTGTCTTCAAGTCTAGTGATATCATATCTGGTGGTAGAATGAGGGTATCCCCGCATATTCTGAGAGTATAGATACTAACCAAATTTCAAAATGCTTGATGGTTCATGATGGTTTGGGTAAGATTCATGATGGTCCAACAACAACCAACATTTTTCACTATTTATTCATGGTTTTTGATATGCCAACAAACTTCTAATATTTCATGATAGAAAAGGCTTAATACTATGATGGTTAACCATCAAGAGAAGTTTGACTTCCTTGGACCAACACTCCACGATGGTTCCATCTATACAGTTCCATGATGGTTTAATATGAATTCTTGTCGGTTCTGAGGCATATACCATCAAAAGAATTTTTTTTATGATGGACCAAAAATAATTAGTGATGGTTTATAATGGTGCAACAATGCATTACCATGATGGTTTAATAATAATTATTATTGATTCAGCAGAAATATACCATCAAAACAATTTATTTATTTTTATGTTGGCCTATCATTTAGCAGTCCGAATCTCTACATTGGGGTGAGGGTGGTTCATGATCGCTACAACATTTGATTTCCAGGAAACTATGATGGAAATGTCTGATAGTTCTCAGAAATGTGCCATTGAAACAATTTGTTCTTTTTAATGTTTGGACCATCATAAATCCGTCCGAATTCCTACATCGGAGGTGATGGTTACTTATCAAGAAATATAATTGGTGATGGTTACTTATCAAGAAATTAATTTATCCATGATTTCCATCAATATAATGTTGGTCTCTCAATGTAAAGCCATCAAAAAATTTGACTTTGGAATAAATACGTTACAAGAGCACTGTATTGAGACTACGTGATTTTGGACAGCGTTAGCTGCATGATACAGTGGGCCGTGAATGGAGCGATCACAGCCATGAAGCACAGAATTCCAAAAAGTACTGATCATTTAATTGTCTAGCACAATATGCAGGGAAAAACAGTGATTCACATTTCCTGGCCAACTTAAACGGCTCTCGTCTCCAGGCATGCAATGGAACATCAACTCTGGATGAAAAGAACATCATTTTACAGTTCAATGCCTCAAAAGGACATGCTGCGGTTTAAAAATTTCGGTTAAGCTGTTTTAAAACATGTTCATTGTTCAACAAGATAAAAAATAAAGCTCACTTGAAAGGAGAGGATTGTCTGTGGAGGGGATCGAGCAGGAACCTGTTCTGTTGAAGGGTGATGTGATGGTCTGCACTCCGTTTCACTGTAATGTATGGATAATTCATTTGCTTTGTCCATGTATCCATTATGCTCCCAATATCCACTTTCTAATCATAGAGAATGAAGTTAATTCATGGAAAACAAAATTTATAAATCATCCTTAAGAGGTTTAATAACAATGATCCTGGATGCTTTTAGAATAATTAGAAAATATGCATTTCATAGCTAAACTAGCCTAATTTTTTTTTCAATGAAGGCAAATTAGAAAATGTATCGACTAATTACCAGAAAACAAAATAATATTTATTTTCACTCGGCAAAAACTTTTTAATGTAAACCTAAAAAGGTTTGTTATGCGGTTTACGTGTAAACCTTCAAAACTTAAAACGAGATAATGTTCTACCCACATTAACCTAATTCAAAACCTTCTACATAAAACCCTTAAATCGTAGTTGACTTAGGGTTTTCAAGCGAGGTAAGATCATTTGATAAAGCTAATCTCAAGGAGAAAATAATCTTAAATCTAGGTAATTATAAGGTTTTCTCTCGCTAATTCTTGAAAGCTCAGGTAAAATCCACCTTGTCGCGAAATTTTAATTTACAATGCAATTTGATCCTATTGCCAGTGTGACGTCAGCTAAAATGCAATATGAAATTTTTGCAATATGAAAGTGCAATATTTTTGCTTTATTGAAAAAAGGTTTTTGGTGCAAACATTTTCGTGAGAATTAGAAAAAAAGTTCCGACACAAGTTTGCATGCTTTCTGGGATTCTAAATTATCAAACTATTCAATCTTATTCAAAACACAGATGCTCTATCAAAAACGAGAGACTGTAAAAAAAAGGTGTGGGGTACACATTAATTTTGAACAGCAACACATTAGAAACTGTCAGGAACAATCTCTTGATAGGAGCAAACAGAACTCCCTCTATCAGAAGCTTATTTTTTTGTATACACTATAGGACATCGATAAAAATGGCATATATCTTGCAGGGTATCTGCAAAATGGCACATCCTAAGTCAAAATTCTTGATGGTCCTACATTATTTGATGGTCACCATCATCTGACATTTTGCAATACGAGTTCATGATTTTTGAAATGCCAAAAAGCTTCTATCATTTCATAATGGAAAATGCTACTTTAATACTATGATGGTTAACAATCAAGAGAAGTTTGACTCTCATGAACCAACAATCCATGATGGTTCATGATGGTTCCAACTATACATTTCCATGATGNAGTGTGACGTCAGCTAAAATGTCATTATGGACTTAAGCGACCCTTTTGCCTAAATGACAATTTCTTTTTAAGAAAACCTCTGAAAAATTTATTTTGAATCCTTTTAGTGAAATATTTGTGCAATATGAAAGTGCAATATTTTTGCCTTATTGAAAAAAGGTTTTTGGTACAAAAATTTTCGTGAGAATTAGAAGAAAGTTCCGACGTAAGTTTACATGCTTTCGGGGATTCTAAATTATCAAACTATTCAATCTTATTCAAAGCACAGATGCTCTATCAAAAACGAGAGACTGTAGAAAAGGTGTGGGGTACACATTAATTTTGAACAGCAACACATTAGAAACTGTTAGGAACAATCTCTTGATAGGAGCAAACCGAACTCCCTCTATCAGAAGCTTATTTTTTTGTATATACTACAGGACATCGATAAAAATGGCATATATCTTGCAGGGTATCTGCAAAATGGCACATCCTAAGTCAAAATTCTTGATGGTCCTACATTATTTGATGATCACCATCATCTGACATTTTGCAATACGAGTTCATGATTTTTGAAATGCCAAAAAGCTTCTATCATTTCATAATGGAAAATGCTACTTTAATACTATGATGGTTAACAATCAAGAGAAGTTTGACTCTCATGAACCAACAATCCATGATGGTTCATGATGGTTCCAACTATACATTTCCATGATGTAATGAACCATCAGAACAAGTTGTTATTCTTATGATGAACCATCTTAAATCAGTCCGAATTACTTTATTGGGGTGATTGTTTAATGCAATCAAAAAATATGTTTCATGATGGAATTATTGATGGTTGCCATCAAGATTATGTTAGTCCATCAATGGGAAACCATCAGAAACTTTGACTTGGGATACCTTGCAGATATCTACAAAATAGCAGCTTATCTTGGAGATACAAAAGGGCATATCTTGTAGATCAGCAACATACCTCTTTTGAAGCGGCAGAAAATTCTTTCCACAGGTCATCCGTTCGTGCATTTTTGAAAGAATACTTTTTCAAATAATTCTGAAATGAAAGTTTTAAAATAATTACATTTTAGGAATTATTCCTCATTCTATTTAGTTTGTGATACACAATACTTACCGTAACACCTTTTCTGAAATCATCCCCCATATAACTTTCCAGCATTCTCAGAATTGAAGAACCCTGTAAAGATTTAACAGTTCATTCTCTTTGAAGAGAATTGCCCAATTAAAAAATGACAAGGAGAAACCAAACATACAGTCCGCGGCCATATTATTAGACGCACTATGAGATTCTATGTAAAATCTTAATTATCACGTGATACTCTATACAGCTGTATTCTTTTTACGCGGCTGAAACCGGTTTGCATTTGTTTATGCTCCTGTATCGATTGGGGTTAAAGGCCTGTTTACACGGTCCAATTTCTTGAATCCGAGAAGTTGGTCGGATTTCTCTGTCCAAGAACTTGGATGACTCGTTGATACTATCCAAGTTCTTGAATGTCGCTGATTCGTTGAAAGAAAAACTTGCGCATGCGCATTGTTCATATTCAACATTATAAAATAATACTTACATAAGTTTAANGTTCAAAAATGACTTTCGGAAAAGTGAATCACATACGCGATTCATCCATCAAACTGTCATGACCCACCTGGACCTCCTAGACCGATAATCACCCCTTTTAACCACAAATTGAAGTGGAAAGGGGAAAGCATACCTTTTCTCCGACCCTCGACACTTTTCGTGGCATCTTTCTAAAATGTGTCTGCCGCTTGTAGTAAGAAACTAAGAGAGAGGGGAAACGCCAGGAGGGTGATGCAATACGTTAAAAATAAATACAAATAGGAAGTATATAAAACTCCCGAATAGAAACCTATTACATGTATGTTTAAATATAAAAGTATTGCATATAAACTCGTGCAAGACATGTCATTGTTAAAAAAACTACAGTGCGTCTAATAATTTGATCTAATTATTATAATATACTAATATAATACCTGATATAATAAATATTCTTTATTTATACAATATGTCGTCTAATTCATCCCATCGTCGGATTTATATTACATATCGTCTAATTTAACCCATTGATACACTGACGTAAACAAATGCAAACAGTCACATAAAAAACAATAAGGCTGTATAGAGTATCACCTGATAACTAAGATTTTACATAGAATCTTAGAGTGCGTCGAATAATATGGCCAGACTGAAGTCACAAAATTAGAACATGTTGATACGTGAACGAAGTCGAATAATTATTAGGATTTACATTTTATATGAAATTTCAATGTATAATATTTATATATAATATTCATTTATAACTTCAAAAACAGTGCATTTTCAAACTCACTTTACTGTAGGCGATGCTGTCGAATATGTCACTTGTGACTCGCGTCACGCTCTGCACTACAGGATGCGAATGAATGAACTGGTCATTCTCCATCGCAAAACACACGCTCTTCATCCCCGGCACCTGTAAGATTGCATCCTGCACAGTAACTGTGAGATATTAACACTTTCAAAATTCATTGCTGACAGCCATGAGATTTCGTTCTCATATTTTTTTTCGATATTCCCGAAAATCTCGGATAATCCAGAAAAAAAAGCGCTTGTCAATAATCTGTGACGAAATATCGATCTTAATTAAGGGGAAACAACGCAGTAAAAGTTTCGAGCAATTAAATATATCTCCGTTTTTAGATAGTTTTATATTTTAAGATTATTGTACAGAAACAATGAATTAATTTTCCTGAAAATGTAACATTTACGACCTAATATGTCTCTGATTCGATAAAACTAAATTTAATGCTTATGGAAATAAAATGAAATAAAACAAATTACGTACCAAAATGGAGTAACTTATTTCTTTAGGATAACCACAAAAAAAAAAGCATTATTATTGATTCTTATTTAATTTTTATAATGGGTGCTCTAATAATTGTTGTCGGTTTTAATGAGTATCTAATAAATAAATACCTGTATAATGGAAATAAGTACTCTTAAAAGTACCAGGAGAAAACTGATTGAGGTAACTATCATGCTCGAGCTGCAACATTTTCCAAATAAAAATGTAATGCATCATTTGATGCATTTCGTGGGGTTGACCTTTGCTTAGCACTAAACGTACCATAACCGATCAAATGACCGTTTAAGAACTTTTGCATCGAAAATGCGGTTATCCTATCGTTTTTGCACAATTTGTCTTTTTTATTTTTTTTTTAAAAATTATATACAGTTAAAATTCTATCATTTTTTTTGTATTTTGTTTGTTTTGAAAAATACTCGACATCTACCTATTTCTACGACAACCCGTCATTTGACCTGGAGAATAATTTATTGCTTTATAAGGTAATCAGATCAGAAATGTCGATGTCATGCGCGTTTAACGTATTACATTTGATGAGTTGCCCATTTCTGCAAAGAGTGTTGCGTAGTGAATTCAATCAGAATAACTGTGAATTCTAATTTCAAGAACGACCTAAAATTTTAGATTGGCATTTTTGTTTAAGAAAAACTGACAAAAACTAAATGTTTTGGTAAGTAGCTTATATTTTATTTTGATAGCTTTACTTCATTTCTAGCTGTTCTGCTCTAACCCAGAAAAGCGTGGAAACAATCAAGACGGCACGAGCTCTTAGAAGATATAATATTAATTATAAGAATAATTATAAGAATTATAATTCTCATAATTCTTATATATTCTTATACTTATAAGAGTTATAGAAATAATAATAATGAGAAAAAATATGTTTGCTGAAAATGCAAAATGGAAACACCCTGTATAATGTAAAAAATGCGTTGACCAATGAATTAAAAATTCTTATTCTTTGTGTTTGTAATACATAAAAATTGGCAATATACTACTTTGTTTAATAATAATAAAGTGTTTTTAGTTTATTTCCTTCCTAACATCCATATTTCACACATTCAATCAACAAACATAAAGTTCTGCCATTTGACCGACTTTGGTAGAAATAGGTATAGATTAAGTGTTGGTAAGATTAGAGTTAAACCATGCCTGAGTTAATCTTAAAGCCTCTGAGAAGGGTCATAAATGATTGGATTTATTTTAGCTTTATTAATTGAACAGTCTTTTTGGGTTTCTATTAATTTCGTAGTGTCGATTATTTACTTTTCTTTGCAGCTTTTCTATTTGATAAATAAAGTCCAGATTAATTTTTATTATCAAATATTTATTTTAGTTTCCTTGTTTTTATGAAAAGACAATGAATGAAATTAAAAATAGATTCAATTTGTCAACTTACCGAATAAAGATGGGGAAATGCGTGTTGCGTACCCTTCCAGGATACAAATGTAGCGAATCCTTCGTTCAGCCACAAATCATTCCACCATTCCATAGTCACCAGATCTCCGAACCACTTTACAAACAAAAACAACAATTTACAATCGCTTCAATTAAGACAAGTATTGTGAGTATAAATTAGTCCGGTCCGTTTTTTTTTTGTGGTCAAAAATGCATTTATTTCTGAACAAAATGAATTAGCAGATTAATCAAAGTATTGTCTATCGCTGTCTACTACTTTTTCCCACCTTTCAGGCAATTTTCGAATTCCATCTCGAAAAAATGTCTCGTCTCTTGAGGCGATCCAAGTTAGGAGCCAATTTTCGATTTCTGCGAAAGAAGTGAACTGGTGACCTGCAAAATCATGCTGCATCCGTTGGATCAACCAGTAATCAGAAGGAGCAATGTCCAGAGGACACAGCGGGTGCTGTAAATTATCCCACTTGAGCGTTTCCAAATAGTTTTTTACGACTTTTGAGACATCGGGCTGACCGTTATTATGCAGAAGAATAACTTTGTCATGTCTTTGCTCGTATTCCGTCCTTTTTTCTCGTAATGCACGGCTTAAATGAATCAATTGTAGCCTATACCAATCGCCCGTAATGGAATCACCAGTTTGTAGCAGCTCATAGTATACAAAACTATTCACCATTGATCATTCACCATTTACCATTCTTTATTCACCATTAACCATTCTTGAAACGTCGAAACCATTCCCTACATGATTTATCAGTTGGATCATTGTCAACATAAACTTCTAAAAGCATTCGATGCTCTTCATCTGCACTTTTCTTCCAATTGAAGCAGAAACATAAAACCTCCCGCAAATGGTGTTTCATTGCCGCAAAATTTGACATATTCAACAAAGTAAAAAACAAGGTTTTTGTATGAAACTCAAAGCGAAAAAACTGAATATTATTGACATATGTTTAACCTCTTTGAAACCAGCTGTCACTATATAACATTCATAACAGCAGAGCCATTTTTTAAAAACAGACCGAACTAATTTGTACACTCCATATGATTAAACACATTACAACAGTGCAGAAAATGTCATGAGTTATTTTATGATTAAAATACAGACCAAATGCGGCATACTTTGCGACGATCGTTGGTTTAGTAGACCACTGCCAACATGGATAGGGAAAGATCCAGTAGATTTTACAAAATAATAATGTCAAGAAGTACTAAAGATTTTATACATTGGGAATATTAGAGAAAATTCCTAATATTCCCTAGGTGTAAAATATTTAGTACATTTTGCATTTCTTGTTACAAAATGTAATAAATATTTTACACATAGGGAACCTTAGGCAATTTTTTTAAATCATCAAAATAAATAAGAAAAACTGCAATATTTCCAGTTATGATTTACATTAAGTGAGCTTGTGTCATGTTTACTCTTAATTTTGAATAGTAATAGGTATATAATTCATTAAAGTTAGTTAACTAATTTTCATGTATGAGTCTTGCTTCTTTGTGTAATAGTAACACATATTTAAATATCCAAGCGAGTCACAATCTCTGCAAAAATTCCATTTCAATAGGGATCTTTTTAGGAAACTTACTGAATTTAAGGGAATTTTCTAAAATGTGCTAAAACCAGGAGAATGTTTTTTTTTTCAAATCAGCAGACGAGGAGAAACTGGCAAAATCCAGTTTTCTATTTGAAAATCCAGTAGAGTTTTCAGCTTTGCACAAGTAATAATTTTATGAAGGTTTGATTTGAGTGCTCTTGAAGCAACAAGCCACCTCGAGGGTCGAAAAATTCTGGGCACTTTAAAAAATGAATGCAAAAGCTGAAAGTGAAGAAAAATTCAAAATTTGAATAAACTAAGTTACAGCTAGTCAAGAACGAGGATAGAACGAAGCTCAAAAGACTTTACTTATCACGCAATGACTCAAATAAATAAAAATTGCTACTATTTGAACCACTTTTGCACGGACAATATAATACAAGGTTCTGTTTGGAGCTCATTGCAGATGGAAGAAGTCGCACTCCGTAGCCTTGTCATTTTGAACTTAATCCAGAAGACAAGGAAACTCCTGGATCAATGCCCTCAGAGGTTTTGATTTGTTAGGAGAACTTGGAGGACGTTGTGATCCTGACGGATTTAACGTGCGCCAGTCACCATTTAATACACGGAGATTCTTCGGCCGGCTGGATTCGAAAGTTGACCCAGTAAGAAATTTTACCAGGATTTTTCTTTTACCAGGTTTGTTACTATTTCCAAATACCTATGGACTCTAGATCCAGGAAATCAACAGATTATCATCATTTCATTATTCATTGTGACAAATACTGCAAAAGAGACAATTTTTCGTCAACAACTATGTTTTTAGACTCTCTTGGTGAATAACTTAATAAGGAAAAGAAAGCTGTACACTGTTCAAGATCTGTATGTATGCATGTGCCCCCCGTGAGTGCATGTGGCTCAGTGGTTAAGGAACTGAACTGTCATTGTGAAGAATTGGGTTCAATACCCAGTAGCAGATAGAAGCCTACCTAGCCTCAGAGGGAAAGGGATACTAGCTTCTCTGGAAAGTAAAAGCGATCTGTGCGCAATGTTGACCACACACATAACCACATTAATTTCGTTGGGCATGAAACTGTGGATCCTTAACCTCCATGATCCTTCTCCCTTACAAAGGGTTGTTGCAAGAATTCCTTACACACGCACGCACGCACACACACACACATATATATTCTGTATCAAACGCAGCGTCTCTTACCATGTGCGCTAATTCGTGTGCAATAATGGAGGCGGATGAGAGCTTCTTGGAATCTGGTGCTTCATTGTCGACAATCATTATCTCCTCATCGTAAGTAATTAAACCCCAATTCTCCATTCCATTCGGTAGGAAGTCTGGCACAGCTATCATGTCTAAAAGGGAATCGAAGCACAAATCATCATTATCTTGGGAATGCTTTCACTCTGCTTCATTTAAATGTACAGCCTCTGTGGCCTTATTATTATGTGACGCACTCTAAAGATTCTATGTAAAATCTTAATTATCACGTGATACTCTATACAGCTGTATTGTTTTTACACGGATGAAACCATTTCTTTACGCTCCTGTATCAATGGGTTAACATTGTAATGCAATACGTTAAAATTAAATACAAATGGGAAGTACATAAACAATCTAAATAATAACCCGTTACATGTATGTTTAAATATAAATGTGCTGCATATAAACTAGTGCAAATCATGTCATTATTAAAAAACTACAGGACGACTAATCATTTGATCTAATTATCATAATATACTACTATAATGATTGATATAATAAACATTCTATATTTATATCTAACATATATCGTGTAATTTATCCTATTGTCAAATTTATATTATATATCGTCTATCGTCTAATCGTCAATAAATGCAAACCTGTTTTAGTAGCATAAATACAATAAAGCTGTATAGTATAATTGATACTTGAAATTGAACACTTGATAATTAAAATTTTACATAGAATCTTAGAGTACGTCTAAGAATGTGGTAAGTGACTGTATATATCGAAATTTTAATATCATTAAACAAAATCAGTACACAAGGAACATTTTTATAGTTAATTTTACAGTCTAAAATAAGATCTCTGACAATTACGGCGATAAGAACCATAACTTTATAAAAATAAGTGATTTTCAAAGTTTTTCAAACTCTGTATTCGTTAAAAAGTATTTTTAATATTTAAGCGTTCGTTCTTAAGTCCAGATAATTCTTCAGTCAAAATTTTCAAGTCAAAATTTTTGACAATTTTCCATTGATGGACTAACATAATCTTAATGACAATCATCAATAATTACTTCATAAACCATTATATTTTTTAATGTATCGAACATAAGTAACTATCACCCTAATGTAAGAATTCGGACTGATTTATGACGGTACAACATAAGAATATCTACTTGTTTTGATAGTTTATTTATGTTGGACCATCGAAAATTTCCGCATTGTTTTTTAGAAATAATTTGTTGGAATGATCATGAAGCACCATCATCCCTAAGTAGGAATTTGGATTGATTTTTAATGATCCAACATAAAAAACCCAAGCTGTTTGGATTCCTGAGAACCTACAAGAATTCCTACTAAATTATCATAGAACATAGAAAGGTATACTTGGAACCATCACTGATTGTTGGTCCATGAGAATCAAGCTTCTCTCGATGTCCATCTTAAAGTAGCATTTTCCACCACGGAAGGATGGAAGTTTGTTGGCATATCAAAAAGCATGAATGCAATAATGGAAAATATTGGATGATGACCGCCATCCTCTGAATCGCTTTAAAACCAGCATGAGTCATATTTTAACAATCTTTTATTAATTCCTTTAACAATAAATTTTTAAAAAAAAATAAGACTCATCTTAATTGGACTTAAAATACGACGAATTTTTAGATTTTTTCGATTTAACTGACCACAATGAGCTATTCACACTGATATCGTTAAACTTTAGTTTTAAACAATTATTGAACTTATATTAATTTTTAACGTATATTAAAATCGAAAAAAACGTCTTGATATTTATGTCATTTTTAATTGTTACTGGACACAGGATTATTTTTTTGCGTGTGGAAGTCCTTGATATAATCCTTTTGAAAAATAACATTCGAACTAGTGGATTTAGAATTTTAAATATAATACATAGAGATAATTATAGATATAAAATTCTGCCTCATCTTTAGAGCTCAATTCGTCCCCTAACTCAATTTTCTTCCTTATGTTTCGTAAGCTAGCTTCAGAAACCTTCAATCTTCGTGATATTTCACGGTTTAAAATTATTTTAGCATTCACTAGGGCCTTTCCTTCAATTTCTTTACGTGGTGAAAGATTGTCTTTTTTACCAACGATGAAAGTGTTCCAATTGATTATTAATACACTGCACACAAAATAAACAAGTAACTGTGTAGTATAAGCTAATAAATACAGAGACATAGAAACACGCTCGCAACTGACGAGAACGCGGCTGAAACCAGTTTGAACTTCTTTACGTTCGACCTATCCATTGGTTAACATTGTAATGCAATACGTTGAAAATAAAAACAAATAGGAATTATGTAAAAAAATCTCCTGATTCAAAACCCATTACAAGTAGTTTAAATATAAAAGTATTACAAATAAACTCATGCAAAACATATCATTATTATAACACTACAGTGTGTCTCATAATTTGGTATGATAAAATACCCGATATAATAAATATTGTGTATTGATATAATATATAGTGCAATTCATAAAACTAGTGGGTTGCCCCCCCCCCCTGCACGCTAACGCTCGCCAACCCCCGAAAATTTCTACGCAATCTTATAAGGTTTGCTCCGCAAACCAAAATCGCTTCGCTCGCTACTACCATAGGTACATTGCAAATGCACAAAATTCTAAAAATTCAAAACAATCATTCAAATCCATATAACAACTTTTTTTTAAATAAAAATTACATCTTTTTAGTAAATACTAAGTCATTAAAATAAATTTGAATTCAAATAAATGACATGTAATTCGTTAAACCTATTAGAAATGTGCTATAGTATAAAATCTTAAGATAAAATTTCTAAAACTGATATCTCTTTAAAAAGGTTAAAATTTTGGCTATAATTAAGTCTATTAAAAATTGAAATAAGTGAATTGCAATGGAAAAACCTGCATAAACAAATAAATTCTAGTAAAACAAATAAATTCGTGATATAAATCAAAAATCGTCAAATAAATTCGTAATATATAAATTCGTGAAAAAAAGCGCTTTCGACAAAATACTAAAATAGAGATCTATCGACAAAGACTACTCACTTCTGCCTAGCTTAATAGTATGAGATTGCCGCAGCTGATAGGGTGAATTTCGATATCACATTTGGTGAGAATGCTCTGTCTGGGTTTTTCAGTTTCCGTTTTTAAAAGCGCTATATGTTGAGCCACCTCAGCTAGGTTCGGCATGTGACATTTCTAGCTGCAATCATTGTTCGATTTTCTAGCGGGGAATTGTAATGAGGCTTTTTTTTTATCGCCGTGTAAGAGAAATATACATATAGATTGTCACATTTATATTATAAATCTTGTCTTATTTAACAAATTGATACAAGAACTTAAACAAGGTTTTAATCACGTAAAAGCAATGCTGCATCACCTGATAATTAAAATTTTACATAGAATCTCATAGTACGTCTAATTATTGTAATATAATACCCCATAAAATAAAGATTCTATATTTATATTACATATAAACTAATTTATAAAATCATCAAATTTATATTATATATGATCTAATTTAACCAAACGCTACACGAACGTAAGCAAGGTTACAGTTGCGGGAAAACAATAATGCTGTCTATAGTATCACCTGAAAACTAAGATTTTTTGCGCCTAATAATTTGGACAGGGTCTGTATATGGAAATTTCAAGTATTTGATATTTGGATGATAAATACTTACCTAATTTCTTTAACGGGAAAGAAATGTTGAAATATTTCTCGAAGTAAACCAGTATTTTGCTGCTTATGTTTAATGCAAATTCAGTTTTGTCTATAAGATGGGGTGCAGAGTAGGCTCTCATCTTGAAAAGGAAAATAAATTTGTCAAACTATTTGTCAATTGAGAAATCTAAAAAGAGATTTAGGAAAGTTCGAAAATCTCCAAAGATGTAAAGGTTAATGTGCTTTTTGAATTACAGAATAAACATTATTTATTAACGTCCTTGAACAGCCGACAAAATTTGAGGGGGGGGGGGTTTACGACTTCTAATGTTCAACTCTGTAGCCTTGTAATTTTGCACCCTATCCAGAAGTCAAAGGAACTTCTTGATCAAATATTGAGAGAAATTTTTCCTCGTGGAGGACTTTATGATGGGACTAACCAGCATTTGCGTTACATGGAGAGGAAGGCCACGAAAATCTCCCATGGTTAGTGTGACAGCAAAGAGACTCTTACCCATGATTCATCTACCATTAAGGATATTTTACGTCAACACTGTGGTCGGTTCAAGCCGAACGCGGAATTTGTATCGACCAGCCATCGCTGGGATTCGAACTCGGTTCACCTCTTTGTAAAACGAAATAAATAGTTAAATAGTTAATTTAAATAAATCCGAATCTTTGAAAAATAGTTAATTTAAACAAATCCGGGCTTAATCGAATGACATAAGACAAATAGTTTAGATAAAGTCGTGATAGGTCGGGAGACGGAGCTTTCGCCTTCCAATGAGGTGAACCGAGTTCGAATCCCATAACTCGATCCCATAATTCTCATAACTCGAGAACTTTTTAAGTGTATTGAGAAGTTCCTGGACAGAATTATAAAATTCATTTATGCAACGCTAATTCCATGCAAAAAATGACTTTTAGAAAATATTCATTACCTACATTTTATTTTTCTATTTATTATTATTATTCGAAAATTTTTGAATTGTAAAGTATAAAATTATTTACATCATTTTGAAAAAGCAATTGTATAATTCGATTAAAAACTGTGCGAGATATGGCGAAATACGCAAACAAATATTATAAAATAAAAAAATACTCAAAAATAAAATAAATAATAAAAATATATAAATAATAAATTATTAAAAATATAATGAAATAATAATATTAAGGATACTTTAGATTGCTCTCCTGACCAAACTATTGGGATCCTATTTTCTTGATTGTGGCTACCCTCCATATTTAGGGAGGGGTTTCATAATATCTGCACCCGCAAAAAAAAAATGGAATGCTTATTCAGCAAAAGTGCGTTTTTCGGTCTGATTTTGTAACTCGACATCACTTCCTCGAACCTTTACAAAGTTCTAGAACGTGAAGAACCAATCATTAGTTCGAAAGATATTTAGGAACCGTATTTTTGCGCGCAGTACATTTTTTTTAAAATTAGATTTTTTTTTTTCAAAAATACTTTAAAGTCAGCAGTCTTTTTTAAATTTTTTCGATTTAAAATAGTGATAGTAAATTTACGTGATAGGAATTTAAATTTTTTAAAACTCACTTTATCATTTAAAGTTCTGAATTTAGAGATATGACTTGTAAAGTTACAATTGCAATATACCCAGCTCGGAATACAGCTGTGATAATTATGCTACATGTTTAAACATAAGTGCATAAAAGTAAGAGCGAAATGTTTCGTTTAATTGCTAAATTTAAGCGCAAAAAAAGTTTTTTTTTTAGTTACTGAATTCATTTTCTTAAACACGGATTTCCGAGGCGGCCTTCTCCGAAGATACTTTCTCAGAAGAAAAAAAAAATAGTTTAATGTTGAACATTTTGCTACTAAGCTGTAACATTAGTAAGATTAACCAAATTTCCTTTCAAGTTGAACTAATTAATATTTAATCAGTAAGGAGTATTATAAAATGTTTAACCATAGAACCCTTTTAAACAATATAATGGTTCCAAAATTGTTAACAATGTAGATGGAGCATTGGGTGTTGTAAGAAAACTGGGGTAAATGCGTCGAAAAACTGTATAAATACACTATCCGGCCAAAAGTATCCGGACACCCGGTAGTTATAGTGGTGGAAGCATAATGGTGAGGGGATGTTCCTCGTTGTTTGGCCTGGATCCGTTAGCTCATGTGGTTGGAAACATGAACTCTGAGATATATGTGGACAATACTGCTCTCCTAACTCTGCGGTAATATTTCGGGGAAGGCTCATTTCTCTTCCACCAGCATAACTGCTCCATTCACACATCGATGCTTTCATCGAGGTTTTGAATAGATGGGTGTTCAAACACTCAGAGCCCCGATCCCATGGAACACACCTTTGGAACGAGGAGTGCAGATTATGTATCCTCACTGTAAGCACAGCTGTGATGGAAGTCCCATCAAAAACTGGAGTAAAGTATTCCCAGACGTGTGCATCGATGCACAAAGGGGGGGGGACAACATCATATTAATATGTGTATCAAGGACGCTCTAAGTCCATACCACTGAGTGTATGGGTACTTTTGGCCAGGTAGTGTATATCAAATACACGAGTGATACCATTCAAAAATGAATTTGTAACAAAAGTAATAGTTTAAAAACGGATGTGATACTCACTCGTATGCCGCTTTCAGTGAAAGTCTCTCTGTACTGAAAATCACAGACAACAACACAGAGTAAATAGGTCACCATAGGGGGAGTCTCTTCAAACTCGCTCAGAATCAAGCCGTTATTCTCACTCGATTTGCTCTGAAAATGAGAAACACCATCTTTCATTTATTTATATATACAGTATCAGTAATTTTATCACATTATTCTTTTGTTTTTTCATTCAGTGAAAGATTCCTATGGACTAAATTAATTTTGCCAAACGGATGGTCAGAGACAAGCTAAAGAGCTGAATAGTGACTTAACTAATTTGTATCAAAAAGAGGTTCTTAACCCCTTCCTTCTCGCTCCCGTGAAATTTCCGGGCTGGAGTGTTCAATAGTAACGCGCCAATAAGAATAAAACTAATTCATTTCTTTTGCCCGGAAAACATTTCATTTCTCATTTACCACACCAGATGGCAATACCAGGATATTTTTAAGGTAATTGTAGATAGTTTATTTTAAACTAAATGCCAGCACTAATCAAATACGTGTATTTGGCGAAATAAGCACTTTTATGACCGTCTTCTTGAAAGTTAACCGATCGTTAAGGGGGTAAGCAAAACAGGGACAGCTTGAGGAAGATCATTGGTTTTCTCACTGGACACTGCACCCTTAGGAGATACCTATACATAAAGGGAGTTGTATCTCTTTGGCGAAGTTGTCATCTTGAGGATACTTCACGAGGTCTATTCTGTTCAAAGATTTGAGCATTATCCAGTCAAAATTTTTGATGGTTTTCCACTGATGGATCAACATAATCTTGATGGTAACCATCATTAATTCCATCATGAACCATTACATTTTTGATTGCATTAAACATAAGCAACCATCGCTCCAATGTAGGAATTCGGACCGATTTATGATAGTCCAACATAATAATAAACAACTTGTTTTGATGGTTTGTTCATGTTGAACCATCAAGAATTCTCATTAAACCATCATGTATAATTGGGACCATTGTGGGTTGGTGGTCCATGAGAACCATCATAGTGTGTTAAAATAGCATTTTCCATCATGTAATAATGGAAGTTTGTTGGCATATCCAAAACCATTAACGGATAATGTTGGACCATCATGAACCAACAAACTGTTTTGATGGTACTTTTAAGAATTTTGACTTGGGTTTAGGGCAATATTGCATGCAACATATTCCTGTCAAGTGTTTGCTGAACTTTATTTCAGCTATAATGCTTTCTTGTCAATCATGATATAAGGTACAATAGACCTCTGGTCGATGTGTTCAGCACTTTGGAATCTCTCAACCTCTAACTTTCACTAATCGACACCCAACTTCTGTAAAGTTGAGATGTTACTGTAATATCTTCAAAGATGGTGAACCACCGCAGCACCCATGTTAGAGAGTTGCTAATTTAATTGATATAAATATAGGACACTTCTGTAATAAAAATAGATTTAGTTGAACTCACTTTGAGGATAGCGTTGGAGAGAGCAAAGTAGGTGGAGGTGTGTAAGACACTGATATTGAATGTCGTCTTGAAGTGAGGTTCGTCAAAACAAGGAAAGGCTTCACGGGCGGAGGTCGGTTCAAACTGCGTCGTTGCTAAATAACTGCAATAGAAAAAATTAGTAAGATAACTAATTTTCTTAAAATTTATGGTCTCTCTAAAACAAATAAGATTAGTTCTATATCGCAAATTTTGTTATAGGGTGGTTGGAACGAAAATTAAGAATCTAAAGGCATAACTTTACGTTATGGTCAACTTCAATATACTGGAGTCTCTCTATAACAGAATGGGTCCAGCACTGGACTGATCATAAAAATACGGTTCCCTGCAGAACACCGAAGTCAAGCATCACTGATTGCCGTCAGTAAACGAGTGGGTGACCACCTTGATCAGTCTGCGAAGGGACCGAGGGTGCCCGATATCGGTCCTCGTTAAACTGTTCTACCGTAAAGTGCTCGACTTCGAGAACAGATCGTCGAGCTACCAAACCAGGGGAGCCATCTCCTCTGAAGAGGATCAAAATTGCGATGGTATATCTTTGGATTATCCTCAGAGATGTTTCCCTGACCATCATCAATAGCCCATTATGCAGATCTAGCACGACGTAAATAAAATTCCTATCTACAACAGAATTGATTGATTCCTGGTGAACGACTTGTTACCGAAAAAACTTCATTCTATGGAGGTTAGAACAAAAACGAAATATTTAAATATCAATATTGAAGTTAGAGATCAGCCGATCACTGGTCTAGGAGTTACAGTACTGGACTGCGGAGCCAGTGGATGTGGATTCTTATCACAACTTAGGCATAGACGTAGCTTTCTCTCTCTGTGTTCTGCGTCCTATCTTCTGTGTGAATGCAACCCACCCATTAAACGGGTTTGTGGTTACATGACGCTGCTCCACCACAGTGGCTTAGTCACAGGTGCTCACTGGGTAACGATAAGCTAGGTAGGTGGGTACTTTATTTACGTCGTGCTAGAGCTCCATAATGGGTTATTGGCAACCGTTTGGGAAATATTCCTAAAGATGATCCGAAGACACACCATTGTAATTTTGATCCTCTGCAAACAGGATGGCTCCCCTGCTTTGGTAGTCCGATGGCGTGAAGTCTGGCAGTAGAACAGTTTTAACGAGGACCGATACCGCGCACCCTCGGTCCCTGCGCAGGCTGATCCAAGTGATCACCCACCCTCTTACTGACAGCAGCCGGGGATGCTTAGCTTCTGTGTTCTACTGGGAACCGCGTCTTTACGTCAAATCATTCCTTTTCACTCCCATCTAGTATTCACAAGAGTAAGCAATGATTATTCTACTTTAGAGAGAGACAGAGTGTAAGCTAGTGAGTTAAGTTTTTGAAACTTTTTCTTATCAACAGGGTGCGTAGCCAAATCTTTCGACAAAAAATAAGAACTTTTTAAGCACTCAAAAATTATTTTAAGCACTATATGCATTAACAAAATGCAAAATAATTTTCAAAGACTTCACATGATAATGATAAAATAACCAGTTTCTGACAAAGAACTCCTTTCTTGATTATATTAGTTATCATAAAATAATAAAGAGATATTTCGGTTCGATATCAGAGGGTGGGAAATGAAGCTTGAAATCGAGTATATCTTGCAAAATGCAGCAGAGTGGCGCATGAGAGTACAAGAATCTCACCGAACCCAGCTCAGTTGACGGACATGCGGACTCGCAAATATTTCATCAAACATGTATAATGATTGGCCCTTTCATGCGTTATAGCCGTCGGTACGACGAAATAGATTGTTGAATGAACGCTGAATAGAATAATGTGAAACACACGATTTTGCATAATACACTCCATGAAAAAGCACCTTTAAGGGCTTTTAAAAAAAACGAAAATCAGTACCGTTAGGCACTTTTTAAAAACGCTACGCACNAGACTCCCCGTGTAGTAAATGGTGACTGATGCACGTTAAATCTGTCGAGTCTCTAGTCCTCCATGTCCTCCCACAACAAATCAATACCTCTGGGGGTGCTGATCCAGGAGTTTCCTTGTCTTCTGGATTGGTTCAAAATTACAAGGCTACGGAGTTGAACGTAAGTAGTCGTAAACCCATGAAATTGGGTCGGCTGTTCAACGAGTCGGCTGGTTTGTGGTTACATGACGCAACTCCACCACAGTGGCTTAGTCACAGGTGCTCACTGGGTAACGATAAGCTAGGTAGGTACTTTATTTACGTCGTGCTGGAGCTCCATAATGGGCTATTGGCAACCGTCTGGGATACATTCCTAAATATGATCCGAAGACATACCATTGTAATTTTGATCCTCTGCAAACGGGATTTCTCCCCTGCTTTGGTAGCCCGAAGACGTGAAGTCTGGCAGTAGAACAGTTTTAACGAGGACCGATACCGCGCACCCTCACCCTCTTCGATGTTCTACTGGGAACCGCGTCTTTACGTCAAATCATTCCTTTTCACTCTCATCTAGTATTCACAAGAGTAAGCAATGATTATTCTACTTTAGAGAGAGACAGAGTGTAGGCTAGTGAGTTAAGTTTTTGAAACTTTTTCTTATCAACAGGGTGCGTAGTCAAATCTTTCAACAAAAAATAAGCACTTTTTAACAAAATGCAAAGTAATTTTCAAAGACTTCGCATGATCATGATAAAATAACCAGTTTCTGACAAAGAACTCCTTTCTTGATTATATTAGTTATCATAAAATAATAAAGAGAATTTTCGGTTCGATAGCAGAGGGTGGGAAATGAAGCTTGAAATCGAGTATATCTTGCAAAATGCAGCAGAGTGGCGCATGAGAGTACAAGAATCTCACCGAACCCAGCTCAGTTGACGGACATGCGGACTCGCAAATATTTCATCAAACATGTATAATGATTGGCCCTTTCATGCGTTATAGCCGTCGGTACGACGAAATAGATTGTTGAATGAACGCTGAATAGAATAATGTGAAACACACGATTTTGCATAATACACTCCATGAAAAAGCACCTTTAAGGGCTTTTAAAAAAAACGAAAATCAGTACCGTTAGGCACTTTTTAAAAACGCTACGCACAACATGAAGGGACCACACTGCGAAACAAATCAGTCTGGTCCTATTTTACATTATAAATAATATGTTAGTGAAGTAAGTCGAAGAGAGGTAAAAATTTCTTCATTTACTCCAATGTATAACTACTAACAGCAAGATTTGAATTCTTTACTTACAGGTGTTAGACCTGTTCCAATGAACAGGAAGTCCCTATTGAAGTGACCACCTATTGTATTATTAAAATTCGTAACTAAAAATTCCATGCCAGCTGATGAAACATTTCTTAAAAATAAAAAGATTTTTTTTTTCTTGTCAGTACCTTTTCGTTATGAAGCGAGGATTAGAAACATCCATTTAAACGAGGAAATTTTACATTAGTTTCATATAAAATTATTTGATTCCATTACGTTTTATTCGTATAAGCGGATCACTCTATGCAATTAAGGGGGAACGACGGCATTGTGATTTAGAAAACTAATGATGCTGACTTTTAAGTGAAAAAAAAAATCCATTTTAAAGCATGTCCTCACATGTTTTGACATACTGATTAATTGAGACTATGCATTAAAATAAGTGAAAGGCAGTATAATTTATAACCTTCAGTTGAAATTCTGAAAATGAAATATTTTAATAAAAGAGAAGCACTTTAACCACTTCCCTGTTCATCCCGAGTTAACACGGGTATGTATATATTGCAAATATTTATTATCCCGAGTATACTCGGGCATAGCAGAATTCGTCAATACGTTTTGTTTTTTCACGTTTTTACTCGGCCGGAAGCAAAACAAGAAATATTTATAATCTGCTGTGATTGGATGTTTGCCCATTTGTGGGACGCGTTTTGTATAAACGATGATTTTACATAGAAAAAAAAATCACGTTTGAGAGCGAAAGTGGAAGTAATGCAGATAATTTTTCAAAATTATTTTGCTGACATGTGAACATAGACTAACATTTAACTATTTTTCATTTGCCCGAGATAATTTGGCATACCGACGGTAAATTAAATATTTTTTAAGCATACAAAAAATAACATTTCAACTTAGAATTTTGGATTTATGTTTTGTTTTAGTTTCATGTATTTATTAATGAAATAAAAAAATATGTTGATTTTTTGCATTTTTTTTCCTTCAAAAAAACAGGTAAGAGAATCGGTTAAAAATCTTCTTTTACTAAAGTATTCGCAGTATCATTCAGAAAGTGTTGTCAAATATCACACAAAAGAGACAATAAACACAACAAATCAGGAGTGTTTGTTATCCAGAACAACAAGCTATCAACGAAAATAGATAAACAGGAAGAGAGTCCTATGGAGAGTATTTTAAATGTTCTGATAGTAAATTTCGTTGTAAAAAGAGTTTCGAAATAAGGAGACCTCATAGTAGACTCTGAACGAAACAATTTTATTTTATAACCGTCGTTGAACAGTCGACCCAATCTCTGGGTTTATGACTACTAATGCTCAATTCAGTAGCCTCGTAATTTTAAACCCTATCCAGAAGATAAGGAAAAGCCTGGATCAAGTACTGGGAAAAATTCGCCTTCGCGGAGGACTTTTTGATGGAACTGACCTGCATTTGCTTTACGTGGAGAGGAAAACCATGAAAACCTCGATAGGTTAGCCTAACGGCAAAGGGACTCTAACCCATGATCCGTCTACCACTGAGAATATTCCACATTTGCACTGTGGTCGGTGAGAGCCGGGATTCGTATCGACCAGCCATCGCAGGGATTCGAACCAACACGACTTGAACGAACCCGGTTCAAGTCGTTGGAAAGCGAACGCTCTATCCCCTGAGCCATCACGGCTCTAAACAATTCGGTCGTTTTTAGGCCAGAACAGTTTCAAAACTGTTCATTTTTCTATTTCAAAAATAGTGGCACTGATGTAGATTGTCAAAACAAACGACAGAAAAAAAGTTTTCAAAATTGATAGTTAGAGAATTTGAAATTTCTACACATCGCTTCCGAACATTTTTTAGACATTAATGAGTTGAAAGTATAGGACAAAATTAGAAAATTTTGTGTTGACCAGTTGTGACATTTTTAGCCGTGGTCAATTTCAAAACATTGAAGACACTGTAATAATAATAATTCGATATAAATTATAATAATTCGACCAAATTATTAGACGCACTGTAGTTTTTTAATAATGAAATGTTTCGCACGACTTTGTAAGCAATACTTTTATATTTAAAGATACCATGTAATGAGTTTTTATTCGGGACATTTTTTTATACCTCCCATTTGTATTTATTTTTAACGTATTGCGTTACAATGTTAATCCATTGATACTCAAACATAAACAAGTATAAACCAGTTTCAGCAGGTTGACTGAATATACTGTATTGCATTCAGTCAACCCGTTGGCTATTATTAATCAGAAATTACCTTCTCTCTTGAAGTACCGGGTCAAAATAGGAACTTCTGTATAAACCCTGCAAAGACAGAGACAAGAGACCTTCAAATTCAAAGTATAACTTATACTCTCCGACGGATAGTTCATCTTCAACCTTAAGAACCAGATAATCGTTTTCTTCGTGCTGGAAGACATCAACCAGGGAGATATTCTTTCCATCTGACAGAATGCTCTGATGGGTGACGTTCAGTCCCTTGGCGTGAACTATGAACACATCACTCGGTTTTTGCAGCTCTACTGTGATGGCTACGGTGCCCCTGAATCGAGACTCTTCTAGCATGGGGTGCAAGAGTAGGTCATAATGTTCTGGAACGATATAGGAGGGCAAACGGTGATGATACCAGGGAATCGACTTTTCAAGCCAAGCTTTGATGCTCTCTTTGTAGGTTTTGAGCCATCGTATATTATTTTGCACCGTCTCCAAGGCTTGCTGACGACCTCTTTTACCGGCGCCCGCATCAGGATATTCGGCGAAGAAAGACTTCATCTGTAAAAGGAAATTTCACTGTTTGGTAGGGTAAACTAACCAGTGAAGGAACACTTAAGCTTCGCTTGCCTTTTAAAAAATCTCTATTAATTTCAAAATTCGTAATTTTAGTTAAATGACAGTGTCAACATATTTGTTACTAATCGCAAATTATGTAAAAAAAATTTAGAGAACTTACATAATATTGTTTTAAAGTTTTGGAGGTTCAAATAACAAGTAGTAAGAAGACCAAGTGAAGGAACAGGTCTTGACAGTGAATGAACACCCAGTAAAGGAACACTTAATTTTGGTTATTTTTTAATGCTCTTTATGAATTTATAAGCCATACAAACATTTAAAAGCAAGCCTATTCTTGAAATTATAACATGTAAATACTTGGAAAACGTTAACTTTTTTTTTGTAATCATGAATTGAAAATTAAAGTGTCAATATATTAACACATACTGTTCATTCACTGGGAAATCTATGCCCAGTAAAGGAACATGCCTGTCCCCTCACTGGTTAGCAGTTGTTTTTCGTACTTTTAACGTACTTTTGATGCGGAACGCCACTAAAGGTACAAGAAAATTAAAGTTTATCTTTTATTTTCATTAACATAGAAAAAAACCCAGTGAAGGAATACTTGTTCCTTCACTGGGTTTTTCATCGTTTGGTGATCCAGTGAATAAACTCCCCCTTATCTCACAAGGGAAACTAGGGAAGTGTGACTCGCCAATTTTGAAATAAACTAGTGGGATGTATGCCTTATGAGGAATAATTTTAGGGGGCAACATTCGTTTCGGCCCATAGAAGGTACTATGAGAGATAAAAAATAATTCAATATATAGAAAAATCGGTATTTTGTTACTCCAATGCAGACTATTAATTATTGTAATTGTCTCATATTCCAATTAATTTTGTGGTACTTTCACGTACTATATATAATGCACATTTATTGTCAAAATTGATTTCGGGAATTTCATATATCTGTAGATTTTCAGAAAAACCTGCTATAACCTAGCAGGTTTTTAAAAAAAAAATACATAAAAATTTTTTTCTCCAAAAAAAACTTTCCAAATTAATTGCAGTATGTAATTGCAAATTAATTAATTAATTAATAATTAATTAACAATTAATTAATAATTAATTAATTTTCTGATTAATTCATTAATTAACAAATTATTTAATTATCCAATTAATTACAAATCAATTGGATTATGAGACAATTACAATAGCTAATAGTCTGCATTGAAGTAATAAAATACCGATTTTTCTATTAATTGAATTATTTTTTTATCTCTCACAGGACCTCTATGGGCCAAAACGAATGTAAATTAATTTATTAATTAGCAAATTAATTAATTATCCAATTAATTACAAATTAATTGGATTATGAGACAATTACAATAACTAATAGTCTGCATTGAAGTAATAAAATACCGATTTTTCTACATATTTAATTATTTTTTATCTCTAACAGAACCTTCTATGGGCCGAAACGAATGTTGCTCCCTAAAATTATTCCTCATAAGGTATACATCCCACAAGTTTATTTCAAAATTGGCGAGTCACACTTCCTTAGTTTCCCTTGTCAGTACTTTATGATGCTAAAAAAATAAAACGTAACTTCAATAACTATATTTTGAATTCTCTTTTTCACGGCGAGAAAAATAAAACTATTACATGCAATTAATTCTACTTCAGACATATAAATACAAACACTCACCTTATAATTTTTTCAATGTGTTACAGAGATAATAACAAATTCAAAATTTTTTCCAGAGAAGTCTATTTGACCAGGTAATCCAAAACATTACTAGATGACTTCCTACTGTTTGGCAGTAAGCTGTTGTTACCAATCAATCTACAGAAAAACTTTCAAATTCTTATTTTTAATCAATATATATGAAATGTTCCTTCACTGGTTGGTTTACCCTACATTTCCAGCAATTGATAATAAGATTTTCCTTCAACGTTGATGCAAACTTAAAGTTATTTATTTATTAAATGTTATCTAAAAGTTAAAAAAAACAAGTCGAGTGTAGTTATTTTATTTTACAACCGTCGTTGAACAGCTGACCCAACTTTTGAGGCTTACAACCACTGATGTTCAACCGTAGTCTTATAATTTTGAACCCAATCCAGAAGACAAGGGAGATACTGGATCAAGTATTGGGGGGAAATTTCACTTCGTTCATGGAGGACTTTTTTTGAGGGAATTAAACCGCATTACTGTTAAATAGAGAGGAAAACCACGAAAACCTCCCACGGTTAGCCTAACGGAAAAGGGACTCTAACCCTTGATCCGTCTAGCACTGAGGATATTTAACGTCAGCATTGTAGTTTTTACAAGCCAGGCGGGGAGTTCGAATCGACTAGGGAATCGAACCCGGGTCACCTCTTTTGGAGACGAGCTCTCTTACCCATAAGCCACCAAGGATTAGAGTGCAGTTATTCTGACAACTTTACGTGCGTAACCATTGAATTTCATAAGTTATTGAGATACTCTGAAAAAGATTTTAGATAAAGTCAGCAAACCGCAACAACAAACGGTAATAAGTATTAAAATGTTTCGTCCGGGATTGCCTTGTTAGCAGGGAGCTGGACTCTCGTTTTTGAGAACGGGAGTTCGAATCCAGCCGACCGCAGACTCCCCGCGTAGTAAATGGTGGCTTGTGCATGTTAAATCTGCCGGGTCATACAGTCCTCCATGTTCCGAATACTGAAAAGAAAATTTTAAAATATGCAAATGAAAATCGATAATAAGATGATAACGAAAACGATTCGAATTATTTGCTTCCATTTTAATATTTTGAAGTATTTTTTTAGCAATTGAAACTTTATGACTTACTCTAGGTTGTTTGCCTGAGCCTACTTTTTTTTTTCTTTTAAGTTTAAAATTAGTAATGGAGAAGAAAGAGAATTTGCGACAAAAATTTTCCTCTGAGGTATGGCCTCCTCTTCAGATGTTCTAATTTTTTTAAGGAATTTGTAAGGAAATCGACGTTTTAGGTTATTAATGTGGCGATTACGCGGGCGCTATGCCATATAATTTTAAATTTTTCTTTTATAAAACATTGAAAACTTAAATTGTGATTTTTTGAATCTATCCAAACCACCCCAAAAATTCTTGTATATTTAGACAATTTCGGGTAGTTTCAAATTTTTAGTATGTAGCCTAAAAAGATCCAATTTGCCGACTGGTTCATACGGTAGGCAGGGTACCGACCTCATGTGAGCAATGTTCCGTATATCTTTGGAGGTAATTTTGATCAATTGCTGTCGTCTGCCATTAAAGCAGAGGGAGTGTGATTGTTCTTATTTTCTAGCGGCACGACCTATGGCCAAGAATTCGACTTCTACCACAGCCATACGCCACACCCGTTTATAGGGTGGACACATTCATACATCCATTCAGTCATCTAAAGATAGTAATTTAGACCTGAATCAGAGCACAATCCATCTCAGAGCACATCCAATCCCAAGAGGTGTAATTTGATATGGGAACATTTCCCCCTTAGTATGGCGTCCTCTTAAGAAGAAATATTCAGCTGGAATTTTTTAGAATTATTTAATGGAATATACGGGGGAAATGTATTGAAATGATAGCCTTACCTCTTCCAACTCAGCAGGTGTTGTGAAATAACTGCAGATTGCTTTGATGGCAAAACCCATAGTTCTATCGTTGAGCGTGAATCTGAAATATGGCATTGAAATTAACGGAACATCTTGAAAGAAAAAACAACTTTATTAATTTTAGTAAATCGGTTGAATACCTTTCAACGAGCCTCGGCCAATTTTCTCGCACGAAATTCCATACAAGAGTTCTCCCCATCGAATTTCCCGCAATGGAAATCAAAACACCAAAAAAATCTTGGCTTCTAACATTCTTCTCATCCATAGCATATTCAATATACCTGAAAGCAAAAGTTGAAACAATCACTCTTACTCTTGATGGGTAAAAGTTTTAAATTTAGCTATAACTTATCAAATGTACAATTTTTTAAACTTAGGAATACACATTGTGTGACGCAATAAGAAAAAACAGATAATTATACTTGTAAAGGAACATTGTAACTACGAACTGTTCTTTCCTGGCGCCATCAAATTTCTCCCTCTTTTGTCAATTTCGCCGAACGAGAAAAATTAAGACCTTGAGTGAGATAAATAAATTTTCCTACAATAATGGATAGACTGTCTTTACAAAACAAACAAAAGGTGGAAAATTGCAGCAGATTGAAAATTTAAAAAACAATCGATTTAAAATCATGAATAAGATTGGTAGGTACTTTATTGACGTCACACCAGAACTGCACAATGGGCTATTGGCGACGATCTGGGAAACATCCGTGAGGATGATCCGAAGACATACCACCGCAATTTTAATCCTCTGCAGAGGGGATGTGCTTCGGTTACCCGACGACCGATACCGCACACCGTCGTACCCTACGCAGACATTGATGCTTGAATTCGGTGTTTTACTGGGTCATCGTGTCTTAACGATGAGGTACCACACTGCGGGAGTACTCTGCTGGGAAAACAAGGTAACGTTGTTTGTTCATTTGCAAGACAGGATGTTAGTAATACACTATCTATCGAAAAGTTATCCGGGCTGATAATGATGGTGGAAGCATAATGGTGTGGGGGATGTTCAGGCCTGGGCTCGTTAGTATAGTGTATGTGGACAATGCTCTATTTCAATATTTCGGCTCTTCCATTCACACATCGAGGCTTGCACAGACGTGGTTTGATGAAATGGGTGTTCAAAAATTGCCTTCTCAGAGTCCCATAAAAGAACACCGTTGGGACGAAACTAGAGAGCAGATTAGGTAGCCTCACTGCAAAGACAGCTGCGATGAAAGCCAATCAAAAACTGGTAGAAAGTCTTTCCAGTTTTTGATGCTAAAAGGGACCAACATAATATTAATATGTACCTCAGGACGTTCTAACACCATACCACTGCGTGAGCGGACACTTTTGGCCAGATAGTGTTACATACTATAGCTCTGAAAAAAACAATTGTCTAGAAAGACAAAATAGCTTTAAAAAAATACACGAAAAGTGACTACTTTGGAGTAATTTTTCAAGTATACATAAAAATAATATCACGAACTCTTTTCTTCCTATTAACATTTTTTATTAATCTTTCTTTTCCACGTATTTTCGTGTAAAAGAAGTTCCGAACTAGCTGTTTGGAATTCCTGAAATTAGAAGCTACAGAATTCCAGCTACAAATTTCAATCAAATAGGAAACGTTTCAAAAATGAGTTTTCTCACTGTTATAAATAAAATTGCAGATTTTTTTTTCTTTCAAATATTAAAAAAAAACTATTTTACAGTCCTATTGCGCAAAAGTTTATCTGCAAGTTCTTATTTTAATTTATTTCATAATCACCTTTGAGCAGCCGATCCAATTTGTTTAGGTTTACGACTACTAATATTCATCTCCGTAACATATTAATTTTGAGCCTAATTCAGAAGACCTCCTGGATCAAGTACTGAGAGAAATTTGACTTCATGGGGGACTTTTTTTGATGGAACTAAACCGCATTTGCGTTACATGGTAAGGAAAATCACGAAAACCTCCCACAATTAGACTAATGGCAAGGGGACTCTAATTAATGATTCGTCTACCACTGAAGAAATTTTATGTCAGCACTCTGGTCGTTGCAAGCCGGATGCGGAATTCGTATCGACGAGCCATCGCTGAAATTCGAAACTGGGTCACCTCATTGGAAGGCGAACCCTCTATCCCCAGAGCCATCCCAAATGCCAATTCTTATAATTATTTTTCATTTCATCCTCTTTATAGACACCCTATCCAAGACTTTCGTAAGAATTCGCTGGGTCTTTTCTATCGCATTAATGCAGTTAAAAATAAAGGACACTAGATGTTAAGGTGGCAAAGGTCGAGCAAATTTGATAGGATTTGCTTTAATCAAGCATCACTGGCTGCGGTCAGAAAGCGGGTGGGTGACCACCTTGATCAGTCTGCTTAGGGACTGAGGGTGCACGGTATCGGTTCTCGTTAAACTGTTCTACAGTAAGGTGCTAGACTTTGAGCTCAGGTCATCGGTCTACCAAGCTTATTTTGATTATCAGGCCTCATGTTTAAGGATTCTATTCTTTATTTTTATGGGATAAGCATCTGAAAAGGTGATTCAAATTATCAAATAATCTAATAACGTCAGACCATCAAAAAGGGAAAAAAATACAGAAAAGAGGAAATTATTTTACAGTTATTTTAGATTTTAATATTGGGCATTATTTTGTAATGTTGCTCAGTGTTGATTCATTGATAATTTACTTTTATTATTTTTAAAACCGTACGAAGAATGGGCATTCCACTAGTTTATCATAACGCAACAAAGCGTTTTTAGAAAAAATATTTCGGTTATTAATTTTCCCGTGAAAGCACTTTTTTTTCTTTTGTTATAGTTACTGATGCATAAAGCAACGTTCATACATTAGGTTGCAACATAATAAAATCTCTGCACTTCTGTTTACGAATAACTGTATACACTGAATGTACTAAATATACACCCATTGTTATAAACTCAAAGCAAACAATTTGGTGAATAACTACAATATTTGTAACGACTAATATGTTATTAATGTATTCATTGTTGTTGCTGTCGTCGATCATAAAGGCAGGAAGGTGCGATTGTTCTTGTTTTCTATTGGCGCCATCTATGGCCAGGAATTCGACTTATGCCACGCCCACACCCGTTTATAGGGTGACCCATTCATTCTAATTTTGGCCTGAACCAGAGAAAGATCAATATTCAATTCAGTGCTCCAAGAGGAATTTATTTGTTATTGAAATATGGAGGACTTTGTGACTCGACAGATTAAACGTGCACCAATTACCATTTACTACACGAAAAGTCTTCGGCCTGCTGGATTCTAACTATCATTGTCAGAAACGTGAGTCCAGCTCCCTGTGAACCAGGCTATCCCACCCCAATTTTTTTTATTAATATTTTATATCCAATTACGGTAAATTTGGAAAAACATCAGCATTGAGAAAGCGAGGTACTGGTAGTGCATAAACTGAACAGTGTTATTTATATCAGAGCAGGGAATACCGGACACGTGCCGAAGTCAAAATATTTTATGGTTTTCCATTGATAGACCAACATAATCTTGATGGTAACCATCAATAATTCCATCATGAACCATTATATTTTTAATTTTAACCAACATAAGTAACCATCACCCCAATGTAGGAATTCGGACTGATTTATGATGGTCCATCATAAGAATAGTAACTTGTTTTTATGATTTGTTCATGCTGTACCATCAGAAATTTCCATCATAGTCTCTTATAAATCAAATGTTTGAAACGATCTCCCCAACGTCATATTTCGAACTGATTTTTAATGGGCTAACGTAAAAGAAAACATATTGTTTTGATGGTTATATGGTGCTTTGATGGCTGTTGGACGAACAATTATGGAAACTCATTGTTGTACCATTATGGACCATCATGAATTTCCGTCATAGTATCTTAGAAATCAAATTTTGGAACGATCATGAACAACCATCGTCCTAATGTTGGTATTTCGACTGATTCATGATTGCCCATAAAAATACGAGAGACATAAAAAAGCGAAATTACTTTGATGGTGGATTACTGAGAACCAACCAGAATTCTCATCGAAATGTTTAGTTAGAACCATCATGGAGTAAACCCGATAGTTGGTACATGAGAATTCTCTTGATGGTTAACCATCATAGCGTATTAGGGTAGCATTTTCCATCATGGAATAATGGAAGTTTGTTGGCATATCAAAAAGCTTCATGGAAAATGGTGACCATCAAATGATGTTGGACCGTCATGAATCGCACTGAAACCAACATAAACCATCAAAATGTTTTGAAAGGCAAATATCTTAAAGAATATTCCCAATGTCTTTTCTAATCTAATAGGGTCATGAATAAATTAAAATCAAATTGGATATATTTTCGAGAGAATTGACAATCAAGGTGAAACCAGTTACCTGTGTAAGAGCGAAGTTATTTTTGTGCATGCGAGTCCATAAAGGTATGTCCCACGTGCGGCTGCTGATTCCTCTGTCAGATATTTACTCCACATATAATTCCAGTGTTCCTCTTTTCCAATCTCTGCCATTCCATAGCGGAAAACGATCTTTCTCAAGTTCGAAGACAGGCTGAAAAACAATTCTTAACAATTAACACGCTCCTCGTTTGCTGTCAAAATTGTAACTGGCTAGCTCACAAAAGCTCGCTTTGAAGCAGAGGAAAATATATCCCTTCCTGAAGTCTACATGATGATTATTACATCATTAAACAGAATTTATAGTCTATCAAATTTCGGCCACTCTCCCACAAGCTAGAGTATTCAAATCCTTATCCTGCCTGATGAAAATACAATTGTTTTAAAATGGAGTGAGCAAACCTCATCATCAATAAAAATTTTAGCCATTTTGGAACAAACAAACACAAAATAAACATTTTAAAAACTGTGTTTTTTAAGTAGACTGAAAATTGCCCTATTTTAGTCTCACTGATAATATCGCTATTTTTTATGACGTTTTCCCTCCATTTTAATAAAAAAAGACCTGTATTTAAATAATTATTTAACAAAAATCATTAAACCGTATTTTTATACCTCATTCAGTTCATTTTCAATAAATAATAAACTAAACAATAAAAAAGAATTAAAAATTAATAAAATAATTTATTATTAATTGTATTAATAATGTAATTAATAATTTAAAGAATTGATTATAATTAATAATTTAAAATTAATGTTAATTGATCAATTATCTTGGAGTAAATTATCTTTATACAGTAAAGTCCCGATTATCTGAGTCTCGATTATCCGAGTTTCCACTTTAACCGAGCTATCAAATATTTTTCTTTGTTCTTTTTTTTTTATTTTTAAGATTAATGCCGAAAAAAATTCTGAATTTTATCTTACAAACACCCAGGAAAACAAATGGACGGATAACACGAGATTACCGATAAAATGATGATCGTTAATATCGTCAATAATCAAAATGAATCTAGCTAAAATGACAATGCAGATGAACCAAGAGCTATCGAAAGTGCTATTGAGTAAATAGAACAACACGACACCAGCCTTCCTGTTATCTCTAAAAAACAAAAATGACGAAACATTGCTGCAGAAAAGTGCCAAAGTACTGTAAAACGAAAAACGATTAAGGAGTTTAAGTACTACTTCTTAATTTTCGTAAAGTATGCTTTTTAAGTAAGTATTTTAATTATAAAATGAATCGCAAAGGAATCGCCTTCACCGAGTTTTTCCGTTATCCGAGTTAGCCATGATCCATATTTACTCGGATAAAGGAGACAGTACTGTATTTGTACGTCTCATGCACCTAGATATTCGTCATAAAAGTAAATTAAAAATAGAATAATGTGAATTAATTTAAAAAATGCGTAATTCGGTACATTAATTAAGGTCATCCATTTAATTCATTCAGCAAAAAGTTAGTCAGGTTTTTTTGGGGCACAATGAGGAGAAATGGGGAGAATGAATGAGGAAGTCTGGAGAGCTGTATTAAGTTCACGAATGAAGCTTTTGAAATGAGGAGACCTTCCAACAAGAATGTCTAAATGTCTTCATTTTTCTCCCTAATAACTTAATCTTGAAAAAAAAATTAAAAGTGGGTTTCATCCGTCGTTAGCGGACGTCCAAAACCCTCGAAAATTACTATGCAATTATATGCATGTGGTTTTCCTTGCAAACGCTTCGATTGCTGTTAAGTTAAACGCATTTGAAATGTGTATGTGTTCTATCTTAAGAATTTAAATTAATGATTAAAATCTTTAAAACTAATTCTTCTTTTAAAAAAATTAGAACTTTTTGTCAATAAATACAAAAATTTTAAATTGGAATTTATTACATGTAATAGAAAAATGTACTGAAACAAAACAATAATTATGCTTTAAAAAAAACAATTAAAATAAAAAACACAATAAGTGTTCATAGAAGCAATTGTGTTGCCCACAACTGACTCGATTAGGTTTACAAGATACAGAATTGGATACAAAACAGGACATTAGAGGGCAGAATTGGAGCAATGACTGTAAAGTACTTTAATTCTGTGAACATGTTTAGTACAGTCAGAACTAATATTCAAAATCTATGCTTGAAAATGTATTTAAAAAGCCGTTAAGAATTATTAAAAACACGTCATCTTTTCTCTAAAAATGAAAGAGTGTCTTTCAGTTATTATGAACTTATTATAATGAAATTTCCCTTCTAGTTTCAAATAAAATCAATATGTTTCAGATTTTAAATGAGATAATTAATGATTTGAAGAGAATGTCTTACTCATGTCCACGTGTCCAGTTTTGAAAGAGTTCAGCCGCATGGGTCAAGCAATCTTGATTACCGCTGTAGCAGGCCAGACCAATAACAGTCGTCCTCAACATGCTGAAAAAAGTGACCTCAAAATATAAATTTTTTTTTTATTTCTTTGGAAAAAAAATAACATGCATGTGGAGATAGCCACGTCGACCAGATCAACCTTCATCTACGAAAAGGTACCGCCAACGTAGAATCGAGTCAACGTGCCTTATATACTAGTGAATTGGAATTGTATTTTTTTAGCGGTAGATACACTATAGTACTGTTTGTCTACGATAGGTACTCTGAAAGACATTCGTCTGGAGCTGTGGCGGTGACTATGGTAGTGAGGTATGATTATTTCAAGAAGGGATACGGGGTCCCTCTTTAGGACTAGTTTAGGCAAAGGAGACCTCTTCATCGAAGCCACCCTAAAATGCCCTCTTCTTGTTTCCATAGCACCAGACTGCCGCAGACTTAGTGGCGGTCAGAGTACCCATCTTAGACATACAGTACTCCCCTACCAGAATTATATTTGTGATAGAATTCGTTGAACAGATATCACTAGTTGATTCATTGCTGTTTTTTGTGAGAAGCCGGGAGAGTTGTATTATGATCACCGTACTTTTGCTGATCGTGAGAGCTGTATTAAGCACACGGTCGTAGTTGCTCCTGCGTTGCCATTAGCAGTCGAGTGCATGCAGGCTGACGTTGTGTGTAATCTAGACTGAGCAGCAACAGCGTGAGGAGGTCGATAGTACCATATTCACAAGTAGCAATGTGGTTCATCCATCGAAGTAGGCGTGTTCAGATCGAAGTGGGAGTTTCTGTCAAGATAGGCATGTTCGCATCACGTCCGATGGTCACCCATGTGGGAATGGTAGCTATCGACACTGTCAACCTTCTTCTATGAAAAGAATCGAGTCAACATGTCTTATATACTAGTGAATAGGCAATGTATTTTTGTAGTGGTAGACACACTACAATGCATAAGATGCAATTATTAAAAATTGGTTGAAATATTAAATTTAAATTATCTGTCTGTGGGATCTGTAATTTAAAATGAAAAAAAAAATTCGTTTTTCCTTTAAAGTATTTTCCAAGTATTTCTAAGAAAGATTTAAAGAACACGCCTATTGAATTAGGTATACAATTTTGTGCTCTTCTTAATACATTAGTTTGTGAAACACAAAATTTTCGAGATTGTAGAAGATAAGGTATTGAACTTACTCCTGCAGATGATTCTCTGACGATTCCCAACCGAGATCTTTGTACAATTCATCCGTCAGATCTCTGATATAATTCTGTAATAGAAGTTTCTTTATAAATGTTTCATCTATCTACACATGCTTTTTGTAAAATCTGCTGTGTGGGGAATGTTTTAATCTTTGAATGTTCTCAGGCGATGTGTTAAAATGTGGTAGCTTTAATAATTTAATGAGGCCAAATGAACAGTCGTCACCGGCAACAGGAAGTGTATCCAAATATAACAAATAGCGATTTAAAAATTGCCTTACAACCACCACTTTTTATGAAGAAAATGCATATCATGCTCATTTTAATATAATCATTATTATTAAAAATTACATATTTTAATCATTTTGATTATAAAGATTTTATATCATTCCGAAAATTACTTTATTTTACGTTACACCTTAAAATATTTCTTCATTTTAGAAATAAACAATATTTTGAAAAACGCTTTAAAAGTTATGCCGGCGGTTTTTACAATTGCTCAAAATTTTCAATTTTTGAAAAAGAAGCCGCATGTTTTGCGAAGCGGCCAATGTTGAAAAGGCTATAACTGCTTGGTAGCGTATATTTTATTTTATTTTTTTACCCAGAAGGAGACATGAAATGAAGTACTGAAAAATGTCAATAAGTATTTAATCCTGCCTAATTTCACTTAAATGATATTATGTTGGGTACCTTTGAGAGAAAGATCTGGAGAAGTATTTTTGGAGGAATTAAAAGAAACATAATGACGTGTGACTTAGAAAAACAAATTTAGAGCTATATCACTCATATAATGAACCTGACATTATTAACTTTATTAAACGACAAAGAATTAAATGGGCAAGCCACGTTAACTGAATGGTTGAAGACCGTATCACTAAGGATGAAAACCAGCACTGTACTGGACTACATAATCCAGCCTATAAACTAGTTTGTGGCTGTATGGCGGGGATCGAACTCTTGGACATCGGCCCAGTGTCCTACCAACCAGGCTAACCCGGCCCCTAAGTTCCTGCCATTTAAAAAAAAATATGAATGCTATACCTTTAGAAGAATGTTAGTGTCAGTAAATTTCAGAAGGTGGCAGAGTTTGACGATTGCCGTGTACGCTGTATACCACGGAACCAAGTGTCTCTCCTTTTTCAGATAGTTGGTGAGGGAGAGAAAAACTTCAAATCCCACGTATCCAGCTTCAGCAAGGAGAAATGAATCGAAGAGTAGGTTGGATCTGTCAGACGGGGTGAGAACCTGCAAAAAGATTTGAAAGAAATTTTCTTACTATGGTCTTCTTGAATGAAGAAACAGAAGTTTGAATTATTTATCATCGTAACTTCATTTTTAATGCTGACCAGTCTGCGTAATGGTCAAGGAGTTGACCCCACGTCAGAAAGGTTCTGGGTTCAAATCCCAGACAACATTTTTCATCCTCTTTACTTACCTGTCCTTACTGTGGGAGCAAACGTTGGCCCACCCAATTGTTTGCCAGTGAAAAAGTGGCCAACAAATCTGACCTATTAGTATCTGAAAAACGAGTCGGCATTGAAAAAACACTGTTTGAAAAAAAATCTGCTGAAGTGTTGTTAGGTATTATCAATGGATTTATATAACCTTTTTTAAGCTAAGATTTGGTTTCACTAATTGAAATAGCAGTCAGCTGAAGCTAAAATTAATTAATTTTTTTCTATGGAATATCATGATACATGTAATAACACTGATGCTACATTAATACAATACAAAACAAATAACCAATCAACAATTGTAATACACACTCTTGATCGTGCGTAACACTCCTTGGAGTCGGAAGGTATGAAAAAGCGGTTACAAAATAAACACACAAAAAAAGGGTATGGTCCCTTTTTACAGATATTGCTGCGTGATGTCATATTTGAAATAAGGCAGTTCCTGTGGCAATTTCATAACTTTCTACTCCAATGAGTGTTACGCAAGATTATCAGTGTATATTACAAATGTTGAATGGTTATTTGTTATGTATTGTATCAATGCATGTACAGATCAAATTTCATTAAAATCGGTTCAATTGTTCTGGAGATAATTGTCTGCTCTCTTAATATCTTACACCAGTGTAATAAATATGAAGAAAGATGATTTTGGTCAAAACTCAAATATTTTCCCTACCGTTGGATATATATATTATTTCAAGTGAAGCTGCACCAGGATTATAGATGGATGTTTTACAAAAACACGGTTATCAAACATTTAATATAATATAATATAATAAAAATGCTCCAGAAACGTTTTAGTGTAGCATACAGAGACACATCAGATGCAGTTTACCTCGTGATTAGAATGCATTAATTCTATCAGTTTCTGCCAGTCAGTTCTCGAATAGTTGACCACATAGAAGCCAGTCTGGTTGATATTAAATTTAACCCATTCAGTGCTGTTGAGGGTAAATTTAACTGTAAAAAAACGAAGATTATTTGTAGTTAGAACATCACTGTTCATTGATAAGCAAAACAATAGCTTTCGTAATTTCATTTTATAACCGTCGTTGAACAGCCAACCCAATTTTTGGGTTTACGATTTCTAATGTTCAACTCCTTAGCCTTGTAATTTTGAACCCAATCCAGAAGGGCAAGGTAACTCCTGGATCAAGTATTAGGAGACATTTTGCCTTTGTGGAGGACTTTTTTGATGGAACTAACCTGCAATTGCGTTACAGGGGGAGGAATATCACGAGAACCTCCCAAGGTTAGCCTGACTACAAAGGGACTTTAACCCGTGATCCGTCTACCACCGAGATTATTTCAGGTCAGCACAGTGGTCGGTGCAAGCCGGATGCGGATTTATATCGACCAGCCGTTGGTGGGATTCGAACCCGGTTCACCTCTTTGGAAGGCGAACGTTGAGCCATCACGGCTCTCGTAATTTCATTGTAAAAATTAGATCCGCTTTTGTTGCATTCAAAAACCTAGTACCTATTTTAATATATTATGTAGTACAGTGGGGATAAAAAGATATCACCCTGAATAACTTTAGTTCTAATGATCAGATTTTCTAATCTTAATTGTATCTGGGTGCGATTTCAAATATGTGAATTAATTAGTGCTAACTATTAATTTAATTACGAAATCAGGCACACTATCTCTGACATAGTTTTACAAATCTTATTTTTACATATTTCGATTTCTGACCATCAAAATACAGGTAGACAAAATTTTGGAAAGATAGGATAATAAATTGGGGGGGGGGATGTAATAAGTTATATATGTTTGGCGATAGTCCCAAAAAACAGCCTAGCAAAGTCAACGCCACAAATGAATATTTTAAGATAACCCACGGACTAATTCAAGGTCGGAATTCTTAATTTTATTCCGTTGCTAAGTAACCAACTTCAGACAATAAAAAAAATGAAATAATGTTCTGTGATTGCTCGGAGAGGTTTGTTTATTGATAGTTAATGGAAAATATTGAGTTTCTAAGCTATAGATATTTTTTGAGCTAATTTCTGACCTGAAACAAAGATTTTTTTCTTTTTAATCTCTTTGAATCGATTTATAAATTATTTACGGTTTTCTAAGATTTTAGAATTTGAAAACATGAACTTTTTATTTGACATTATTTGGGTTTTTTATGTTGTTTTCACTTATACATATACAATACGTTTTCACTTAATTATATTTCATTTATACAAGGATTTCATACGAAAATCAAACTTACATGACTTATTTCAACTACATACAATTTAGAGATAATTATTTTTACAGCTTTGACCGAGTATTCTAGGCAATAAACTTTAAAGAAACAAAAAAAAAGTGCCAGAAAAAAAAAATATATATAATGAATTATTCAAGCCATAGTATAATAGTAAAGGGATAGTATAATAGTAAACGGATAGTATAATAGTAAACGGATAGTATAATAGTAAGCGAAGCTTCCATTGCTAATCCTTAACCTTTATACCGCTATCATTAAATTAATGGAAAAAGCTTAGAAAAATAATAATAGTAACGTTTTTTTCTCATTTTAGCTTCCTAACAGATTTCAATTCTGGAAATAACGAAATTATTGAGTAGGTTCCTTGGAGCAATATCTTTTTTATCCTTTTATAATGAAATATAGGAAAATTAGTATTCACAGTTTCTGTAAAAAGTAGGTTAACCTTCTCACTGAGTATTTTTTTTATCAGAATAAGTTCGGAAATTGAGTGTTTTTTATTGCATTTTTCAAATCAGACAATGATTCTAAAATTCTCACAGCTTCGGAATCTTTTTCAAATTTCATTTTATGATATTAGCTGTTTTACAAAATAAGATATTTTCCTAATAACAAATTATGCTATATAATTATGCTACAAATGAAAAATAATTTTAACAGAAGTAAATTTTTTCAATATCTTTCTTTAAAAGAGAAGCTTTCCTAGAATTAAAGGTGTAATATATAAGTTTAAACGTCAAAATAAAATTGTGTTTCGAATTTGTTCATTTAAAAAACAAAGTCAACAGTTGTGATTTTTTGAGTTGCACTAATATTTATGTACTTTTCACAAACCAAACAAATAATAAACAATAAAGTAAATAAATAAATAGTTTGTTTGTTCAATCTTAGAGAAAAGGATGCATTTATTTACTACGATCAGTCAGACGTTTTGGTCTGAGCAGTTTTAACATAGAAAATGTTCTTAAAATCTTATTAGCTAACTGGCTAGAGTTCTGAGATTCGGAAAAAAGCTCAGCAATTATTTAAAATGAGTGTTAAAGAAAAACTTTAAGTACCAATAAAAATTAAACAAAATAGTTCAGTATATTATCGGAAAATAATCTACGTAACAGAATAAAGAAAGAGCAAAAAATGCACTGAAATAATTATTTGAATAGTTCTGTGAATCACACGTGGACAGGTAATTAAAAATTTAATTTCACAATTAAGATGTTGGGATTACATTTAAGATACTGAGATATTTTAAGACGCTTAAAAATTTTGGCCACGTATTCCACAGCTCTTTATGTTCGCTATCTTTATACTCTTCGTGGTGACTTATGAAACATCAACACTAGTTTAGATAATCTATGTTGAAATCACAAGAAACAATAAAAAAATTCAATCAATAATTTAACTTCAGTTATATAGCATACTTAGTAAATAGTCAGCTGTTTTGCATAGAATAATTAAAAATAATAAATAATCATTAAAAATTGTTTCTTGTATAAAATTATCTTTGGGTAAATGGGTTCTTTGAGTAGATGCAATTTTTTTTTGAATTGCTTTTTTAGTCTTAAAAATAAAACTAAAAACGTTTAAAAATATCACTAAGAATCCAAATATATAAAAAAACATACCTAATTAATAGTTAGCACTTAATAATTAGCATATTTGAAGATTTGAAGTTACCCACAGGAACCATTACGATTGACACCTAATACGTCAAAATACGATCACTAAAAACAAAAGTTATTCTGGGTGATATCTTTCGCTCACTGTAACTATATCACAATATCAGCAGTAATACAAGGACACTTTCAACTTTTTGCAAACCTAATCAGACTAACATGTGATTATACAATATTTGCCCTTGATATAAAAAAAATTATGTATGACTATACAATCTAGCCCTATATATGGCATGATAGTCCATGAAATACATACTCCAACTTCATTTTTCAAAGGTATATTCATGAAAAAATGCATAACCGAATATAAATCAGTTGAAAATGAATTACATATACAACTTTATATTAAGGGGAGCAAAACATTGCGACCAACCATTCAATAAGATATAACGCAATCTTTGGCTTTTAAAACCTCAACAGCTTTAAACAAAGCAATCTCAACAAAGCAATCCTCAACAACTGCAATTCACGTTGTTAGGGATATCACAAGTTCTTGGTAGGAGCCGTGGTGGCTCAGGGGATAGAGCGTTCGCCTCCCCGTGATGTGAAGCGGGTTCGAATCCCAGTGATGGTTGATTGATACGAATTCCGTACCCGGCTCGCACCCATCGCAGTGCTGCAGACGCAAAATATCCTTAGTAGTAACCAGATCAAGAGTTAGAGTCCCCTTGCTGTCAGATTAACCGTGAGGAGATTTTCGAGGTTTCCCTCTCCGTGTAACGCAACTGCGGGTAAGTTCCATCAAAAGATCTAACCAAATTTCTCCCAATACTCTCCCTTGTCTTCACGATTGGGTTCAAAATGACGAGGCTGCTAAGTTTAACATTAGTAGCCGTAAACCCATACAATTGGGTCGGTAGTTCAACGACGGTTATAAAATAAATTACTTCGTCATATTTTGAGATTGTTAAACTGGGCAGCAGTAAGAAAAATAACACTTACTTTTTTGATGGTCGTGTATCCATATGATCCCTTTCTCTCCATTCGCTGTGACATAACTCAAGGGAATACTCCAACTGGAACTACAAAGTGCACACATTTTTCAGCATCATGATAAGACAGACACAAATACACTATCCGGCCAAAAGTATCCGGTTGTTGTGGTGGTGGAGGCATTATGGTGTGCGGGTATTTCTCGTGTTTCGGCCTGGGTCTGTTAGTTCCTGTGATCGGAGCTCTGAGATGTGTATGTGGACAATATGCTGCACTCCCAACTCTAATGACAATATTTCGGTCCATTTCTCTACCATTCACACATCGAGGCTTGCACAGACGCGGTTTGACGAAATGGTTCTTCAAAAACTGTTTTCTCAGAGCCCCGATCCCGTAGAAACACACAGCGTTTTAACGAATTAGAGATCAGATTAGGTAGCCATCCTCACTGCAAGCACAGCCGTGATGGAAGTCAATTCCTATCCAACACTGGTGGAAAGTTTTCACGTGCAGGCTGTCATCGATGCCAAAGGTGGACCCATCAATCATATTAACCCCATAACTTGTGCGCTCGAGTTAATTCCAGCGCTCTAAACAGGCTAAACTGTGCACACTCGAGATAATTCGAGTGACACTGTACTTTATTCTGTTATAATTTTTCACACTCGAATATAATCGAGAATTGAAAATAAAAATGTGAAAGCTACGGAAAAAAAATCATTTTTTTGATATTTATCATTTACATGGGATCGTAAGCTAAAACAAATATTTATTCAAGAATAAAATTATAGCCTTTTTCCATGGAACAAAAGCGCAGTATATCAAAATCGTCTACCAAAAGAAAAGTTGAACCAAGCCAAGACAATGTTCTAAAGCGTATTTTTTTTGGCGGGTTTTTTTTTTCAAAAAATCTGTGAATTAAGGGTTTAATATACACTTCAGGACGCTCTAACTCCAGAGCCACTGGGTGTCCAGGTACTTTTGGTCAAGTAGAGTATCAAAAAAATTTTTCCGTTTTATTAAAATTAATTGTTTACAATAGAGTTAAATTAAAAACAGAGAGGAAGATGTCTTTAAAGCAAATACTTCCGATATTAAAACAGAGATACCACCATTGTGAATTTTATTTTGTTCCCCAAAAACTATAAAACTTAAGAGAAAAGTGTGAGGGGTTAAAAACTCTTATCAACTGTTAAACTTGTAGTAAGAAAACTAGAGCCACACTGTAGCCCACAGAAATTTTTTGAATCTGTATGAATTTTTCGAAATTACAAATCACGTAAAAGTTATGGAGCAATTTTAAACTCTTTTTTCAGACAGCTTCTTTGGAATTATTTAGCAGTTGATTGTAAAAATCTCTCTCGTAATACAGACTTGATGTCAAAAAAAAAATTAGAAGTAGTCATATTGAAATTTTCATAAATATTCAAGAGAGATAAAATACGTTTCCTATTTGAAGTGTTAAAATGTTTATTCTTGTGTAACTAGTTTGTTCGTATTGTGTTACTCCTAAGCTCAGATATTTTCACAAGCACAGCTGATTAAAAACCAGGTTCATTTTTCTTTTACGATTAACATGTTATAAAAGGTTATTACATACAATTATATTAATTATGTATTTAATTGCAATTATAAAAAAATATTTGTTTTTAAAATGAGTGCTCACATTCTTGACATTGTAAACAGTACATAAATTTTTTTATCTTGGCAGCTTTTATCTCCTTTTCGTCCTTCATAATAAAGACAATAATGTATTGACTTTTTGAAAAACAGGAGTGAATAGTTTATTACCCTTAACTCATCCAGAGATAGGATGGTACAAGCAGGTCCTTGATCTGTATAATTATGAAAAAAAATAATGTGTTTTTCAGAAACATCATAAATCACGATTATTATCGCAATAAATAAGATTTCCGAAAATGGTATAAACCTAGAAATTAAGAACCTAAGTTAAAACAAAAAGTTTACGTATAGCCCATATTATTAGACTCACTATAAGATTCTATGTTAAACTATAATCATCAGGTGATACTATATAGCTGTATTTTTTTTTTACTCGGATAAAACCGGTTTGCATTTCTTTACGCTCCTGTATCAAATGGTCAACATTGCAATACAATACGTTAAAAATAAATACAAATAGAAAGTATATAAAAAATCTCCTGAATAAAAACTCATTACATGTATTTTTAAATATAAAGGTATAGCCTATAAACTCGCGCAATTATTAAAACACTACGATGCGTCTAATAATTTGATCTAATTATTATAATATACTAATATAATGCTTTATATAATAAACATTCTAAATTTATATAATATATCGTCTAATTTTTCCTATCGTTAAATTTATATTATATATCTTGTCTAATTTAACCAATTGATACACTAGCTTAAACAAGTACAAACCGGTTTCATTCGCGTAAAAACAATAAAACTGTATGGAATTAAGAATTTACATAAAGTCAATATAAAGTAAATTACATCATATTAAGAATTTACATAGAATCTTAAAGTGCGTCTAATAGTTAGGCTAGAGAATGTATACCGAAATGAAAAGCAAATAATTTACCTAAATTAGACAATTTAAATAAAAACGTGAAAAGGCAAACTCACTCGTCTTTAGTGGTGTTGGTATGAAGTTCTTCGTTTTTCAAAAATCTCTTCTGATGGGCTACGAAATATTCACCATCTCTGTCAATAGTGACGCATGGGAAACCCATGTGTTCCGTCCATGTTTTCATCATTTCTAAAATAGTGTGATTAACCTGCAATTGACGAACGGAAATTATCACTAAGAAAGAAAAAACTAATATTTATTAAAATAATACATGAAGGTTAAATTTATACTCGAATAAATTAGTCTATCCAACTTCCATTAGAGAGGTCATAGTGGGTTTTCTTTCCGACTATGAAATGATTAATCTTCTTTTGGCACGAGACTTTCATACAATATTTCATTAAAAAACAAAGAAGAACTAATAATTATTCTGAAAATATTTAATAAATATATTCTCATATAGTTTTTTTTCCTTCTTTTTTTTATTACCGTCCTTGAACAGTCGACCCAGTTTTTGGGTTTACTCCGCAACCTTGTGAATCTGAGCCCAATCCAGAAAACAAGGGAAATCCTGGATCAAGTATTGGGAAAAATTTGCCTTTGCGATCACTTTTTCAGGGAACTAACCCGTACTTGCGTTGCATGGTGAGGAAAACCTCTGAAGTTTAGCCTGACGACATGGGAACTGTAACCCGTCTACCACTGAGGATATTTCAAGTCAGCACTGTGGTCTGTGCAAACCGGATTCGTATCGACCCGTCATCGCTGGAATTCGAACCCGGTTCACCTATCTGGAGGGTGAACGCTCTATCCAATGAGCCATTGTGGCTCTATTATATTATTTTATATCAGAACTGGGCCTGATTGGTAGGGCGTTGGGTGCATGTCCAAGAGCTCTTGAGTTCGATCCCCACTGACCGAAGACCCTCGTGCAGTAAATGGTTGTTAAATCTTTCGGAGCGCAAATTCCTCCATGTTGCCATAACAAATAATACCCCTGGGGCTACTGAATTGGAGAATGATAGTTCTCAGGTTCAGGTCAAAATTATGATCTGTGGATAAATATGTCCATCCTATAAACGGGTTGAGACGTATGGGAGTGCAGAAGTCGAATTCCTGGCCATAAATAGTTCCACTGGAAAACGAGAAAAAACGCGTCCCCTTTGCCATCATGACCAGCGGCAACAGCAACAATAAAGGAACTGGGATTTAAATCGGAAGTTTAAATTTACAGAATCTAATCTAGTTCAAAATTTGATTTCAGTGTGTGCTGAAAATGAATAAACTGAAATATGATATTATTTGAACAAAAAATTATGAAAATAAATGTCGGTTATTAGACAGTCTTCATTGTTTCAATGTGAAGTACTAATGCAATTTTTCAGATCTTTTTCAGCAATCATTCAATGTATTGTTATTAAAAAATTCATTTTTTTATTTTACTTTTCTATTTTTGCAAATATATTAATCGTATAATTTCATATTAATCGTATATAACTAAAGTAACGAAAATCATAATAGAGTTACTTAAATACAAAAATTTATTGAAAGATTTTGGAAATGGTAACTCATTAAAAATGTCCTACTTTAAAAACCCTGTGGCTATTTCACGGAACTCTAGGAACACCATTTAGGAACCCTTGCCTTAAAGTAACTGACAGTACTAATGGTATGTGCAGATCACGTTGTTAATGACATACGACATACAAAAATTACTTTTCTGGTATAAGCTGTTAACTTTTTATTATTATACTCAATTTCTTTCGGTGATTTATTAAATATGAATCGTTTCTGTTCAGTTATTGAACGGTTAAAATTCGAACGTTTTGCAAACACACACACACACACACATATATATATATATATATATATATATATAT